TCAACCAGCGAGTACCGTAACCACGTTGAGCATCCAACCCGCAAGTACAGTCACCACATTGAGTATTCAACCAGCGAGCACGGTGACCACGCTCAGCGTGCAGCCTGCAAGTACGGTCACCACATTGAGTGTTCCGCCGGCAGTGACGGTACGTGAATCAGGCTCTGAAGATATGACCCCGGATATCTGCGCGATCTTGCCCTTCCCCCATGGACATCATCTCTTGATGATGATGATGCTCTATGCGCCGAAAAAAAAAACAAAATGAACTCTCCTTGCTGAACCACTTGCTGCCACCGAACAAAATGTCATGGCTACCTTTGGAATCTCCTTCCCCCACCCTTCTCTATATAGCTCCCAAAGACATCATGCGAGAATATAGCTTGAACAGCAAGCCTTGTACCTCGAATTCCTGCTAATCCATGAGCCTTGTACAGACGACAAGTATTCCGCCGGCATCAACCATCACACAAACCTATCTCACCACATTTTTGACGACATACTACACGACTGCTCCAGCTTCCAGCATCACGTACACGAGTGTGGTGACCACTACTTTACCCGCATCAAGTTACACAGTGACGAGCACACTTCCTCGTGAGACTGATACTCTGACCACGTAAGTTTTTAGTCACATCAGACTTCTGGGTCGCAATATGGAGAAGATCACTCTGGAACTCGCTGTGCTTTTCGTTCCTCACTTGCTGACACGTCTTGCTCTAGAACCTATGTCACAACTTTGTACAGCACTGTCGTATCCACGACATTGTCTGTATCAACTCAGCCCGCATCGTCCTATACCACAACGCAGACTCTGATACTGACAGCCACCGCCACGGCCACGGCCACGGCTACACAAACTCAGACTCAAACTTCGATTCCTCCACCAGTGACGGTATGTACATCTTGTCGAAAGAAGATTCAAGAATGGCATTATTTTTTCACATGGCCCATCAGTGATGGCGCAATCTTGACATGGAAAAAATTTTCTGACCACTTTCTCCGTATGCAGACCACAACAACTCCAGATACCCGAACTGTAACAGCGACTTCTATCTATCTAACCACTTACGTGACCACACAAGTCACAACGGCCCAAGCAAGTACGATTACCATGACAAGTGTCACTACGAGCACTCTACCGGCTTCTACCTATACTCAATCGACCACCATCGTGTCCACTGCACCGGGAACCACGAGCACATATGTTAGGTGAGCCCTCCTTGACTTCAATGCACCGCTCAGGTCTGCCGCGATGCACAATATTGCCTTGTTTTTTCTCCAGGACCGAGCGGCTTCTCATTCCCAAAGATATTCGCGAACGCAGAAAGAGAGTCGAGCTGCTGTTGCTTGCTATCGAGAGGTCAAGCTGATGTATGGTCTCTATAGCACTTATGTGACCACACAGCAAGCCAGTACTGTGGTCAGCACGAGTTTGGTCACTACGACGCTCCCCGCGTCATCATATACACAAACCTTGACCTTGACAGCTACGGCTACGGCTACAGCCACAGCGACGGCAACTGCGACATCCACACAGCCGATCTACGCAGCGACACCCTCCCCGGTTACTTCGACGGTCTATGCAGCAACACCGTCTCCAGTGACCACAACTCAGGTTTCGTAAGTACTAAGATCGCTCATCCTAGCGCAAAGTGATATTTCCATGGCAAAACGAAACAGCAGGATCCGTAGGAAGTGTACATAGCTTGGCAAATTTGCTAACTATCTCTTCTAGAACCACAACAGTCGTTCAAGTCGTCACTACTACGCAGACGGCTACATCATATCCTGCGACTCCACCACCAGTAACTTCAACTGTTTACGCCGCAACTCCTGCACCTTTGACCTCGACACAGTACATGTAAGTCACTACAAACCTTCCCCATCGAGTCAGGCTCAAGTTACTTCCATTCGTACTATGGGGGACTTCAGACGAGACTTGGAAGAGAGGAGCACGTGCTAATGTGTGCCTAGAACCACAACTTCTTATGCAATGACGCCTTCACCAGTCACAGTGTAAGAAGACGATCATGCCTGAGCTAGACCTCTCCATACCATATGCTGACAAATTGCTCAGGACTGCCACAACAACCTCATACGCTGCCACGCCAGCGCCAGTGACAATAACTCAGACGCAGACCCAGTTGATGTATGAGATATCTCATGGACAGCCAGACCCAGGCTCGTGGGTTTTCGAGAACATAGGCTAACAAACTTCCAGAACAACGACGGCGTACGCGGCAACACCGTCCCCCGTCACCGTGTAAGAACAATTATCCAGGCTATATGTTCAATCATACTCCTTAGTCTCACATGCTGACTCGATCTCTTAGGACTGCAACAGCAACTTCATATGCCGCTACATCAGCACCAGTCACCTCGACACAAACCCAGACACAGACTTTGACTCAAACTCAGACCCAAGTAGTGTATGAAGAAATCCATAAATCGGGAACGCACTCGGTGTTCGACAAAGACATATGCTAATTCGTTCACAGAACCACAACTGCATATGCAGCAACGCCATCGCCAGTCACCACGACCCAAACTTTGTAAGTGCCTGAACTCCGACCTGTTTCAGTGGGATGGCTCTGCATTGTTGCCTCACGGAGAGGGTGGAGTCAATCATCTTCCGAACTAGAATATCCATCACACGTGCAAATAGGGCTGTGAAATGCTAACGTGGATTCAGGACGACCACAGTGGTCAGCGTAGTCACGCAAACGGCTACAACTACTGCACCAGCTCCTCCCGCAAGTACCATGTGAGTTAATATGAGCAAGACTTTGAAGCAGATATGGTGCTTTCCGTCAAGAGCGTGCACTGATATTGGTGGTCCGTAGAACTGCCACAGCGTATCCCGCCACTCCGGCACCAGCGACATCCACACAGACTGTGTAAGTTGATACCGAGTTGTCAAACTTCTCCCGCTGACTTAGAGATCGTCAATCCTCAAATGGCTCAGAGAGGAGATTTGAGGTTGAGGGCATATTTCTGAAGCATGCTAACCTTATTCTTCAGAACCACCACATCCACTGTGTACCCAGCCACACCTGCGCCAGTGACTTCGACAGTCTATGCGGCAACTCCAGCGCCAGTCACGACGACACAGACTGTGTAAGCATCATTTGGGAAGGGCCATCGAATGGATATACTGATACGAGATATAGCACTGCCACCGCATACCCAGCTACACCGGCACCGGTGACCTCGACCCAAACGGTGTATGCCGCAACACCTGCGCCAGTAACAACCACAGCAACTGTGTAAGTTTACTCACTGAGCTTGAGTCACGAAACGACGAGCCTTTACCACTGGTTATTTCGAGCGGCTCGCTGACAACACAATCTTTTAGGACTTCCACGCCCCCGCCGGTGACCAGCACGCAAACAGTCACGTCTACTCCGCCTGCCGTTACTACCACTTCGACCGTCTATGCACCCACTCCGGCTCCAGTCACATCTACTCAGACAGTGTAAGTACGCTTTACGAGCCTCATCCGCGCCAAATTCAGCCGGTCGAAGTTGGCGCCAAATTCGCGGAAGCTCAACTTTTCTTTTTCGATGATATTTGAAGATCATGTATTGACAAGTCTTTCCAGAACATCGACCTACACGCCTCCCGCAAACACTGTCACCGTCACTGTCACTCCCGTAAGTTGAGATCTGCAGCCACTTTTCGGTTTGATCTAATGCTCATATAAAGAGCTAGTCTTCCATCACCAGTGTGAGATCAACGACTGCGCCAGCAGCACAAGCAGCGGTAGGTCCCCGTTCTCATTCCAGATATTGCGTGAGACAGGTCTGACATGAACTCTGTAGACTACTGGCTCGCGTACCACTACCCCAGTCTCGACAACAGCAGCTCCCACGGTCGTTCTCTCCTCTCCCACTGCCATCTTCGACTCTTCCACAAACCGCGACGACGACTTGGCATGGACTGTCATGCCCTTCTCTCTCGCCGTCTGTGGGTACTCTTTCAACAACGTGACGGTCAGCACGAATGGCGTCTTGGGTTTCAACATCACAAACAGCTATCAGCCAGCCGCTCTGCCCCAATACAGTGCCATGACTGGTTATGCGGTGCTTCCCTTTTGGGCTGATCTGTTCATCACTCAAGGAACCTCCCAGGGAATTTACTATCAGATCGATGGTTCTTCGCCTTCGAGAACGCTTACATTTGAGTACTACGCTTCGTACTACAACCAAAGCACTCAGTATTATCATTTCCAGACCTTGTTCTACGAGAACAGGTCCAGCTCATTCACTTTCAAATATTACAACATCACGGACAAGGGTGTCAACGCGGTAGTTGGGTATCAATGCCAGCCGAGTAAGTGATAATCTCAGTCATGCAAGATCTCGGATGGGTGACTCACGTGTACAGATTCCAAATACAAGCAATACGCAGCCAAAACTGCAGTCATTACCGGTGGACTCCAAGTCGACTACACCTACAGCAATGACAGCTACACATCAGGCCAAGTACGGTACCCCAATCGTGTTCCAACCATGTCCGACTTCGTCAACCGTATCATCAGCAATGTCGCCGATGCCTGGCGATCTGCAACTGGTTGGTTACGAGGGGGAGCAAAAAGCACGACCGAAGCTGAGGTATACGTACCGCAGTCCAAACCGACGTTTGCCGAGAAGCTCGAAGATGTTGTCAATAGGAGATGGGTGAGTGGTTATGGCTGGAGAGAGAACTCGTCGACGTTCATGTAGACTTTTCTTTTGTGTTTTCTTTTGTTCAGCCAACAATTTGGTGACTCATGTTCATTTACTTTGTCCGTTGATACTCCAAGCAATCAGAGAGTGTCGTCCATCTTCACCATATCCAATTGTGTCGTGCCTTCTTCGTTCGTTGGTGCTGTCCAGAAGTCTGTGACGTGTGAAATGCAGTGAGAGATCCTTCCTTGTGCACTTTGGGGGTTGACTTCTATAATTTCCAACTCCCTCTCACTTCGATCTGTAGCTCATTCTGACAAACACTGTCAGCCAATCCAGAAACCTGGTTTGATCAATCGCCACGTCTGCCATTGCATCGATTGCCGCAAGATTGGCTCGGCCTTCTTCCAATCCAACATCACCGTGGCAGATTTTCAAGTCAAGTACATCCGTGGCGAAGATAACCTCACAACCTTCAGCGAGATTAGAACGGTGCGTGCGAATGCACTCATGACGAATCACTTTTGCAAGCCCTGTGGGACTCTAATGTATCGTTGTGGAGCTCGGTGCCCGGGATTGACGATTCTGCGTACTGGGACAGTTGATGATGGTTTGCTGGCGGAGACGACTCTGAGGCGCAGGTGGAGCAGTTTATTGAGAGAAGGGTCGCTTGATCGGTGCCTGTCGATGGTGCAGCGCAGGTGGTGGGAATGCATTCGCCTTCGGATTTTGAAGGATAACCTTGAACTACTCGGTCGACTTCGGTACTTTGATCCGGGTTGTGGGTGGATGCTTCCCTTGAGACAGGACGGAGTTTGCAAAGAGAGAAACGTCGTCTGCGGGTGTTTCATGAGCTTACTTCTTTCAAGATGTGCATTGAAACTTGTAGGTTCAGTTTCGATCCTGCGAGCCGGATGTTGAAACTACGACTATCATAGACGAGGGCAGCAAAATAAACACCCATTTCTCTTCTGAGAAATGGCAAAACCGAAACCCCCTAGCCGCCGTGTTGCTAGATTGGTCAAGAGAAAACGCACGAGGTTTTCTTCCTTGTTTTTGTCGTGCGAGGATTACTGGGACCCCTCATGGTATTGAAGAATCGGCCCTGAGCCGAATCGAACCGGTGGTCATAGGCCGACTGAGCGGAAGGAACACTACTTTGACCGCTGTGCCAGACCACCAGTCCGATGGAAAGATATCTGTCTCGCGTCGATATGGAGACATAGAGCGGCTTGGTTCACTTGGAGGTGAAGGTGCACTGGACTTGCCAGTCTGGAGCCCATCGCGGCTTCCATGTATCAACGCTGGGATGATTCGCCAACACAACATCGTCGTGGTCTTCCCTTGCACGGATCCTGTGTTGCAACACAGAACTCACGTCTGGATGAGGCGATTGAATCTTCGTATCCTGGATCTTCATCACGGCAGAGTGCATCTAGTGATGACTCTGACTCTGAGCTGTTCCCCGCTCACAAGCCAATGCTTGTTGCTCAACAATGAAAACACTGTTTGCTCAAGCATTGCAACTTGCAAGTCAAGACAAAGTGCCTAGAGCTGAGGTTTGGTGACTGCCTGGAGTTTGTGCTCGAAGCTCAAAGACACTGAGACTTTGTTGTGAATTGCTCCTTCCTCTAAACCACCTCCAGCTGTTTGCCAGCGCCCGAAAGGCATCGGCACATGGCTGGAACCTTGCAGAGTGACTAGTGAAAGCTGTCACATGAACGACGCTAATGCCAACACGCCATAGTCGACAGAGTGTTGGCGAATTTCCCGTGGTTGGTGCATCAACAGGAGTGCGCCTTTTTGTCGTCGACCTTCCTCACGCACACGTCGAGCCTCGTCTCCCGCAGACATGGCCCTGGATCCCGCCGTCGAGCCCTTCGTTCCCACCATGTCGCCGCCCAAGAGTCCGCGTGCGGAGCGCGCCGCCAAGGTCATCACAAAGCGCACCTACGGTCCTGAAGACGGTTACAGCTTCAGAGTCGAAGAAACCTTCGTAAGTTCGCGGCGACAGTCTGCGCATTCGCCTTGCGCTGACATTCAAGCGTAGATCCAGCGCCGTATCAAGACTCCCCCTCCACCTGTTGTCAGAAAGGGTCCGCGCCCCGCGCCTCCTCATCTCCGTTTCCTCAAGAACACCAGCACCCAGGAGATGAAGACCGACGCTGGCAGTATCAAAGACCCCGCCAAGCCCAACAATACCAGCGACACATCTCCTCTGCAGACAACCACCGGCAACCTTCACGCCATGACCGAATGCGCAAAAGATCCTTCGCCTTCCGCCATGACCAACAACGCAAAGACTTCTTCGCCCCTCCGCGCCAACACTGCTCCCAACCAACCCAAGGACCGCTCTGCCACCGCAGCCACGACTTGCACTATCCCCACTCCTCGCTACTCCTCAGATCCTGACGGCGGCGTTGAGCTCCCCCCTCACATCGACACAGCCAACGCTCGCGGCATCGTCTTCGGCGGCGAAGTCGACGACGACAAGGGAGACAACTGCAACGACCGTCCTGAAGCCGACGCTCTCCTCGAAGCTACCAATCAAGTCACCTCCGAAGGCTGTGACTCGGATCCTTTGGTCTCGGCCTTGGATTGCTGCAACTCGAGCTGAAAGGCTGGCTCGGCACCGACACGCTAAGAACAGCAAGTGCTGTACCCATAGAGGAAACAGTCTGATGTTCTGTTCGCATAGCTTGCTGTTGTCGACAGGTGTCGTGTGGAAACCGGAAGGAGAATGTTTTGGAAATCCGGGCAATGATGGCGGTCTCGTTCTGTCTTGGTTTCTTGCCCATGAGGGCGCCCGTTTCGAATTAGCAGGAGCAGACTATTACTCACTCCACAATCCAAGTCGCTACTTTTCTTCGATCGTCGCTTCCTATCATCGTCATTCTTCGTGAGCTCTGTCTTTCAGTAGTCGTGGTGATCTCCAGCGCTGTCCGTGTCGCAATAAAATCAGCTCCCGTCGCTGCCAAACGCGTGTCATTGTTTGGAGCAGATGACGTTGGGATAAAGTTGAAGTTCAGGCAATCTCGCCACGGCAGAGACCAGTGTCACCCACACTCCATCCAGTGCGAACCAACCTTGATGCACGCAAGCCACTGATACACGGGAACGGGAACATCATTGCTCGAAGATATCGAGTCACAACACGTTTCTCTTATCAACGTCCCTGCTGTCGCTGTCGCTATCTCTCGGCTGAGTTTCCCGTCCCAAGAGATTTGCAAACAGGCGAAACCGACAAACTCCGGCATCGCGCTCCGTAGCTCACCGTGACAGCATGTCATTGCTATCTTTGCTCTCTATAAAACACTAGACTCTCCTTCTCCCTCGCACACGATGCTAACACACATCACACGTCGTTTCTACTCTGCAACCTCCAGAACAATGGCAACCAAAAACTTGCAAGTCGGCTGGGTGAGTCTGCGTCGGCTGCTTTACCGAGGATGAAAGGAACTGTTTGATGGCTGATTGCGATGGGAAACACAGTATGGCCTTGGATCAATGGGTAAACCCATGGCAGAGAATCTGCAAAAGTACTTGGCCAAGAATGATCAGAAGCTCATCTTCAACAACCGTACAATGGCTTCTGGCGATGACTTGAAGGGTCTTGGCGCAACTCCAGCGGAGAGTTTCGGCGAGTTGGTCAAGAAGAGTGATGTGGTGTTCACAATGGTATACCAGACTCCCGACCCAGAATATGTTCCGAGGAGGACAAACTGACAAGAAAAGGTCAACAACGACGCAACACTCAACACTCTTCTCCAACAAGCCTACGACACCAAAGACCTCTCCGGCAAAATCTTCGTCAATTGCTCAACCGTACACCCAGACACGACAAAATCTGTTTCCGAGCAGATTGCATCGCACAAGGCAACTTTCCTCGCCGCACCCATGTTCGGCGGCCCTGCAATCGCCGCACCGGGAAAACTTGTCGTTGCTATTGGTGGCCCTTCCGCTGCTGTCGAGAAAGTAAAACCTTACTTCCAGGACGTAATTGCCAGAAAGGTCATTGTGTGCAAGGAAGAACCGCAGAGTGCGAGTATGCTCAAGATTGCTGGGTAAGTTCTATGCTTCCCGATTCAATCAGAGATTGTGGAGATTGTGAGTAGAGCATGTGCTGATAGAAAACAACAGCAACATCATTACAGTCAACCTCATGGAAGCAGTCAGCGAAGCCCAAGTCTTTGCCGAACAAACCGGCATCGGCTGCGGTCCTATGGAAGAACTCATCACCGAGGGCTTTGGCCCCGTCGCCGGTGGATACTCAGGCCGCATGACAAGTGGAAACTACGCACCTGCTCTCGACAAGCGCCCTGGCTTTGGCGTGTCGCTCTCAATCAAAGATGCAGATTATGCTGTCGCTATTGCTAAGGAAAAGGGAGTCAAGTTGCCGGCTACGGAGGTGGCGAACAAGAATATGAAGAAGGCGAGGGAGGGACATGGTGAGGTGTTGGATTGTGCGAGTATGTATGGAACGCTGAGGGAGGAGGCTGGGTTGAGCTTCTTCAATGAGAAGAGTAGGCAGAGTGATGAGTAAGTATGAAGGAGAATGGAAAAGTACTGCTGATTGTTGGTAAATCGAAAGGTCCTTGATGAATTGAACTGGTATGTGATGAAAAAAAGAGCCTGAGCTCGCCCGACTTCCTCTCAGCCGAGGTGGACAACCTCCACCCATTTCTCTTGTTCACCTGTTTCTGGACACAGCAAAGAACTCTAACGAAATGATTTGACGCGACGGACGATAGCTCAGTCGTCGTCAGAACCACGAGTACGCATGTTCAAAGCAGCAGTCTGGCGGTCGAGAGCAGCAGCATGGTTATTGAGAGCGGCGCTGTGCTCGCGCATGGCAGTGGGCATGATGGTCTCACTGGTAGGTTGGATGTGAACGGCAGTGTTGAGACCACTCTGGAGAGTAGTACTGGAACCACTCTGGATGGCAGTCTCATGTTCGTTCTGGATGGGAGTGTTGGGTTCTGTCCGGATGTGGGTCTCGACGGGCTGAGGTTGCTGAACAACGGCATTGGGACCAGCATTGGCGGGTTCTGCGGGATTGGCGACAGACGAAGAGCTGGGGACTACGGCAGGAGAATCTGAAGTGGCAGACTCAACCTGCCTTTGACGGGCGGAGTGGATTTCCAACTTCATGGAAAAACTGTTCCGTCAGGTCTATAATCCTTTGGTCGACCTGATGTTGAATTTCGCAACCAGGTAGTATTTCATCGCGCCACATCCACAACTCAGTCAACCAGCTGATGTACCAAGCCTTGGTAGCCGGTGGGAGCGTGGTGTCCTTTTCAACGTATCCTGGACGGATAGCGAGGGGTAATTTCTGACGTTTATTGGAGGGCCCGGCGGCAGCCTGATCGTTCTGGGAAGTATTAGTATCGAACCTGGATTGACACCACTGCTATCTTACGCTCGATGAGGCCTTGCCTTTGGAAGCCATGGTGTTCTACAGATTACATTTGAGTGCGAAGTTGTAATTGATGATCATAAAAGCTTACAACACACTTGTCTGGAAGCTGGTGATGTTGTGCAAGCTGATATCGGAGACGAGTGACTGCGTTGTTGTAGTGATGTTGCGATGCAGTGGGTTGAGGAAGCATAGAAGATGTCGCAATCGAGGGATGGTATCAAGCTAGACCAACGTCAACAAAGTGACGGTCCGACGTGAGAGAAGTGAGAGAAATAATATTTAACAACGTTCCGAAGTCTGAGAAACACTTCACTTGGCGCAGCTCTTAAAGACTAATAAATCTAATGTAAGCAGAGAGACTTTCAGAAAGACGCTCATGAGTTCTGCATTCTCAGGTTTAGTGCGCGGTCATACATCTTCCCATGCGCAGGAATCTGTTAGACAAGGAGATATTGAGACGCAAAGTCTCTTCAAAGCACGGGAAAGACTCACTGAGAGGCGGAATATAATCGGCTCCCTACGGAGTGATGTACGTTATGAAAAAGGTTGTGCATTCTGATAGCTTCATCCCCGTTTGCGACTTGTCGTGAGTGTCGAGTAGGAATGACAACGCTTGGAAAGTACGTGATGGAAAAATACAGGACACGAGGTCTAAGAATGATGCAGGCCTTGTGACAGCGTTTGTCAGGCTTCTGTAGAAAAGATTTCCCTGATTGATCTGCGGCTATATGCCTGGCAATGAGATACGCCAACGCTCCTTCCTTGAAACTCAGCTCCCGGTGATACCAGTCATGCAAGATTGAACTTTACGGCATACGACCTCTTTGCGCTCCTTCACTGGGAAATCCACATGTGCTAATCACCTCACCTAACTGTAGTGCAACCATGTGCCAGACTCCCTCTCCTCGTCAAAAGCAATATCGGCATCTCGTAACTGCTTCCTCAACTCGTATACTTCATCCTCAAGATCTCCAACCTTCATCCGCAAAATGATGAGCTCCAACTTGTCCGCATCAGCTTCCAGCTTCCTATTTTTTGCTTCGCCGTGCTCCTCTGGCTTGGTAGTATTTTGAACATCTTTTCTTCCTGGTCCAACCAACCACCATGGTGACTGACCGCTGTGGTTTTCGAGTAGTACAATCGCCTGTAGAAGAAGTGATCTTGCCTCATCGGGGCTGTCGGGTGTGATGAGCACTTCTCCAGTCGCGGTTGCTTGGTGGTCAGGTCGTCCTGCTCTGGGATAGAGTAGCCGGAGAACTCTGTTCAACAGTGTGGTGGCTTCGCGAATTGTCTTCTCGTAGTCTGGAGTTGCAGGGGTAGACACAGATTCTGCGATGGCTGATGCTTTTGCTTGGGGCTCGTGGTTGTGTGAAGAATTGCTGTTTCTGGCACCTGAGTGTGTTGAGGGCCTTTGACCATTGCTCGGATCCTCTTCGACTGGAGAGTTGTCAACGGAAGAGGTTTGATGGTTGGCAACCGGAACTGCTGAATTGGCATCCGAAGCTTCTTCCTCATCATCGAAAGCGTTGCCAGGTGGCATCTGCGGGATCAGTATACGTCAGCATAATGCTCATCAACCACACCGATCGCTCATGAGCAGTGGTGATACCCACGACACCTCTTCCCAGATATCTCCGAGCAGTGGCTTCTGCACTTGCCTTCGACTCATTGTACTCTTGCAGCTTCCAGTAATCTTCCATGTCGCTGGATGCTGGAGAGATGTTTGAGCTGGATAGGTGAGATATGGGATTCGATGCGAGGGCCAGATCATCATATATAGCTGTGTGTTTGCTTCAACAAAGCGATATGATAAGTTGCAAGAATCTTCGTCCATTGCTCATTCCCTTGTGCCATGTTTGCCGTTCGTCTCAAAGGAACGATACTAGGATAAGAAGCACAAGAGCGGTGAGAAAGCTTTGCGGCATCTGTTGAATGGAGATTCTCAAGTGGATCTGAATTGGGAATGCAGTTTATCCAGATGCTTCTAGTCGATGGAAACTTCTTGACTTTGCTTGAGGCTTACCGATAGATCAATGAACACAACTTCAACTTTTCTTTTGATGAGAGATGTGAAAAGCGCCAGGCACAAGGAGTGGATAGTGAGATTATGGGGATCAGAAGTTTGATTTGTGCTAATGAGTGACAATCTTGCAAAATTGGACACAATCAGATCAACTTTCATGTCAATGCCCACCAGGGGCTCGACAACATCTTTGGACAACAAAGTCCTTCCAGACCTCTGTTCTAACCACTTCTTCTGATATCTAAGAGACAGTAACACTGGCGCTGCCAGAGCCAGAGAAAGCCTCAACGGCCAGAACCTGGTAGTTGTAAGAGTTGCCAAAGCCGTACTTGGCCCAGTAGGCGAAGTGGTTGCCAGTGGTGACCGTGCCGGAAGTGCGCTTGGACTGGCGGACAGACCAGTACTGCTTGAAGGTGGAAGTACCAGTGATGGAGGGCTGGTTGGTGCGGGTGTCGGTGCAGACAGTGTAGACACCGCCATCACTGGACACGGTGCCGAGCTGGGTGACACCGGACTGGCCGGCGCCGCAGGGGTTGTACGAGCCGTAGGACTCGACAATGTAGTACTCGGCCTGGGGGCTGTTGATCCAGCCGTAGACGGAGAGGTAAGAGCCACCGGTGGCTTGGTAGTTGGAGGAGTAGGTGATGGAGCGAGCGGCACCGGTTGACCAACCGAGACCGACGACGAAGTCGCCGCTGACGCCGTTCTGCCAGTACATGGAGTAGGTGCCAGCGTTGGTGTTGGAGGTGAATTGTCCAAGGTTGCCATTGTAGTTCTGGACGTAGTTGATGCCACCGGGGCCAGCACGCTCGATCTGTCGTGTTTGATCAGTATGATAGTCTTGCGAGGAGGTATCAATGGTGGATATCGTACCAGAACGGGAGTGGCGGCCTCAGCATCGGCCTCAGCGACTGGGGCAGCAACAGCTGCAACTGCAAGAGCAGCGATGGTGGCGAAGAACTTCATGTTGAAGAGAATTGGAAAGATTGCTCGAGTGATTGTGAATTGAAGTGCTGATTTGAGTTGGTGATGAGAGGTGATGGTGGTGGTCGTCGCTCTTCTTTATATATCTTGACCAAGAAGACTTTTACCGGTCGACGTTGATGGAGCTACCATCTAGCCCATGTTCTTGATCGCCTGATATCCAATACGGAAAAGATTAAAGGGCGATGGCGGAACAAGCACGACACCTCGCTTGGGAGTTCGACACGCAATGGTGCATCCGAATGGCTCTGACTCGTTTATCCGGATATCGCATTGGTATACTCCAAAGTATGGTTATACGAAGAACGTTATACGGCCGGTAGCATAGAGTAGAGAGCTCTATACCGTCTCGTGCATGCGTCCATGCAGCCATGAAACTCTCATCTTAGCCGCTAGAAAAGGATGTGGGGTCGCGGTGTGTAACTTTAATCTCTATTTGTTGGCTGCAGGAACACCACGCGGTGCAGTTGCGACCCGTCAATTCGAGGCGCTGTCATGCTCACTCAAGCGATGTGCGGGCATAGATTTGCTGACCTCCTGGCTTGAGATGAAACTTGGGTGCAAGATGCAAACGCGGAAGAGGTGCAAGTCTTGCAAATTGAATGGCAGACGTTGCCAGCACCCCCCACAGATCAAGGCTGGCCTCGGCTTTGGCTGAAACACACTACTGTACGGACGAGAGGCTTGTTCAAGCTTGTCAATTCTTAGTTGATGGTCCAAGACAAGATCAAGCCTACCAAGAGGCAAATCATCTCGTGCTTTGTGCATCTGAACGACATGCCTTCTTGCTGTGAGCACTGACAGCCGTCGCCGGTCGGTCCTTCTCGCGTCATCATCACTCGGCACTCTCATCTCAAACTTTCATCTCCCCTGGTGTGGAGAGGTATGAACATGGTTCATCGTTTCAGTTTGGCATTAGCAATGGCAATGCTCGGAGTAGCGATGGCAAAAGCGGTTAAAAGAAAACGCTTACGTGAGGATTGTATATAGCCCTGCAAGAAGGTAGTCTTTTGACGATCACCCCGCACTCCGAACGCGTCTGCGCGTCTTCCATTTGCACATCCCTCCTTCCATTTTTTGTACTCCATCACAGCCAATACTCACTCAATTAATTTAGAGGTCACATCATCAAGATAAACGAGGTGCTCAAGGACCCGTGATGCGATAATCAGCATCCGCGTTACCGACTGGGACGGTGGCCAGGCCCAGCCTCCAGACCCTGTCAACAGCTCATACAGCGACGTGCATGGCAGGCATGGTCAGAAGCTACAGGCTTGTCATTCATTCTTCGTCATTTGAGAGTCATGGCACAGCTCCAATGACAGCGAACTTGTTCTCAACAACTTGGAAAAGGACACAGTGTGCGGGCCGACGTTACCATCCTCGAAACTGTCTGGAGGATATGCAATTCGGAAAGAACTGTAGAGTATACACTTGGAGTAAGTGCCTTGGCTTGCCACTATTGTTTTGGCCCAGATACAGGCTGAGGTCGGGACCAATCTCCGGTCAGTGTCCATCACATCGACCAGCGCAGCGTGAACGCCGTTCAACTCAGCTTGGAGCGATATTGTGGGGTTCCTCGACAGCTCACAACCCAACAGCCTAAATCAGAGGCGAGACTCTCCAGCTATGGCACTATTGACCATTACACCTGGTCACGCGTGATCTAGTCCTGCAGCATGACTATAGACAGCAACGCCAGGAGGTTTGCACCAGGGTAAAGTCCGAAGATGGTATTCAGCCGCTGCCATGACCAGCAACCATACTTCTCTAGTCACAGAGTCCAGCGATCATAAGCGATGATCCATTTCAGCGTCTTGCAGGCTGGCAAATCAGGGGTGAGAATTGCGAGGTCAGCCTATAGCACAGAACACGTGCAATCTGAAAGGCTAGATCTTGAGGAGCAGCCATATCCACTCACTCTATCTTGCGGGGATGACTCCTGATGATACCCAGCAAGGGTCCTGGATCTGACCCGGACCGGGCCGCCTTTGCTTCCAGACAAGATCGCATGAAAGCTTGTTCACGGTTCAGGGCAAAGTACGTGCGATGACAAGCAACACGCTCAAAAACTGTTGGGAGGTAACATTTTCCATGAATCACGGAGATAATCTGCCTGACAAACGAGACCAAAAACAACTCCATGAGACCTTCGATCATTCTACCACCGTCGCTCAATGCACTCTGCCTTCTAACACCTGCTCCTGGCCCAGTACATTATCTCCACGTTGCCACAAAGTCTTCTGGTTTGGCGACACTTGACCAACTAGAGCTTTTGAGAATTCTCTTTGGCCACTTTTTCAGTATCAACCGGGGAGCACAACCGATTGTAAGCATCTACACGTACGCTTTCACGATGACCCGACATAGACTCAGGATTGACAGCAGCACTCCGAGACTCTTCAGCAGCTTCGCAGTCACACACAAACCCTGATTTGTCGTTGCAGATAGCTCGCATTTTGATCAGATTCTCTGCCACATCCTTGTTCAGGAAGGCTTTGGACTCATGGCACATCTCCAAGTGTTCCCTGTAGACCTTGTTGTGGTCGTGCAGCGTTTTTCCAAAGTGCAAGGCGTCGCTGAACGCTTTCTCTTCCTTCTCTTTCAGATCTTCATATTCTTCCGCCAGCCTCTCATTCTCTTGCTCAAGGCGTTTGATCATGTAAGCCTGCCACCTGTACACGGCATCTCCTACTGGGACATTCTGCTGGGGGGTCGATCTGCTGATCAGGGTATGATGTTGTCGTAGACTCTGTTTGGGTACCAGCCTGTGCTTGTCCGACTTGAGTACCAGTTGAAGGAGGTGACTCGGGATCGATCTTCCTCTCGAGCTCATCGACATAATCATCAAGAGACTTGATGTAGATTGCGTTTCTCTTGAGCCTTGTCTGAGCTTCAACCAGATCTTTCCCCAGGCCGAGAAGTTCTTCGTTGGACTTTTTCGCTTCGCCCAACAAAAGGTTCTTATCGTCAAGCAGTTGCTCCATTAACTGCAGCAGATCATTTTCGATTTGGTATTTCATCCCAGGCAAGTAGTCTCGCTGCATGTTTCTGTCAGATTGCTTGCCAAAAGCATCCTCCTCTTGCTGTTGCTCCACGATGTCCTGCATGCACGACTTGGTGCTTCCATCCTGCGCCTTCTGCAAAGGCTTGCAGTCGCGCGTCAGTTGTTTGGCTGGTGCATTGGAGATCTCTTGAGTGGTTCCGGAGCCGGACACGATCTCGGGAAATACGTCAGGCATGCGCTGCATTGCTTGAACAAGCGAAGGTGCGAGATGGAAGCCAGAGTCCATGCAGGAGGATTGCAAATGAGACGTTGGAGACGTTTCTACAGCCGAAACAGTGTTGGTAGTGTCGCCTGAGGTGAGAGGAGCCATGGACTGCTGTTTGACTACTATGTGCTTTTTCAGAGACCGACCCGGAGGCCTGTTCACTATCTTTTTTCTGCTGATTACTTTTCTTCTGCTGATTCCAGGACCAGGCTGTGTATCGCGACCGTCGCTCATCTTGGTAAGATCCAGTGTGAGAAGCCGAGAATGGTGGATGTGATCAGATCAGAAGTGAGGGAAAAGTTGGATGATAACAAGGACTCAAATGAAGAGTTTGGCGCTGCAAACGCGATCTTTTCGGTGGCGCCATGTCAGGGGTTGATCTCAGGATCGGAATTTGCAATACACCTGCGGAACCTCATAGAACATCCATCTCGGGGTCCATGTCTCGTACAAAGACAAAAACACACTATGTTCATACGGACCATGCAAGAGTTCGAAAGACGTGTTGCTGAAAGCAAGACAGTATGTCTCGCTTGTCTCAGGACCCAGACAGCCACACCAGCATCTATTCTACTTGTCTGGCTATTCCCATCTGTGTCGTTTCATTCTTGCACTCTTACGCGCACTCCCTTCTTCTTAGCTTTTGAGCTCTCACGTTAGTGTTTGTGGAGTGGATGTGTTGATAGTGGATCGAATCTCGGTTTGGATAGCGAACTCTGTGTTTCGGGTTTCTTTGTCCAAGCCCTTTGTCCTGGACCGTAACGATCCCTCAACGCTTTTGGATCAGCGTGAGGACTTCCGACAACCAACCTTCTTGCTCACTCGAAAGACCGCCATAATCACCGTCAACGCTTATGCGGGAACAGGAACCCTCTCCCTCAACCACAAAGCCTCAATAGCCATGACCACAAGCCTTCCAGGAGAGCCGTCGGGCAAAGGTGTCAGAACTGCTGTGATGAGTCTTAAGATCTCTCTCCAGACATCCGTTCTGAGCTTAGCCTTCTTCTCTTTGCTCTTTCTTTCTTTCTTCTGCTTCTTTCTCTCTTTCCTTTCTGCGTTTTGATGGTGGAGATCTCTCAGCTCTTGGGCCAGGAGAGTATTTTCTTCTAGAAGTTGTTCAATCCTGGCTTCCAATGCTGCACAGATGACAGACGATGCTCCTGGAGTATGGTGACCAGAGGCAGGGGTCGATAGGTGAGACTGCTCGTCCATCTCGAAACCGGTGATAGTAGACCCTGTGATGGATGCGGGAGCTTGATGAGGAACATGAACTACCCCTGATTCGATGCGGGTTGTCATGGTTGACACAGGGGTAGGGTAGATCAAAAGCTTCTGCTCGAAAGGTCAATGGAAGATCTCAGTGGACAGTGTGGATCTGTACTTCTCCCATGTGATGCACCAAGATCCAAGCATACGATCCCTTCCACCAAGCAAGTGACATAATCGACATACTTTTTCTTTTCCTTTCCTTGAGCAGGATATTCGTGGTGTTGAGAATGATCTTAGCAGGGGAGCCCTCTTTGAACGGGATAGAGACGCCGAGTAGCATTGCAGCTCCCATTGTGAGCTTGGACCCGGTGTTGTGGTGGGTGATGCTTTGCTTTAGAATCTCTCCGAGGATGGAGTGCAGCTTGGAGTCTTTTGATTTTCTGTTCAACGTCTGTGATATGACGTGTGTAGGCCTGATCTGAGATGGAGAAAAAACACTGGACTTAGATATCACAGCGTCAACATGAGGACATGGCCGCAAAGGACGTCAGCCCTACTTTTCTCTTCGCTGTTGTATTTGCAAGCGATGATATTCGTTTTAAGTACGACATGATGCGTAAGGATGAGGTCCTGCACGAAGTGTCAGCTCTGGAGGCCCATCGTCACCAACGCCATACAACTTCCTTGCGATATGAATGCCCTGGTAGTATATTCTAGTGATCTTGAAGAAGCGGAGGTTCAAAGCAGTGTCAAACTAGCTCCAAACAACTGCTTGTGTGGTGGAGTTCGCAAACGAAGAGAGACAGAACGAGGAGGTGCTGTCGCAAAGTGAAATAGACCCTCAAGGTGGGACCAGGAACGCGGATGTAATGTTCCCACCACAAGACTTGACACAATAGAAAGGTTGAAGATCCAAACATCCGTAAGAACAAGAAGCAACGATCCTGTGTACCACTTGGACTTCAAGCTGAGGCATATTTCCCAACGCTGATCGAGGCAGTGGCGGCAATACTCCTGACATCTGATCACGGTCAGGAGGCGGATTGGTTCAAGAGTAGCAGGATGGTTGGCTAAAAGCTTCTATCGCTTGCACTTGCACTTGCACTTTCAGGGATTGTAATATGTGCCTGTGATTGTTGACTGTGAAACATACTCCAATATCATTCGTTGGGTTTGGGAAGAGCAGCTACCAAGATTGGGACGCCATTACAAGATCTTTGATGCCAATGTTGTTGGCTGCCACTTCCGTTGATGCGTATAATTGTTTTCAATCCCGCATTGGAGGGTGCCAGTATGTTCACGGTCGCCGCGTCTATCAGCGTATGAACGGGGAATTTACCGTCATAGTGGAAGAGTCACGAGGGTACACGCGAATCAGAACACCAGTGAGGATTTCAGGGTTGAGAGAAACGTGTCTTCGTGATGTTCTTGTCGGACGATTCTACTTTACCCTTCTGTACATTCACCATAATGCTCCTTGGTATCCAACCTTGATCCCACTGTCTGACCACGGCAGGGCACCTGCAGCTAGATGACTCAAAGGGTCTGTACCGCCACTTTGTAGCAACAGACGACTGGATCGCAACATTCTTGCCATGACCTTCTTGTTACATCATAACCCATCGTTCGAGTGGACTCGTACCGTTGCGTTTGGTGTGTACCATGGGATTAGACTCTCCCTTCTTTCCTCAATCCGTCCGTCCAAATCATTCACACCGTGGTTGTCGAAATTGCCATCATAGTCCATGAAGTCTGAGTGAGAAGCTGAGGCAAGGTCGCTACCACAATCATCCAGACTCGATACAGACTCCGCTGTGACAGTATCGCGTACGGTCGAAGGTGTGTTCACGCGAAGGTCATACTCAGTACTGGTCTTGGAGTCATGCTTGTCTGTAGTTTCGTGGGGTGAACGTCGAGCTTGCTTCTGAGCAACCTTGTCTAATGGAAGCATGAGACTTTCAATGGCGGTGCGAAGGCTACCCTCAGATTTCTGGCGAGCATCGACGGCGAGGGCGATCTTTTCGACGGCAGTGACCAATCCCTCGAGTGTGTTGGTGAGCTTTCCAATCGTCAATTCAATGGTGCTGGAGGTACCGTTGACATCATTGGTGGAGTTGTCATGTTTCTCTGGTGTGGTAGCAGCCTCACCACTGGATGTCTGATCGCCCATGCTGGTGGCAGAAGACTGTGGTGCAGAACGCTGGTTGGGAGACGAGCCTTCAGGAGGAGCGCTGACAGAGCTGCCATTTTTGCCAAAGTAGCAGCAAGCCTGCCAACGACGGTTGTGGCAGCGCAGAAGGATAACCTTTGCATCCAGGGCGGAATCACCGCTGACTTGTGCTGGCTTGATGTCGTCCTCGTTGTCGATATACAGATCGTAAGTATCCTTGTATCTTCTTTCCCAGCGCACGATAATGTCGGTGAGATCGCTATCGTTGAGGAGGTAGTTTTCGTCGTCGAATCCGAGGTACTGAGACTGAATGTCGTGTAGAGCATCCAAGTAGCGTTTTTCGAGGGTACCAGTAGACCAGTCTGGGGGGCCAGTGACATGGGGCTCGGTTGCCATTGCCATGGCTAGGGCATAGATTCCAGACTCGAGAGCTGCCCACCATGTTAGTTGACATCCTGCGACTATGGCACACAGCAACATACCGCTACCTGGTGCATCGAGCCACTTGCCGCCGTCGACATAGTCGTTAGTTCTGGGTTCGATAGGCATAGCGAGATTTGTGATGTCTTGATGTTTTGTCGCAGAAAGAAGATGTTATGCTCAATTGTTGGAGCGTTGGTGGCTTGATGGTGTGAGTGCAGTGGAGAAACTCGAGATGGAAGGGACAAGTGGCGGTGTGAGAAACTCGCCACGAATTGAAAGAAGATGAATTGGTGATTCCATAAATCTGACGCGGCGAGAGAGAGTGTTGGAAAAGTCGAGAGAGGTGCTGGCTACAAACAATAAGCCAAGCCATCCGTTTGTCGCAACACGCCTCCTCACACCCCTGAATCACTACCACCTTCCGACAAGTTCCCGATGTCAGTTATAATCATGCATCAAAGTAAAGAATAAGTATTCTAGTCTACCTTACTCCATGGAATTCAAATCACTGACTCCACGACATCAACTTTCGACAACAAGCCAAGCTGGGCATTGTCCCCCTCACAACCTCCGAGTCAACATCATATCCAGACACATTCCCAATACCATCACCATGGATATCAACATAGAGATGAGGGAAATGAATCATCCTAGGTCACCTTTGTTCTGCCAATCTCTCACCAGCTCCTTGACACCATTTCTAGACCACAACAGTGCAGAAAGAGCAGAACTCGTCCAGACAGAGAGTACAAACAGCATAAGGAATGATACAAGCGGCTTCGATCTGCTCATGACCCTTTCTTCATAGCTGTCTACTGAGGATCCTCACACTTCCGACGTATCTGCAAACTCCTCACGACTCACATTCTTTCCTCCAACCGCCACCATCCTCATGAATAGAAGCAACATGGCTCTTCTCATCATCTTCTCCCTTTATCCTTTCAATCCTCCAAAGTGACATCACATCCAGCCACAGTGCAGAAACAGCAAAAAGAAATGTCTGCCTCAGGGAGTCAATGTCATAGTACCTATTTCGTCTGGATCTTGTGTTTCGGAGTCGACACGAGATATGTTACGCTATCAACCCCTGCACCACTGAACACATCTCGTCCGTAGATTCCGGCTCGATGGATACTCTTCCTCTTTAGTGAGTGAGATGCGGAATTGGAGGTGAGGAGAGAGGGACGAGGTGCGGACGTAGATCTCGAATCCGTCTTTGAGCTTTGGGACTATGGCAAATGTGCAATGGTGGTACGATCAGACTACCTCCTCACGCATACTCACCGAGGGAAGTGTGTTGAAAATTAAACTGGAAGGGAATCAATTTGTGTCCACATATCTGTACGTATGCCTTCGCGAATGCTCGGGTACGTTTTTGTCTATTACCACATTGCTTCCGAGTCTCATAACATCCAGCCAAAGACGAGATAGTAGGTTGTTAGGGAGATCAAGGACCTCGGACCAACAGTAAAGCCTCTGAATGAAGGCCATGAGCATCTTTGAGGTGCTGCGGGCAGGTCCGATTGTCGTGTCGATGTGATCCTTGTGGTGATATCGGCAATGTGAGATGATTCAATGATCAAAGCGTTGAGTGGTGACCCGATATCGAGGGCAGGCTCTATGTCGATCTGTGAGATGGCGGACATAGTACTGGTAGGCTGTGCGCTGCTCGTAGATGGACCGGGTCTTGGAAGTAACCAGAGCCTTCCCAACGATTACTATTCCGGCGAATGTAGATTTGCTTTGATGCCTCGCCACCGTCGCAGAGTGCTGGAACAACGATATATCCATTTTCCCAGACGATGAAGATGTCCAACGTTGCCGGGCCTCGCGGCTTCCAGGCCTTGATCAGCGCGCAGACAACATCGGGGTCCGTGTGGCATTCAGGATCGAAGTCGATCGCTGTCTTTTTCATGTGTTCGACCATCTTGATATTGCAGGGAGATTTGAGGAAGTCGTAAGTCATCTTCTCCACACTCAAATTTGACCAATCCAGGGGTCGTGTATTCTGAGGGTCGGCGGCCCAGCCAATTGCTAATGCGTATACAGCACTCTCAAAGTCTAACATGAGTCAGTGACATCTGGTCCACTAGAGTAGAATGTGTACGCACTGGTACCCGGGGTCGAGAGGTATCTCATGCCAGGCGGCAATTCAAGTTTGCGCTTCACAGCATGGAGGCGAGCCAGAGCCTGGGCGAGGTGTCTTGGGTGTTCCTGCACCTTTGATCCTCTCGCATTCGACGACATGTTCAAACAGTAGAGCGAAGAACAAGCAGAGTATTTTCAGTTGATATCAGTGTTGAAGAAGTAAGCGCGCTGGTGAAAAGGAAGGCAAGGAGGACAAGAAAAAGCGAGGAACCAGTCGCGCAAACAAAGCGATTCCGAAGTGATTGTTTGATTCCGAGAACGCTCCCTCAGTCACTGCGGTGAAGTCGTAAAGTGAATAGTCCGTCGAGATGTTTACCTCAGCACTCCCACCTGAGCGAGCTCCATCGCAAAGGCTTTCGCGACATGCCTCAAAGATACGAGTCACGACAGCGTTCAGCACTCGTGGCTCATGGGATCTGCATCGCATCAGAGCAATAGTAGCTGACGTTGACGAGTCGGAATGGATTATAGACCATATCTGTTCCAGCCTGGACCTTTCACAATCTCGGATAAACTGTGCTTCTGCATTTTTGTCTCGAAGCAAGAAAGGAACAAAGGAACGAAAACAGAGCCGTCGACCAAGCGCAAAAGGGGGAAACGACGTCTGCGAAAAATGTGGGATGGGATTCAAACGCTGCCTCTGTACGGATACAGTAAGAAGGAGGGAAGGAGCAGAAGAATTATTGTTAGACGTCTCTTTTCAGAAGGTGGATAGCTGATAGGAGCGAAGTAAAAAACACACTTACACCACCATCGATTGCTCGTTGGCCCTGACCCTTATACCAATACAATACACGCCAATGGCCCTCATAACTCCCACACTTAGAAGCTCCTGATGCAAATGATACCCACATTACCTCCACGGACTACTCTCCTGCTGCCCCAAACTCGCACTCTCGAACTCCATCTCCCAGTCATCGACCTCAGCAAACTTCTCCCTCGCTCTCTTCAACTCATCAGAGATCTTCTCGGTCGAGTTGTTTCCCTTGATAGTCTCTATACTCGTGTCCGCAGTCTCATCAGCCTCGACCTCATCGCTATTGAGTTCGGACAGACTTGACGAGCCAGATGAAATGTGAACAAAATCATTCTCTTTATCGTTGCGAGTGTACGTTCGGGATGTTCTTTTGGCCGTCGCTGCTGGCTTCTTCGACTTCAAAGGCGCGGGTGCGGGTTTCTTGGTTGCAGCGAGTCTTTTCGTCTTTGCCTTTTTGCGCTTCTCGTCTTCAAACGCTGAGGAGGAAGCTTCCTGGGCTGATGAGGAAGTAAAGTCGAATTCGTCTTTTCGTTGATTGCGACGTTTCGGTAGCATGGCTCGTAGTGTTGCTGTTGTCAAGGGCTTCACTTTCTTGGTTTGTTGGCCGCCGGCTCGGGCGGATCTACGTATGGCTGAGGGAGAGAGGGCCGGGGCTTGACGAGTTTGAGCGGGAGAGGAACTGATGGGGTCGGGTGGTGGCGAGCTGCTCATGGGATCTGCGTATGTATCGCTGAATAGCCTGCGTTGTTGTGAGGCGGATATTGTAGGTTCCTCGTCGTCGTCTTCGGGTGCTGTCGCTGGGATGGCATCTCGGTCTTGCGGGTCGGGCAGAGACTGGGAGGGCGAGGGTAGTGAAGGGGATGAGCGGTTGATCTGAATTTCGGACTCTTCGATGGCATCTGATTTGCGCTTGCGACTCTGCCGTTGTGATGTTTTTACTGGCGTGGCACCATACAAATCTTCATCAGAGTCGGGCAAAGCTGGCTCTGGTGTTCGCGCCTTCTCCTGCTCTGCCATGACCTCATCCTCTGCCTCATTCTCTTCCGGCTCTTGATCCACATCCATCGGTTGACCCTTGGAAACCTGCAGAGGCGTACCTTCATCATGCGGGGCGAAATCATCTTCATCGCCTAGACTGCCCAGAGTGAAGTCTGTTGTGTCGTCGATGTTCGTAGCAGCAAGTCCAGGATTCTGGACCATCTGCAGCAAACTAGGCTGACGGGCGCGGCGTCTGAAGTTCTGCAAAGCGAGGACCGAGGATTCTGCTCCAGGTGTACTCTGCATCTTGACAGCAGACTGTGGACGCATGACATTACCAGGCGCCTTGACTGCTGTTCCTGGTACGGCAGTTTGTCTGGCTGGTGAAGGCGATCGTGGAGCAGGGCCAGCAGGCACCAATGCAGCATCTCCTTGGTTGTTGGTAGCCTCGGGGATCGCACGTTCGGCCTGTTGCGACTTGGTCTCCGTTGCAGATTGTAGTACATGTCCAGCCTTCGTGGCTCTGCGTTCCTCTTCCATGCGCTCCTTCAGCTTGGCCATGACTTCTGTGTTCGCCTGTGTAGGTGCCGGCTTCTTAACAGTTCTCGGAGGACGGCGGCCTAGTGTCGTTGGGCGAGGGCGAGGTTTGGTACGTGGTTGAGGTTTTGCATCGCGTGTCGCAACTTGCTCTTCCTCTTCTTCATCTTGTGCTGGTTCATCTTGTGCGGGTGCATCTTGTTCGGTGGTTGTAGACTTTCGCGACCTAGTGCTGCGCGTAACACTGCTGACTTCTGGCTGCTCTTCTCGAGGTGGAGTCATCTTCTGCACACGCGATCGTGTGGCTCTGGTGGGTGGTGTCTTCTTGTCGGCAGGCGCGACACGGGCGGCCGTCTTTGCGGCGCGTTTGGGCGGCATTGGAAAAGCGATCGTAGTGCAACAGGCGTATGCGATCGCGATAGAACGTGTTGCAAATGGCTAGACGGTGGCGGTTACGTCTTGCGACAGCTCTGAAGGAGGATTGTGGTAGCTGCCTCGGTCATGACGGAATGGACGCGTACTTTTCGTGTGCCGACCTGTCCCAATCGGGAACACTGCCCCTCCTTCCGTCACTTGGTCCGCTATTGATATAGGAAGGCACAAAACTATCATTCATTTCAAAGGGGTATCACGAGGAAAAAGAGACTCTACAACATCCTGGCCTGCCGTAATCTTCCCCCCGTATTCCTAGTGCTGTGGCGTCTCTGGTATAACCCTTCCATCCTGTCCTCTCTTCTTCTCCGGACTGTCCAAATCCATCATGTCGACATCATCTGGCGTGATGACCTTGCTCAGTGTAGGTAGTCCTTCAAGCATTGATCTCGACACTCCGTTTCCGTGACCGGATATCGGGGTAGGACCACTGGGCCTGTTAGGCGCGAAAGGAATCGCTCCTGTGCTGGAAAAGCTCGGAAGGTTGTTCTGGGGATGCGTATACGAAGGGTTGAAAAAGTGTGAGTTAGACTGCTGTTCTGGCACAGCACGGTATGAAGGAGCCTGCATTTGAGGTGCTTGCATTCGGGGACCTTGGATTTGAGGAGCTGGCATCTGAGCAGCCTGCATTTGGGATGCCTGCGCCTGAGAAGCCTCAAATTGATGAGTTTGCATCTCAGCGGCTTGCATCTGAGCTTGCATTCGAGGAGCCGCAGCTTTCAAAGCGGCATCACTAAGCAATGTCCTCTGATGTGGGTCGACCTGTTGCGATTGACTTGGTGCGGTAGATGCCCCAGCATCTTGTTGCGGTGTGCTCTCTCTTGTGGGTGGGCTCATCTCCAGATACAGCGGCGAGTCTCTGTGTGTCAGATTAGATGGCACTGTTTTCGAGGCAGACGCTGGCTGCCTGCGCGGGTCTTGTTGCTCTGGCACGGCTGAAGCTGCACTAGGCTCTGGTTTTGCCGTATTGATCTGGAAGATATCTTGTTCGATCTCTGGTGTAACCTGCTCAATTGGTGGCTGAGGCATCGGTGCAGATGATATGGCGATGTGTGACTGAGCTTCTGCCCTCGCCTTCTCCTCTAACTCCTTCACTCTACGATCATGCTCTTCTCGTGTTCCAACCTTGAGATGGATCCTCTTAATTCCAACTGGTCGTAAAGGCTGAATATGATTGATCGGCTTGGTGTAGTCAACGGTAAGAGGCATTGCGGTAGGCACGGAGGGCTCTGATGGGTATCTTTTTGGTTCTGGTCGAGGGGCCCGGTGCTCGAGCTTGAACAGAGGTTCCGACTCCGGTTTGACTGTGGGTTCCTGCTTCACAATTGGCTCCTTCGATGGCACTGGCTTCAACGCCTTTGCACGCGGCTTCTTGGGACTAGCAGGAGGCAGCTGTGCAGGCATTACGGGCACTGGCGGCACGTCGGTGTCCTGTGGTTTCACCTCGAACATGTTGCTGGTCCTTCTTGTCATCCGTTTGGGTTGCTGAATCTTCTCGGGAACAGATTGAGCGTCGTGTGACATTGGCAAGTCCGATATCGTCTGGCGCCTAGCAAGATCGAGTGGCGGAGGCTTGATCGACATGTCTGCTTCGCTTGGTGGACTGACAGTGCCGGCTCCTTTTGGCTTTCTGGTTCGGAGCTGTCTTCCTCCAGCGACTGGCTCTGCCTGTACAGTGACTGGTGCAGAAAGCCTGTCCTTCTTGATTCTTACTGGAGCAAGATCTTCTGGCGCATGACTTCTTGTTTGGCGGTCTGAAGGAATGATTAGTTTACTCAGCTCATGCACAGCAACGATCCAATTGACTTCCGCTGGCTCTCTAGGGCCTGCAGGTCTGGGCGACATCGGTCGCATTGTGCCTGAGATTGATCTTTGGAATTTCAGAGGGTCAACAACTTTTCCTGCGAATGACTGAGTTGGCGTGGCGTATGTAGGCATAGCAGTACGTTGGGTTCTCGTAAGTACTGGTGGCGGAGGAGGGGCGACATGGGTTTCCAGAGCTTGCAAATTCTTGACATCCCACCAGTTCGGATCATACTCAGGTGTACTGTGCGCGGAGCCGTTGGCGGAACTCGAGATGTTCATGCTTTGCATCGCGCTCAGTATATCATCATCGGCATGCGAAGTCTCAACCCCGTTGCTGGCCGATTCACTGGGATCCTGACAGAGTCCGGATATGTGACTGAGGACACCACTGCAGAGAGCTCTGTCACTATAGCCTCCTTCCAATACAGAAATGACACGGCCATTGACACCGGTCCCTTCCTCGTTGGCTAGCTTGGTGACGTCCTTTGCAAAGCGAGCATAGAACTCGGTAGGCACATTGACTGCATGTCGCTGCATGCCAGCACCCTCCCACTGACTTGCGTCAAAGCCAGCAGAGATGAATATGGCAGCTCTGGGTGGTGCTTGTTTGTGCGAATCCTTGATCGTCTGCGAATGCCTTTTCAAGAAGGTTCGAGCCTTTTCCAGTAGAATTGAGTATTTTGTCTCGTACAGAGCCCAAAACTCGTCCATGGTTCTCCAAGCTTCCAGATGTACGTTCCAAATAGATTGATTGTGAATGTTGTCAATGCAAAGACTAGCATTGGTGACCTTCTCCTTGTCTCCATCTTCGCATGGGTATGAGTTGATGTCGTGCATGCTGTAATAACCGATGGCGGTCTTCTTGGTAAACGAGGCATTTTTGGGCATCCTTGCACTCTTCATGTTTCGCTCCCACGTAATGTCTTGCGATCCGTCACCGTGATGTAAGTCAATGTCCAAGATCACAGCGTGGGTAAGACCATAAGTCTGCGCAGCATATTCGATGCCGATGTGAACATTGTTAATCCAGCAAAATCCAGAAGGGAAATCTGAAGAACAATGATGACCAGGCGGACGGATAGCAACGAAGGCTCGCCTTGGAGAAGTTGGGATGCTGGAGAAGATTGTGTCAACAGCATCGCAAACACCACCAATTGCACCTTGTAGCGCATTGAGTGATTCTGAGCAAAGGTACAAATCGCCCTCGTGGAATGGTTGCTTCTCAGCGGTCGAGCCTGTGGTATCTGGTCTGGCCAATTCCTTCATGTGCTGTTCTAGCCTCTCTCCCGCGACATTACACATGGTCTCGAGTTCCTTCATCCACTCAGTTCCATGCACAGCAGATACAAAAGGCGAAGTCAATGGTACTGTGCGAGAAGTCTTCCTGATCTTGAACGGGATGCGAGAATCAGGTTGCTTATCCGGATGAGGAGCATGACGTCCGCCCGAATGCCTTGATCCAAGGCGAACATAGGCAGCCGAAAGTCCTAGAACAGCAGCGAGAATACGCTCCGGTCTCTCGACAATCATGCTCAGCATAGCCTTGGTCGTCTTTGGTCTTGAAAATCTGTGTCCGTAGCACGCATCGTGAAGGATTACCGCGACCTGCGTAGTGATGAACTCAGAGTCATGCAAGGCCAGTTCTCGGGCGAAGTGTGCTGATGCGATTTGCGCAGCTGTCAAGGCAGGGGGCTCTTCGACCAAAGAATGCGAATAAGATCCAATGGTGGAAGCAGAGCGACGAGGAGAGCCAGCAGGAGAGATTTGGTTGGTCATGCTGCGCAAAGAAGATATTGACGATTTGCGCCTGGGTGGAGTTCCTGCTTGGCTCATTTGGCTGGGAGCTCTGCGCAAAGATGATGGTGAGTCGTAAACGCCCGGAGTGATAGACCGATGTATCGAAGTCATGGGACTCGAGGCGACTCTCCTGTGTTCAGCCGGAGAGTTTGATCTGACCAGAGAGAGTCTGTCAAGGTTTCGTGACAGAAACGGACTTTGTTCTCTGTTGTGTCCTGGTCCCGGACTTGAACGGGGGTGTTCGGCCATTGTTTGTTTATATTATGCGCTTTTGGGGATTTTGATTCAATGTGGTGATTTCGCTCGGTCTGACATTTCCTGCATGCTGTCTGATAGTATCTGAGTGTTTCTGCATTGATTCAAAAGCTTGAAGTGACATTCTCGAACCCCCTGGGAAGCTTGCTGTCCACTCTTGTTGACCCGTTCCTTTGTCCGCTTTCACGTGGTTCTTGGCGCACCTCATCGTCCTTCGCGTCTCACCTTCTGTGTCACTTCTCCTGCGACAAGTTCAGCTGTACTCGCAATATGTTGCACAGAGGACCTAAACAGCGTCCTGCCGCACCAGGATGACAGTAGGTTATAGTAGTCCAGTCGAGAGACATATCCATAAATCCTGTCTAGCTTCGAGTCAGACCTGCATCCCCCAGCCGCTATTGCTTTCCCGCTATCGGATCGAAGTCAATCTACCAAGTCGTATTGTTGAGACACTTCACCCCATCGCATCTTCTCTCGCATCTACACACCTCATCGTCAAGCTCTCTGTAGCCGCTAACAACCATGGCTCCCAAGAAGCTCACCGACCACCTCCTCGCCCAGAACCCAGATGGCTTCAAGTCGGCGACCAACCACCCATGGCTTCGTCTAGCCGGCACCTCGAAGCTTCCCACCTCAGCTCTACTGGCTTGGTTGACCCAAGATCGCCTCTATATCTTCTCCTACATTCCCTTCATGGGCAACATGCTATCGAAAGCTTCTATTCCATCCACATCTTCCCGTGAGAAGTCGCTCGAATGGCGAGTGGCCGATTGCTTCATCAACGCTCTCACCAACGTTCGCAGAGAACTTGGCATGTTCGAGGATATCCTGAGGGAGCACTTTGACTGGAAAGAAGGAGGCGAGCAGGCCACGAAAGAGACAAGGGCATATCAAGACATGTTCGCCGGTGCAGGTGCGCCGAACCAGAGCATTCTGATCGGTATGACTGCTCTGTGGGCAACAGAAAAGTGCTATCTCGAGGCTTGGAAGTACGCTTTGAGCTTCAAGAACGAAGTGCCTCAAGACAGGAAAGATCATGTGCTGCACACCACTCTCATACCCAACTGGACTTGTGACGAGTTTGAGGAGTTCGTCATCTGTATTGAGAAGCTTCTCAATGAGCTTGCTGCGGACATCGATCAGGGTAGCACGGAATGGGTCAAGTGTGAACAAGTCTGGGAGCAAGTCTTGTGGGCCGAGGAGAACTTCTGGCCAAAGGTAACGCAATAGTCAAACCGTGCTGGTACTTGGTAGCATTTCATATCGCATCAGACTAGCCACCGCCGAGCTCACTCAATGAACGCAACGAAGCATATGATTTCCTCCAACGGTATGAGTTTTGATGGGTGGACAATGTGTGTATGTAGCGATTTTGCCGAGGTGCTCATTCAACTTACATAGCTTTAACAACGCACAATCGAGTAATTGCACCACATCACGGAATCTTAAGCTACTAAAAGACACGACGTTTATTCGTGTGATTGAAACTATTCTCAAGCAAAAAAGCAATTATTTAATCTACACAATATCGAGTCATCGCCTTATCCGTCCGTACAAGATGTGATGCGCCTCAGCGTCAGGGTCACCCCCGCAAATTCCAAAATCATTCAGGGTCCACAAGCCCTGCTCACCAAAATCGAAGCCCACTACCAAAGTCTCAAAACCACCAAAAACACGACCGTCTTGAACAAAAGGGATGTTTGATATAGTCATAACGCAACGGCAACAAAAGATCATGCCTCCTAACGGAGTCGAACCGGTGACCTCGGCATTACTAGTGCCGCGCTCTACCAACTGAGCTAAAGAGGCTTGATAAGTGGCAGATGATCTAGAAAAAATATGGCTCTATCGTTTGAAAAAGATTTTGCTGTGCGTGCACAGACGCCGAAGCCTCTCATTGCTGCAGGGCTGCAGGGCTGAAGCCGAAGCCGAAGCGCTGGAAATCGACATCAACAGGGCAGCACCGTCGGGTCGAAAAGTCGTGAGTCCCCGAGACAAACAGGCAAATATCATCGGAGATTGGGAGCACGGACAGAGCGGTCGATCAACAGATGAAGAAGTAACACATGTCGAAGCGACCAATTCCAAAAGTCTTCCTGATCTATCATCTCTTGACATCAAATCATGCAATGCATCTAGCTAGTCTGGAGAGCAGCCTGCTTGACACCCTCGGTAACCTCCTCAATAGCATCACCAGCACTCGGACTCTCAGCGCCGTCCTTCTCAGCAGACTCGACAGACTTGCCAGCATCCTTGGCCAACTTGGCCTTGGCTCTCTCGGCCTCCTTCTTTGCCTTCTTCTTCTCCTTGTCTGCCTTCTTTGCAGCAGCCTTTGCTTCCTTCTCGGCCTTGGCCTTCTTGGCTTCATCGCCGCCAAACATCTCACGCCATTCCTTCTCCTTCTCGGGCTTGATTTGTTGGAACAGGTGGGCGGCTTCGCCGAGTTTGTGGTTGGGGGTGATGCTGTCGCCTTGCCAGTCGTCGGGGATGATGAGGAGAGTGGTGTTGAGTTGTTGGAGGATGGCGGAGGTGGTGGAGGGCATGTAGGGTGCGATGATGGAGGCGAGCAAGTGCACGTGGTTCAAAGCCAGACCTGCGACGGCGGCACAGCGTTCGGGTTGCTCCTTGGCTAGTGCGTTGTCCAGCTTGTTGTCTTGAAGGAACTTGTTTCCGAGGTAGGAGATGTGCATGGCGGCTTGCAGACCTTGACGGATCTTGACGGCGTCCATGGTGGCCAGGTACTCCTTGAGTGCCTCGTTGACTTCCTTCTTGTGGGCGGCGATGATACCTTCTGAGTCGTCGTACTTTGTGTAGTCTGGCACGACACCCTCGTAAACAGCAGAGTTGACATACTTGACAATACGGTTGACAAAGTTGCCGAGGTTCTTGAGGAGCTCGTTGTTGTTGGAGTTGATGAAACCGGTCCATTCGAACTCTGTGTCACCAGTCTCGGGACGTCTCGAAAGGAGATAGTAACGCCAGACATCCGAGGGGATGCCGGTCTCCTTTGCGTTGGTTCCGAAAACACCGATGCCTCTGCTCTTGCTGAACTTGCCCTGTTCGTAATTGAGGTACTCGGTCGTAGAAAGATGGTTCAACATGGTCCACTTGTCGCCGGTACCGAGTTGGGACGAGGGGAAAACGACAGTGTGGAAGGGAACGTTGTCCTTGCCCATGAACTGGTACAGGCTGACATTCTCGGGGTTGTGCCACCACTTCTGCCACTGATCTGTGTAGTTTGCAGTGATTGAAACGTAACCAATACAGGCGTCGAACCAGACGTACAGCACCTTCTCGTCGTAGCCATCCAGAGGAACCTTAGTACCCCACTTCAAGTCGCGGGTGATACCTCTGGGCTTGAGACCTTCTTGCAACCAGGAGTTTGTGATGTGGATACCGTTGGACGACCATGCGCCCTCCTTGCTCGACTTTGCTGACCACTCCTCGACCTGTGCTTGCAGCTTGTCCAACAGCAGGTAGATGTGTTTTGTCTTTTTCGCAACGGGGGTTGCGCCATCGAGCTTGCAGCGGGGCTTCTTCAGTTCCAGAGGGTCGAGCAGATGGCCACACTTGTCGCACTGGTCTCCTCTTGCATCCTCGTAGGCGCACAATGGGCATTCTCCCTCAACGAAGCGGTCGGCCAAGAAGGAGTTGTGTGTTTCGCAGTAAGGTTGAGTGGTTTCCTGTTCCTCCAAGAAGCCGTTCTTGTAGAGTTTCGTAAAGATGTCCTGGGCAATGTCTGTCTGCTGGGTGGTGGGAGTGCGGCCGAAGATGTCGAAGCCAATGTTGAACCATTCGTAGACCTCGGCGTGCAACTTGTGGTACTTGTTGCACAGCTCTTCCGGTGTGCACTTCTCTTCGATAGCCTTGGTCTCGGTGGCAGTTCCGTACTCGTCGGTGCCGCAAACGAAGAGGGTGGGAAGGCCGCGAGCCTTGCAGTATCTGCGACCAGGTTGTCAGCCATGTCTGCGCAAACGTGGCTAGACCGAGACCGACCTGGAGAAGACATCGGCAGACAAGACACTACCAATGATGTTGCCCAAGTGAGGGACGTTGTTGACGTAGGGGAGGGCAGAAGTAATGAGGATGTTCTTCTTGCCCTCCTCGGGGAGGATCTCTTTGCGCTCGCTCATAATATTGCGTCGGTGTGTTTGTGCTGGATGCGATTCGATGTATCTGTGACTGCTCTTGACAGGCGCAGTGTTTCGATCGTGGGGGTGAGTTGAAGAATGGCGCGTGCTGCTCGACGGTCAAGTTTCAGCTTTGGAGGGGTCCAAAAGCTGCTGCTGAAAGTGACTCAACTGCTCGGCTGCATCCGACATGCCACCTCCGCCATCGCAATTCAGCCCTATCGCCATGCCAGAACTTTTTGATACTCGCTGGAAACATCAAATCAACTTCAAACTCGCAAACAATCATAAGATACAGTCAAATCGCTCTCTATCACACACCCAAATCAACAATGGCAAACCCTCAACCCGATGACTTTGACTCCCTCTTCAATCTCGAAGAAGAATACTACACCGAAGGCTACAATCTCGGCGTAGCAGACGGTTCCCGCGCCGGCCGCATCGAGGGCCGCCTTTTCGGTCTCGAGAAAGGCTTCGAGAAGTTCGCAACCATGGGAGCCCTAGCTGGTAGAAATGCCATCTGGGAAGCAAGGATTCCGGATCAAAACTCTGCTACTGCTGAGAACGAAAGCAAATTCAGACTCCCCAAATTGTCTGGAGGTGCTAGATTACAAAAGCATTTGCAGACTCTGTTTGCTCTGACAGAAGCCGAGAGTTTGTCTACTGAGAATAATGAAGACTCGGTCTCCGATTTTGATGACCGCCTCAAGCGTGCGGAGGGCAAAGTCAAGGTCATTGAGAAATTGGTTTCTGAGGGTCCCCTAGTGCTTGAAACTTCTCAGCCCGCTGCTCCTGGCAGTGCCAACACACAAGAAAGACGTCAAATCAAGATCAAGAGAGCAGATGCTGGTGGTGAGAGTAGCATGGAAGATTTCAATATTCGCCATGCTCGCTCTTGAAGCCTGTAACTTTCATGCTTCGAAAAGGATTTCTCGCTATTGCTACCAAAGCCGACGATATCATTGTTGCGCCCCAGCAAAGACACCAGCTTCCAAGGACCTCCAATACTCCGCAAATATGCGCCCAAAAATCCGTTCTCGCGCCAGAGTGCTCCCAAACCGAACAAACGCCTCGCTTCATGCTCTCACCTTTCAAGCCGTGGTCGCAGTCTCTCCGCTGGCTGGTCGCAAATCCTGCACAACATCAAGCTTTGGCTTCTTGGTCTCACTAGCTCCATCAGTCTGTTGAACATTGCTCATGTCGGCTAGTGGTGGCCTGCTAGCAGCATTTTCTGCCGGCAGTGGTCGCTTCATCGCAGGAGGCTTGTAGGCACTTCTATTGGCCAATGGGCTTTGCTGCATTCCGCCTGGCATGCCGACACGTCGACTGGCATCCATGGCAGGGTTGACGAAATTCGATCTGTTTGCGGGTGCTCCTCCATTCGCCAGGAGTTTAGGATCTGGTATTGGCAAAGTTGGAGCGCCAACTTCAGACCGCTTGATCGGTGCTGACTTGCGGGCATCAACTCCCTGGGTTCGTCTGATCGAAGGACTCTCATGATGTGGATCAAATAGCTTGATTGGAGGTACGGCACCTCCTGGGAGAGGTTGAGCCAGGACTGCAGCTGCAGCTCCTGACACAAAGCCCGATGGTACATGCGCCGGTACTTGGGAAGGCGTGACTACTGACTCTGGTGGCGTACTCTGTCTACCGTTGGTGGTTGTTGTTGAGTCTGTAGCAGACGAAGGATTTGAGCGGTAGCCGTTCTGGTTGTTGGCTTGGTGAGGTGGAGGCATCATGCGGTTCGGTTGTTGGTTACTCATGGTATTCGAGTTTTTGAAAGTCTGCGGATGCCCTTGAGGCCGTCCTTGATGGCCGTTTTGTTGACCATTCTGCTGGCCGTTCTGTGGTCCGGCAGAGAACTGGCGGACGCTGGGCATAGATGCTACCCTGTTCGGTTGTTGGCGATTCGCGGCTTGTGCTGAGATGGAGTTGGCAGGAGGTCGAACTGGCGTCTCCACAGAGACATCGATCATAGAAGTGTCTAAATGTACCTCATCAGGATGGCTGAAATCCACCTCGTCAAACAGATTTCCTCCAAACTCATCCTCGAACTCCGAAGTGTTTGATTGAGCGCTGGGCATGCGTGCCGGTGGTGGTGCGGTGATGGCTGTGGAGGTCGACGGGCCTGCGAGTGCCTCTTTCTTGATCGGAGCGTGATCCGGGTGACGGTGTAGGTTGTCGGCGTCCCATTTAGACGGCGCAACCCTGACCTTGGTGACTCTTTGAAGATAGTCCTTGTCGTACAAACAATTTCCCAGCACGTTTCCGAAGTTGCGCAACGCTCGCTTCAGGGCATCGGTTACAGCTTCTTTCTTTGCTTTCTCGAAGGCAGCTGCTTTGCCCTTGCAGTTCTCGATGTGTCCATACCCGACATCCTGCGCTGTGTCAGCTCGAGTACACATGACAAAAGCGAGCAGCTAGCTTACCTCGTGAAATGTGCCATCTCTCAGGGAAACACGCACGATGGTAGAGAGGCCCAAGTTGATCTTTCCTGTTGTCGGACTCTCGTCGCACTGTGACGGTCAGCATTGTGACAAGCCAGTAGATTGTAAACAAGGCTCACAAAGTCAATCTGAACATCCCTGATCGCACTGCTCCATCCATTGAAGCCAAAGACCTCGTTGGCAAGATTGATGACTTTCTCAGCAGCGAGGTAGTGGACCTTGCCGCCTCCATTTCCGGGACGTGTCGAGATGTACTCGGGGCCGAGTTGCTTGTCCAGACGGCTCTGCAGCGTGGCTATCTCTTGCGCCGTGTATTCATTGATGTGGTTCTTCTGCTCTTCGTACGGGTTGGTGAACTTGTTGTCCTTCCACTGGTCACCAGGTCTATCTTTAGTGTTAGCAACTTCGCTCAGCCATCATAGCAACACAACTCACGCAGGCATGATCGGTCATCTGTCTCTGCAACCAAAGTGGCGACGCGGACTTGATTTATGCACAGATACAACTGCGCTTGCCTTGGGGGGCGACGCGATGTGACGCGCTTACGCGCTCGTGCCAAGACCGTCATCCACCCTGCCTTGAGCCACGCAACAGCCTGGTATCTTGTTGCTCTCGCCGTCGACTGCCTGGTTTGCAATAGAAAATGTTTGGCTCGCCACTTGCTGCCTACTCTCGACTCCAGATTCGCTCCTTGTTTTTCCACCTCGAAGTAGCAGAGGGCACTGGAGAGCATGACACAGATACACAGAGTGTAGGTAAGCGAACTCGCAACTGGTATGAATACACGTCATGTTCAATCTCGGATTTCTGTCTATCTACCTTGAGCTCTGTGCATATTTGCAGACATATTGCCCCCTAAGCAGATCAAATGATTGATCTTTTGGCAGAACACCACATGAATATCCCGGCTGAACCCCTGCATATGACGGCCCATTCAGCATTATATACAAGCGGCGTCTCCAGCATATATATGCTCACTGCATCTCACGCCGTGCAAACAAGCTACGTGTCGGATGCGCCGCTGGCGAGTGGTACTTCCCTTGCTATTGGCAGACCCAGAGCCTGGTTTTGATACGACTGAAATACTCAAGTTTTCGATGCATCATGCCCTGCTTGCAACTAACACGATGAAGATGTTTACTTGATCCTTTTGACTATACATGGCATGACATTCGTCTGCGAGTTGTCAGCTGCATACATAACATTCCACCGGATTTGGAGGCTGGATCGTGCGTGAGCTTACTGCATGACCTTCGAGGTTTCGGGACGGACATGTGCCACAAGACCGCTGTCAGCATCTTCCTCAGCCCGCGCAAGGAACCGAAGGCTTGCAGGTACGCGAGAATACTTGCAAGATCAAACAAAACAATGTTTTGTGAGACTTGAAGATCGTTTCGACGGACAGAAGTCAAGGTCAAAGCCAGCCCCGCAGAAAGAGGCTCTCTTGATACAAACAAAGTTGCAAAAACGAAGCTGCTACGCTGGGTCGAACAACGGACCTTAGGATGACTGCAGAACTGCAATCCCACGCTCTACCACTGAGCTACAGCAGCTTACTGGGGGAATTGTCAATGATGCGTATATTGATCAACAAATTGCAATCTATCTGGCTTGCGACTCGCACTTCTAACCATCAGCCTTCCCTTGCGTCGTAGCTGACGCTCACCGAGTCGTCGATCCCTCAGCGCCTGAACACAAGACCTTTTAATCAACAGATGGCATGTGCTCCATAAGGTATATCCAGACGTATCGCGAGCGGCGAGCAAGAAGTCTTGAATGAGTGTTGCTATCATTGCCATCAAGACTTGGTCCAATGACCACCACCAAGAGAACAGGAAAGCCAGCTGTCTCATCCATCGCTCACGTCCATCCATCACAGCTTCAAATCCGAAACACGATGCAAAAAAGCAACGCCACCAAAGTCCTCTTCTCTCTTCTCTCCAAAACCTCATCTGGAAACCTCTCTTCCTCGTAAAATGCCATCATCACCTCTCTGCTCAAGATTCCGCCCAAGGCAATACCGAAACCACTCCCTTGGACGACAAACGCTTTCTCTCTGCCAGAAACTCGGACGGCAAAGACGATTCACTTGCCATGCCAAAAATGGGATGTTCTGGAATGCGCTTTGGTCGTAATTTCTCGAGAAAGAACTGTGAAAAGCCTACTGAGGAAGAGCTTTGGACACCGAATCCGAGACTGGTCAGCGAGGAGTTCATGTCTAGGAAACCGGGAGAGTTTAAACCGGCTACGACGTTGAATTTGCTCGCGGCTGCTTGGATACAGTTCCAGGTTCACGATTGGGTGTTTCATGAGAGCGTGCGTTCATCCTGTGATATTCGCTTGACACTGCGAATGCTTATATGTGTGATTAGAGCGAGGAGACATACGATGTGCCCCTTCTCCCGAACGATAACTGGCATGAAGATCATATGAAGGTCTACCGCACCAAACCTGACGGGGCGCTCGACGCATCAGACATCAAATGTCCCGGCTACAAAAACACTTCGACTGCCTGGTCAGCACAACACCTACTGTCCCCATATCATGCATCTTCTAATGTGGACACACAGGTGGGATGGCTCACAGATCTACGGCTCAAACGAAGCAAAGACCAAAGAATTGAGAGACCAACACGAAGACGGTAAACTGCTTCTCGAAACAAGAGGTGCTGAACAAACCTTCCTTCCACGCGATGTCGAAGGCAATCCCAAGACTGGCTTCTCGGACAACTGGTGGACTGGTACGGAGTTGCTACATACCCTTTTCGCTCTAGAGCACAATGCTATCTGTGATGAGATACGTGGAGCACATTCCGATTGGACTGGGTAATGAATATCAGTATATGATTAGAATGGATGCTGATCAGAGACAGTGACAAGATCTTTGACAAAGCTCGACTCGTAAATTGTGCCTTGATGGCCAAAATTCACACAGTGTACTTAATTGCTACTAGTATCCCAACATCCAGCTGACTCTTGCAACTACAGAGAATGGACGCCCGCCATCCTAGCACATCCTACTTTGGAAATCAGTATGAACGCAAACTGGTAAGCCGCCCCATCCTTCCATCAAACGACGCCACTAACAACTTCCAAGGTGGGGAATTGCAGGAGAAAGCTTGAACAAACTCGTAGGCCGGATCTCAAAGACCAGCGAGGCCATTAGCGGAATCCCAGGCTCGACAGTCGACCACCAAGGCATCCCATACTCTCTCACCGAAGAATTTGTATCCGTATATCGAATGCACTCTCTCATCCCAGGTACACCTACACCCTAACCCACCGCTACCCACCCACTAACGGCAACAGACAACATCGCCTTCTTCAACCTCCACACCGGCGCCCACAAAACCACAATTCCAACTGCAGACCTAACTTTCCACTCCGCCATCACACCCCTGAAGTCAGGAGCTGTATCCTTCGCAGATGCTTTTTACTCCTTCTGCATAAACTACCCCGGCGCAATCACAAACAACAACTACGCAAACCTCATGCGCAACCTCCCCACCCCCGACGGTCAAGTCAGAGATCTAGCAACCATAGACATCCTCCGTGATCGCGAAAGAGGTGTACCCCGTTACTTTCAATTCCGCAGACTGCTGAGGATGTCAGTGCCAAAGACATTTGAGGAACTTACTGGTGGAGACAAGGACCTTGCAAAACGACTTGCACAAGTCTACAATAACGACATCGAAACTGTAGATGCACTGGTAGGCTCACACTCCGAGCCTATGATCAAAGGCTTTGGCTTCAGCGAAACTGCTTTCCGCATCTTTATCTTGATGGCTAGCAGGAGACTCAAGAGTGATAGGTTTATTGCTGGCCAGTGGAATGAGGATATGTATACGAAGGAGGGCTTTGCTTGGGTGCAGAATACCGGCATGAAGGATGTGTTGGCCAGACACTTTCCGGAGTTGGCGGCTGTGATACCGGAGAAGACAAATGTGTTTGCGCCTTGGGTCAAGGTGCCGGCTTCGAAGGATTATACTGGTGTGGAGACGAATGCTGCTAAGGCTTAATCCAAGTGTGAGAGTAAAGTGGAAAGAATAGTGTCTGATTTTCATTGTGTGCTAGATATATTTTGATTTGGAACATGCACAGCAGGTACCTTCCCCATGTGTATTGTGCAGAAGTCATGGCATTCCTTCCCATGCTGAAGTCTCCAGCGCTCGCTCTCTCTCATCAGGCCCTCACGATCCTGCATAGGCTCATTTAGTAAGGGGTTTCTTGCCCGTCAAAACGACGTGTGTGTTGTTGTCTCTGCGAATCAGAATACCGTTGACGCCCAGAAACTTGACATCAAGACCATCAAGCTCGAACGTGTCTTTGTCCGGACCGTTGCAGACGGCGAAGGTCACAAGGGATTTTGCACTAGAAGTTTGTGGGACAAGGACGTCTTCTCCAGCAACGCCGGGGCGCAGAGAATACAGGGCGCACATGAGGTCGAAGTCGGCCGTCACTGTCAAGTGCGCATCGTTTTCGACAAGCGCGGCCAGAGACGCTGTCATTGTCTGCTTCCACGCGCCAATCTCACCCGTCTCGAGGGGCGCTCCGGGCTCGCTGGGATTATCGATGAGGAAGATTACCTGCACCGAGAACAAGCTTAGCTGAGGCATACCACAGGGGAGTGCTTGGATCAGAGCTGCCACAGAGGAGGAAGCTGTTGATAGAGTCAGTAAAATCTATGATCGCCAGGGTCTCCACCAAAAAACATACTGTCAGGTTCTGAAAGTGGATGATTGATCCAGATACTCATATCGAAGGACTTCAGCTGAGAGAGGACTTTCTTGGGCAATATCTGGTGAGTTGAGGTGTCTGGTACATGTGTGGTTTCCCAGAACATGTTCAGTGCCATACGTGGCATGACGAATGCCGTATACTCGTTTCCGACTTGTTTATTGACACGCATCATTGCTGGGTAGTAGCAGTTTTCAATCGAAGCGTGTTGCCTGACGAGCTGCTCTGAGGACTCGATTTCGATGACCCTATCCAAGACACGTCTGTCCATGAGTAGTCTGTAGATCATGTCTCGGATTTCGCGAGGAAGATTCAGGAAGCAGAATGGTTGCTTCTCGTGTGGCGCAGGCGTGGCCTGGCCCAGTAGAGCGCAGGCAGGTGGCATGTTGAATCTTGAGATGACAAGCCCAGAGCGCAAGGCTGAGGCGTCTAACTATGTTAGCAGACATCATTGTCGGTGAATAGAACAGTACTGCTTACCTCTGAGAAGCGTGGAGTTGTTGATCTGCACTGCAAAGAGGCCGTGGATCTTGACGACAAGGCGAGGTGATGTGCCGTGATGCGTGAATGTCGAAAGGATTGGTGTTGCTGTGGAAGGGATGTGACGAAGAAGCAAAGCACGTCGGTGAGATGTATGAGAGCCCAGAAAGCAGGACGGTGTGAGAGATCCAAGGGTGTGATGACTGAAGGTGAAAAGCAACGCGCGCAAACACACAAGAGGTGAATCTTGGAAGTGATGCGTGCGCGAAAAAAGTGTCTATTGCTGACCTTTTCTTCACTTGTTGTTGCTCCGCTGCAGTTTGCACCGAACAAGGTTGAATGAGAATCGTCGTCAAGAACGGACCAAGTTCTCCTATAGCAAAGAAAACGAAAATGGTGAGGTGGAAGAGCACGCGAGATGACTGCAAACTTGGGAGAATCGATCCTACCTCAACGCTCACAGCTATTCGTTCAAGCTCTTTAATCGTTTGTGCTCGTTTCAAATCACGCTCAATTCTTGCTATAGGTTGCACATCCAATCTCTGTTACTGAACACGACCAAGTCTGAATTTCCTTTGGAGTAGAGTGAAAGTACTTCTGAAGCTACCTACTGTGTTTTAATGACTGCTTTTCCTTCGTTCCGTCGTGTCGTTTAGGCTTGCGTCGGCATCCGAATAGCCGCTTGCGGTTTCTAAGATGAATTTTCTCATAGTTGATGTGCTTTACAATATGACACATCCTTTCGAGCGACAGAGCCAGTCATCAAGGACTGTGCATGCAACCTTTGAATCGCCCCATAATTTCCGTGTCGAGTCTCGTGTCCTTTAGAATTAGTGTCTCGTAGAATGCCATCATCTTTCGCCAATGATGTCGCGTAACAGAGCGTTGATGGAGGAAGAGTACTACATCATGTCCTCGGCACGTCTGCGTTGAGTATTGCGATCCCTCATCTTGTCGGCGAACAAGTCGTTCGGCTCAGCTCCACCGCTGAACTTGGAAGGGAACAGTTCCTTGACTTTAGGATTGACTTCTCGAGAAGCACCACGGATTGAGAAGCCTGGTACATCTGCTTGCGCACTACCTCTGATGCTGAAGCCACTTGTGTCTGGACCGCCAGTTATGCGATCAGCCAGGCTGCCTGTTTACTGAGTTAGCTATGTTTTGAACCTCGTATTGATAGATATGACGTACGCCTGATGGTGGCAGTCTCACCAGCGTCGAGAGCGTCTGATCGGCGGTGATTGCTGCGAGCAGATTTGTTGGGGAATAGTTCTCTGTTGCGTTTGGGAGGGCTTGTTGAGGTAAGAGGGGCATCGAGGCCGAAGGTCTTGGTGGAGCTTTTGGCAGGTAAAAGTTCGATCGGGCCGTTGCTGGCGCGGGCTGCAGGGAAGAGGTCCTTCTTGCGAGGAGCGGGTGAGATGGTCCTGCGACGAGCTGTTCTGCGTTCTGGCTGCTCCTGGTTGAAGCCGTATCTTCCATCACCATCTCTTACAGGAGAGGCACTACGATCGCGTAGTCTGCCTGATTCCTTTGCGGCGAACAGATCACCTCCACGCTGCCTCCTTGGACGATCGTCCCTGCGTCGTGCATTTCTGCGGTCGTCTTGGTCGTCGTAGCCGAGTGTCGGCGACTCTTCTTCTGCATCATCGTACATATTGACGTCGAAGGGCTTGGGCGCTTCGCTTCTTTGCCTGTTGTCTCTTCGCGGTGGGCCTCTCCTTCTGTTGTCGTAGTCTCCCTTGCGTTCTCTCGGGTCGTGGTCTGGGTTCATGAGGTAGAAGCGACTTCTTTCGTGGGCGCGAGGAGCCTTCTTGTCGGCAAGGGTGGCTTGGCGGATGTAGAGTTGGGTGTCAGGGTTTGAAGGCAGGGGTTTGGCACTGCGCATGTGTAGAGGAGCGACATTGTGGCCGTCTGGTAGGTCGGAAAGAGCAATCAGGGCTTCTTGTGCGGCTTGTTCTGATTCGTAGATGAGGTTGGCGGACGTGTCATCGATCCATTCGACGCGTTGGAAGTCGTCTAGCGAATAGTACTCGCCAGCAAATTGTCTGATGTTGTCGGTGGTGAGGTTGTCCAGACCGCGGATGTGGATCTTGGTCGGGGCAAGTTCGTCGGGGTTGTCGGCAAGGTCGGTTGTCGAGTCATCTTGGGTGTGGATCTGGGTGGAGCGGGCTTCCTTGACAAGTTCAGCGTGTGTTGGTCGCGAGCGCGATGGGCGGGCGTACAATCTTCATGGCCTCAGCCTCGAGTTGGGCGATTTCGGGGTCCAAGCCGAGGTCAATGTCCATGTCGACGTCCATGTCAATGTCGGCCATGGTCGATGTCGCGTGTTTTGTGGTGTGGCGGTGATCTGGTGTGTATGATGTGACTCGGACCTGAAGGGTTAGCGACTCTTGCGACAGTCAAGTGCAGAGGTCGTGGAAGCGGGAGTGAGGGTTAAATGTGGAAGGTGTCGGAGTTGGAGTCCAAGTCATCGAGATGCGAACGTCTGACGCATGTGAATTCTCGAGCCCCTGGTCCGAGCTCCCCTCCACTTCCCAAGCCTCTATACCACAAAGAAAGGAGTCCTTTGTCTCCAATTGACAGTATCATCAAACTCAATCAGACACATGTATGCTCAGACTACCCTGTATTTTCAAGCATTGTGAGCTGTTCTCATGTCGAAACGCGTTGGCTGAGTCACCAGACTCATATTCAAACATGCGATATCATTGTCATCATCAAGCTTGATCTTGCATCAAGCTGATACCTGAGTAGTCCTGATTTTGGCGCAGAGCTGTCCAGATCTCAAAGGTTGGTGGAGAGCCCTGTTACACAAAGCAAGGCACAGACATTGGCATCCCTTCACGGAATGTAGCCAAACAGACCGAGACATACTGCAGCTACCCGCCATGTCTTGCTCTCGCTCTCACGTTTACATCTTGCGAATCACTCCTCGTCTGCGTCGAAACAAACCAAAACACAATCTGCCCTCTATTCGTCTCGATTTGTCTTGCTTCACTTTCGCGCCTAGGCTCGAGTCTACCCGGCCTTACACATTTAAGAAAGAAACATTCCTTCGATTCAAACCCATCCCTCGACGTCCCACAACCACAACCTCGTCAACATGTTCACCAAAAACATCGCGGTCTTCGCAGCCCTTGCACTGTCGATCCAGATCGCAGTGGCTGCTCCTCCTGCCTGTGTCCTCCAGGCCGTCAAGTAAGTATTACTATCAGCCATAACATCAACCGTATCTCACAAGGCGCAAACAGCCAGCCAGCAAACTCTCCTGCTGATGTCAAGAGTATCTGCGTCAATGGCAGCACCGTCGAGCAAACCCTGGTTAGTGACTGCGGTAACGACTATGACGCTGCCATGAGCGCTTTCTCTTCCATCTGCGCTGGTGTTAGCGTCACCATTGGTAATTTCGATCCACGCGATTACTTCAGAGATCAATGACTGATATGGAGAAGCTCCTTGGACTATGGCCTCGTCATCCGCTTCTCAGGAAACCCAAAACGCCCTCACTATTGCTGGCGGTTCCACTATCCCTTTCAGTACTACCAGCGGTGCTCAGTCTAGCTCTGCTTCGATCTCAACCTCTGCTTCAGTCTCTGGCTCTGAGTCAGCTGCAACCTCTACTGGAACCACTGTTGTTACTGCCACTGGACCCATTCTCACTGCCACCAACACTGTCACCAGCACACAGACCGGTCCTCCTTCATCAGGCACCACTTCCACTGGAGCTGCTGAACACGTCGAGAACAGCGGATTGTTCATGGGAGCCATGGCTGCTGCTGGTCTTGTCATGGCTTTGTGATGGAATGGTTTCCAGAACACGACGATGGAGAAGATCCTCTTCTTCAACACTGACAACAGAATCCTCTTCAAAGCAACCCGGGAATGTTTCTATCGCCTCGCAGTCTGCCCAGACTCTCGATTGATCGGTGATCAATGGGTTGCTTGAGATTGTAATCAGCCTGATCTCATGGGATGATTCTGGCTTAGCTATGTAGAACCGCAGTATCAGAACGCAGATCACTGGTCTACAGTCGTTGTAAACCACACACCATATCCACACATCTTTCACCGAATTGACGAATATCTGCACGATTGAAAATGGAGATTCTAAAGACCATCAAAACCCGTTCCCGGCAAAACACCGGAAGATCGACCTCAAAACGTCCAGCAACCATTTGTACATCGATCTTTTCACATCTCTCTCCCATATCTTACTATAGCCCTACACCTCTCCTTTCTGATAGCCAACCAGAGACCATACTTGAGCATACGATGCCATCCTCAACCCACCATCACACTCTATCCCACGACTCGATACTAGAATCTCTCTCGGCCCTTTTGACCCAACTCTACACCTTGCATCTCGCACTTCCTTCCCATATCCCCTCATCCCTCGAAGTCATCCAACCGCCTCACTCCCCCTCATCTGATATCCTTTCAAGATGGAAAGAGGCGGGACTGAGTGATACAGTCATAAAGACACTGAAGAGATTGCCCTATCTATCCAGCCAAGAAAGCAGTGCAAGTAGAGAAATCGTACCAGATACACTAGCACTAAACTATCTAGACGAAAACGGTGAAGCCGTGGAGGTATGGCACGATGCTTTTTGCTTGGCCTCCAGCGAAGTCGGGAGAGAGCAAGAGGAGGGCAAACAAAGAGGGCAGGAGCACAGGCCGCATCAAGGATATCTAGGCAATGCCATTCCATTGACCGGTTGTATTGGCGTTGGAGGATGTCTGTTGCTTTTGGACTTGGATAGTAGTACGTCTTTTCGTCCTTTTTCCATTTTCCCCCCAAAATCTCTCTTCCAATTGCTCTCTTTTGTACAGAAGAAAACAAAGACAAACAGGGGTTGAAATTCGTTAACTCACACCCCAAAACACAGATCGCATCTACGAAATCAAAGACCAACATCTCTCCCCACCACCTCGGCAACCACATTCAGGAGCAGCACCCCACTACTACAAACACTATCCCCATGAACCTGCTCTCCAGGTCCTTCAACAGTGGATCCAAGACCTCAAGACGTTACGCTGGGTCCACGATCCAGAAACCTCTACCTGGCTCCAACAACCACACGATAGCAAGGATGACTGGGATAACAATGGGAGGTATACTGCATTGAAGACAGTATATCTCGAGTGTGGATGGCCCGAGAGATTCGACAGCGAAGGATTCATGGACAAGTATGCATTGATGGCAAGATCTCGCAGATGGGACGACTAGCGCAGATAAAGAGAACTCCAAACAAAAAAAACTCAAAAGCACGATCAGAGTTTCATTCCTCGTATACACTTCGACTATCCCTTTGCGTGTAAGAGCTATCCCATCATCACAGGCTGAGCTCCAGTGAATACAGCACATTTCCGTGACACCTTTATGCCTTTTTTTACAACCATTCAAAAGGCCTAGCATGTTTGCTCGCGATCTCTGTTTCTGCCAAACAACATGCACATCGCATTGATCGAGCTATGAAAAGTCAAAGATGTACTAGGATCAAGCAGTCCATTGAGAGTCACTGACAAAGCTCTGAGATATGGGGCTTTCAATGGATAGAGTACAGATTATGATTACCATGCTGCATCTCTACACACTCCATCTCCTCTTTGCTCTGATTCTCGGAGCCTTCTACGCCCTTCCATGACAAGCAAACCTCTATGTACAGACGCTTGCTAACGGTAGGCTCCCTTAGGTCAAGTCAATCACCTCCATTTTGACGTTCTTAGCAGCAGACACTCTCAGTGCTCGCGAGTTCTTCTTTCCTCTCTTTGCTTCTCCTTCTCTCTGCTCAATCCAGGCAGCCTTCATCTTCTTGTCGACTGTATCCAGTTTCTTTTGGTCAATGTTGACTTCGAAGATTCTGGAAACACCATCCAGACCAAGTTGCTCGACGTCAATGAACACAGATTTCTCCTTGCATCTGAGAGACTTGCAGAACAGCCATGTGAGATGTTCCACTCGTCTCTGAGTATTCATGCAGAGAGCTTCATAGTTGCGGATGTGACGGCACCGGGAGACTTTTCTGCAGTCGCGGTGTGCTTGAGCCAACTCCTGGATTTGATCCTCCATCCACTCAGTATGGACATGGATACGCACATAAGTTAGGTTGTAGCACTCCTGCATGAGACGTCTCAAGTCATGATTCTGTTGACAGATGGCCTCATGCGATTGACTGCTAGAATCATTAACATGCGAAGGATCGGAGCGAGTGAGATTGTCCAAGTCATCCAAGGCCTCGAGGTCGATATGTAGCATGCCGATATAGCTCTTGATACGTGCATTGATACCACTGAGTACGGCTTTGATATGCATTGTATCGACCACAAAGACGTTGTGCCTCCAGAAATGTCGTTGGGCTTCTCTCCAGATCTCCACGTGAGCGTTAGGCAGAAGCTCTATGGCCGAAGTACTTAACAAAGAGCAAGCGTGTTTGTTGGGCAAAGAAGCGGTGCAGTGTGTTTGTAGATCGGTTGTGATGGTCGCGGGATCTGGCAGGTTAATCATGCCAGGAGTCATGTCAGGAGCCTTTAGCTCTAGCATCTTCTTGTATTCGTCCATTCTTTGTCTCCCCTTCAACTTCTTGAAAGCCTTGATGCTGTTTATGCCGAAGACTTTGCGTGCAATGAGGGATCTGAACACTTGTGATTTGTTTGTGAGATAAGCTTTCGGACAAGGTGGTTGCTGAGCAATCGTTTTGTGCCCATTCTTGCGCAAGTTAGCAAGATGTTGTCGCTTCTTGAGTTTTCTGAGGCTGAGGTCCCATGGTAGAATCCATTTCCTCCACTTCTGCGTATCTGCATCTGCATCTGCTTGGATCTTTTTCTTCATCTTGGCAGAGATATAGCAGCTTCTAGCCAAGTCCATTTCAAGGAACTGTCTAGGGTTGCGCTGCATGCGGGGGATCAAAGGGAGTGATGATTGAGGAATGATGGTGACTTTCTCTTCCTCTTGAACGTCGTCGAAATTGGTTAGCCAACGCGACATCCTTCTAGATTCGTACGCATTGTGCATTTGGTAGGGTGTCGACTTTCTACCGTCATCTCTCATGTCTCCAGATGATCCTGAAAGGTTGAAGGATTGGTCGCGCATTGTTGAGTTTGTTGTATAATCCTGAGCTAAGTAGAACTTCTTGCGTGTTCGGGATCCGCTGAGATTTAGTTGCATGGAGTGGGTTCCGAGTCTCGGAGGGTGAGTTGTGAACCGGAATGTATATAGTGAGAGTTACAGTGTTGTGGACCGCAGAGCAATCACTCTGAAAATTCCGACCCGCAAGAAACCGGTCGAACAATCCAGTGATAAGGGGTTGACTGGAGGGTTGTCGTAGCTATGTGTGAAACGACAGAATATGTCGACGAACTATCATCAGAGTTAGAGCCGAAGAGCATAAGGAGAACACGATACATACGACCTGTTGAAGAGGGTTCGTGTACGTTATCAAGCATGCGACGTTAAGTACCTAGCCGAGTCTAAGAGAGAGGAGTGCGTCTGCCGTTTGGTGATATGTCTGAGGTTGAACGTGTGACTAGGCGTCAGCAGGCGTCAGCCGTTCGATTCTGCTGTGAGAGAGAGCAGAAAAGAAGGCAAGATGCGACGCAAAGCACCCAGATGAGTCCAAGAAAGAAGACAATCGTCTGCCGCTTGGTGATGTGTTTGAGCTTGGACGTGTTGCTAGGCGTCAGCCTCTCGACTATGGTGTGTGAGGGCAAAGGAGAAGGCAAGATGACCGCAAAGCGTTGGTGGAAGGTTGCGAGAATATTAGGGAAGCGGCAACGAGGAAGGAGCGAACACGAATAAAACCAGATATGAAGTACGCGAAACACTATCTACTTTGTAATCAACAGGGGGGTATCCAAAAACAACTAATTCTTCAGCGTCCTCTTTTTCATTATGTAGTACTCCTTCATTGCGCGTACTAATACGGCGCTCTACTTACACCTTCACCTCCCTCTGCATCATCTTCAGTGCCGATGGAGGACAACAGATCTCTAAGATCCTTTTTGCCGTGTGTACTGGCAGCACCACCAAAGTTCCTAGCAGAGCTCCTGCTGGCAACTCTTCTGCTCGCAGGTCTGTTCACTAGGCCATCCTGGCGGCCTCTTTCGGAGAAAGGCGCTGAAGGCAAAGTGCCGTTGGTGACCACTTCGCCACTATTAAGTCTTAGAGCAGGCGCGGATGGCGGTTGCATTGTATTTTGTGAGCCTGGCGCAGCATCTCTAGTAGCTGGGCGAAGGGCTGGAGGGCTGTAGTCGCTAGCATCATCTTCGATTTCGCCATCTTCAATATCCATCATGCTTTCACTCGAGTCGTCCCCAGCTCCGGCACGATGCATAGACATTGCAGACGAAGGCGGTGCCTGACCAGCGAGTACACGCTTAAGCTCTTCGACACGCATGGCTCCTGAATTCGTAACACTGCTGGCACCATCACCAGGGCCAGATGTGCTATTACTGGGGCGACGGCCTGCAGGACTTCGGCTGACAAGACGGCTGTTGGCCTGCGAGTGGCTAGTCCCAGTTCTTGCAGGACCGGATTTGGAGGTACCTCCATTGCCGAAAGTCTCGGAAGTGCTACGGGGACTCTGGTATGGGAATGTGTTCGCGGCGGCAAGGAGACGGCGATGGTCTCCGAGAGCAACAAGGTTGGTGCCTGAGGGGTGTGCAGACGTTGTGCCGGCGCGTGACCCACTCAACGATGTAGACTTGGGTGCTGCAGCTGCGACAGTCGCGAGGAGCTCATCCTTCGTCCAGACCGCTGTAAGCTCATCTATGCAGGATTGTGGTAGATCGGCCTTGGATCTACTGGGTGCAGCCAAGAAGTCGCTAGGAGCAATGTTCAGGGTGGGCAGAGAGAAACTGCGTCCGGGGCTTCCAGGAGTGCCAGGGGGTGATGCGATGCTGGTGCCATAAGCATCCGAGATGCGCTCGATCAGCTGGTCGCGATGATCGAAAGGCCTTAGGGCTTGGGACTCCACGGTAGTCTGTGCCAACTGCGTAGGTGCAGAGGCAGCAACTTCTGCAATTCTCGCCAGCGCCATAGCCGGGACCTGCAGGCCATGAACCCAGATGCCAGCTTGCTGTCTACGTGTAATCTCGCTCTGAATCTCGTTGCCGACAACGGAGTGTTCGAAGTTGAACTTGTGCGCGACTGCCCATAAGTAACCATGTACTAAGCTACCAAGCCTCACCTTGGATTTGGGGTTCTCGATCGTCTGGATATCCTCTTGCAGGCGTAGAATCATAGGCAGACCGGAGCGGATAGCATTGATACCGAGCTTGGCAACCATGGAAGCAAGCAAGTAGTGTAAGAGCAAGAACTCATGGTCAGCTTCAGGGCGATCGGCAAGATGCAAAGCGTCTTCGTAGATGGCAAGATGAAGAAGTTGCAAGAAGAAGGAGCGACTCCTTCTAGCGCCGCGCCCACGTGCTGAAGCATTCGACACTGCCCTGCGAGCCATGTTGTTGCCATTGGCGTTGTCCCGCTTGTGCTTTTCAGGAGCGGCTTTTTCCTCGATTTTCGCGTCCTTGTCACGAGTCTCCAGATCCAGCCATGTACAGAGTGCATCCACATACGCAACACGGACTGGACGGTATGAATCGCGCAACAGCCATTGAGTGCCTTCCCAGACTCCAATTGGAACAGGGTTCTGGTTCTTGGTAGACTCATTGGCCGACGGATCATTGCTATTGGCAACAATGAGAATGCGCTTGACAGAGTCCAATGCAACCTCCCGAGCAGTGTCGAAAGAGAAGAAGCCATCGGTGTTGGATCTTTCTTTCAGGCCGCTGCTAGCAGCAGATTCATAGGAGGCGCCATTGGGATCCTCGATAGCATTTGCAGTTGCAGCGGGCATGTTGGATGCAGGAGAGGCGGGCTTAAGACGGAGGAGAAGGGCCGAAACCATGTCCGAAATTTGGTCGGTATAGTAGACATGCTTTGCGAGGTTGACAATGCATTGACGCAAATGAGTGAGCAACTCGACTCTGACAGGAGAAGGAGTCTTAACGACTTCCATGACAGGCGATTTTGGCTTCTCATTGGATCCGTTCAGGTTGGTCTGAGTGGTACCAAGCTGCAGAATCAGAAGGATATGTTGGACAAGACCGAGTAGGATGTCCATGACTGACAAGCCTATCAGATTGACGTTAGAGCCGAGGATCTGCTCGACAATGACGGCCAGAACAACTTGTTGCTGCAAAGCATCCTCGACAATGGGACTGCGGGTCAGTATCTCGACAGCAGCGAACAAAACAACAAATCGATCCTGAACGGGAGTGAATTCGCAGGCCAGCTTGACTATGCCAACGGACCAGGCATGGGCTGAATTGTGACGAGAGATGTAATCGAGCATGCTCATGGTAGCCATGCGCACTTGACCGCGGTTGTCGACATCGAACAGCGCCTTGAAGCATTGCATAGCCAGAACACCAGCCTCTTCCTCAGCATAGCGATCGGCTTCTTGAGCAGTGCCCCCAGCAGCACGTGGGTCTCCTTCCTCCTTTGTGTTTGTACTACGGATGGTTTGCATACTGGGACGAACACCTTGCTGAGCATGCTTTTGTTCGTTCAGTCGCTCGTCGAGGGTAGTCAAGTATGCGGCACCTTGCGAATAGAGGTTACGTAGGACGGCGGGCAAGAAGACATTGACCTGTCGGCCTGGTTCGCTCGCGAGTGCCTGGGCTTTGGCGATACTGCGTAGTGCCTCGAGGCCAGCCTTTCGCAGCTTGAGGGCGTCGCTAGAGCCGCCAGCCTCCTTGTTTGTCTTGTCGGCAAATGTTGTCCATCTCTTGACGACATCGGCGAACTGGTGGCGGTACTCGACGTCTGCGGCGAGGGTGGAATGGTCCTGGTCACGGCAGAAAGCGTCCCATACAGGGAGACACGCCTCGATCAGGCCCGTGTCGGTGGTGTGGCCCAAAACTTCTTGTAGGATAGTAAGGACATGAGGCGCCAATAGGGGGAAGGTGTCGACCGAGGAGATGCTGGATGAGTTGAGAAAGGCGGCCAGGATTCCCAGAGTGACGTGGACTGCTCCTATCCTGCCCTTGTACACGTCCGAGGCGGTGCGCTTTTCCAGGAAACTGCCGACCTTTGTGAGTTTGGCCCTGCGACTCGAGGCGTAGTAGACGAGGTAGCTCAGCTCGCTGCCGTTTGGTTTTGCTTCGCTTGCATTGCCTGCTGGATTTTTGGGCAACTTAGGGTAGCACTTCAGGATTAGCACCTGATGTTTCGGTCGGCATTTCTGGCGGAGCGCGTTCATGTTGGCTGACAGATGGCGTGAGTCGTGTGTAGATCTGTGGTCGCCTGTTGTGCAATCTGTACAGGCTGCCGAGTGCTTCGACTTGTCTCTGCACTCTCAAAGATGGTCGAGGGATATCGCTGCCCAACGCCGTATGAGACACGACACGTCGCGGGATGCAATCAACGACAAGATTGGAAACAAGACACGCCCAAGTAGCCTCGTATATCGTAATCAAACCCGTCCCCGGGCCTCCAATCCCAAAATGTGGCTGGGAGCCCGGGACGTTTGTTTCTTGGCAGCATCCGCGAACCATTCGACACCCTGCAGCGCGTCATTTTCTACTCATCCACCTGTCACTCCAATCTCAAGGGGCTCGTCTCCGTATCCTTGGAAAAAAAAGTACATAGCTTTCGTGCATCGTTTCCTTGATAGTCGCTACAAAGCCATACGCCTTCTAAATCCCTGTTCTCCGATACAACAGAGCCCTGATCCTTGAAATACCAAAACGCCATATCGTGTTTCCACGAAACAAAGCTCAAAACACTTAACCTCCAACAAACTCCTCGATATCCATAGACAAACGTTATCCTGTACTTGTGTGCATCCATCTCCTCGTTCGCATCTCGTCACTTCTTCAGAGTTGACTTTGCTTCCTGGCAGCACGCTTTCCGCTGCTGACCGGCCGGTACATTGGGTGCACTTGCCCACTAGGTAACCCAGGTTGCATCTAACGCCCTGCCATTCCCATACCGAATCTAGCTGCTCCAATCTTGTGGAATGTTCCGATAGGTTGGAAGCCCCTAGACACACTTGTTAGTCAATTGTCTTTGGCTCTGTAGGGACAAAACTTACTTCGCAAGATCAATGCCGGCTTCATCATCTGTATCCGCGCCATAACGTAGAGATCCCATGTTCTGTTGCATACCGTTCATGTTGTTCGTTGCATAAGCGTGGCTGTTGAGGATGTTGCTGGTGTTGGGGGCAGCCGCTGCCTGCTGCTGATTGTTGCCATTACCCAAGGCCTGCATGGGAGGACGCATCGAGTTGGGTGCAGGCATACTCGACTGCTCGCGTTGCTGTTGTGTCTGAGCCTGCGTCTGCTCCTGCTGACCTGACTGGCTTTCTTGTCGCTGCTCGGGTTCTGGTTGTTGCTGCTGAGGAGGCTGCAGCTGAGGGGCATTGAACGAGGGATTTATCATGATACTTTGTTCTCTCTTTTGCGAAGCCTCACGCTCGAAAGACGTTCTTTCGTTGCTCTCAGGAGGCATGCTGGCGGCGATGTGCTCGTCCGAGTCGAACTCGAGCTTGGCTGAGCGGCTGTGGCTTGTTGCAGGTCTGGGAATGCTGCGAGTAGGGCTGCCATCAATACGATCAGGGACACCTGATGCACGCGGAGGTGAGCTGGATTGGATTGCAGGCATGTCATCGTCCTTCTCATCCACAATGCTCTTCTTGTCAAGAGCAGTCTTGTAATCTTCGTCAAGGATCTTAACATTGGCTCCGATTCCTAGCGGCTTGAATGACGAGAAGGGAGTTGCCTTCAAGGGGCTGATGTCTCCAAGTGGACGTAGAGGAGTTGACCCGAATTTCCAGAATGGAGCAGGTGACGAGAACTCCATAAACGCTGAGGGACGTTGAAGCGTCGAAGGAGGCACCAACTTCTGGCTGCTGCGTACAGGGAAAGGGGTGTCAAGACCGATGCGGCCATCATCGTTGATGTAGAGCGAAGGCGGGGATCCAGCAGCATTTGCAGCAGCAGTCAGATGGTTGAGAGTGCTCTTTGCCGATGGAGGATAGACAAGCTCTGGATCGTTTTCGTCGAACTTGACAGGACGACGAGAGCCTCGGTCAGGAGTGTAGGCCTCAGTCGCGGTGGGATATGAAGACGGGTAGGTGTGCATCGGAGGGCTGTCGCTCTTCTCAGTCTTACTAGGAACAGTGTGGACAGCACCGTTGAGTCTTTGGTGAGCGGAAGACGGAGGGTGCAGCTGAGCAGGACTCGAAGGGTCAATCATGCCAGAAGGCAGAGGGTTGGGTCTGCGGCAACCCTTCATGCCCTGGCTGAGGAAAGTGTCGCGCTCCTTAGGGGCAATCATCCACTTCATGCCCTTACCGGGCTCGTCAGTGCGACGGGCGATCTTCTCGAAGGCCTTGTTGAGACTGAGGTTGTGACGAATCGAGTTTTGCCAGCCACTGGTACTGTACCTGTAGAAGGCATAATTTGCCATGATCCATTTGTAGATGTTGTTGAGAGTCATCTGCTGTTCGGTGGTAGACAAGATGGCCATACCAATCAACTGAGCATACGAGTGTGGGGGCTTGAGGTCTTTGGCGTTGTCTGCAGAGTAGTCGATGGACTCGGTAGACTCGAGCATTACACCACGAGAATAGCCTCCAATAGAAAGAGGAGATGGACGGGTACGTTGCGAGGTGGGAATGCTCATGCCGTGATTGCGAATGGGTGTGCCTGGTATGGGGAAAGACTGGGATTGCAGGCCTGCGTATGAGTGGGGATGCACACGGTGGCCGGTGCTGCCGTCGGGGAAGCTGGACGAAGGATGGGCAGGACGGCGCACTGATGAAGAAGGACCAGGCATGTGGGATGATGGGTTTGGTGGAGGGTTGCCGTTACGGCCATCGGCTTCGTGGTCTTCCTCTTCGGATGTGTAAGTCTGGCGAACAATAGCGTCGGCAAAGACGGGGCCGTCATCCTCGTGACGAGCAGTGGTGATAAAGGCCATCTGGGTACCGCTGATGTCGATAACACATCCAGAGCGCAAAGCAGCGCGGTTACCACGCTTGAGCAGCTGCGTGTCAACTCTTAGACCGTTGCGGCCGTTGACTGTGATGAACCATTTCTCCTGTTCGCTGTCGTAGGAGATGACGGCGTGCAGACGCGACACCTGTCTGTCGGGGCCGAGATCGATGGAGATTCTAGACTTGGCCGAGGGGTCGTTTGACGGGACGATGGGCGAGTTGAGAGATTCGGCCTTTTCGTGAGACTCGGGGCGGCCGATGTTGATCTCGACGCCTTGGATGATGTAGGTCCAGTTGCGACCAGCGATCTTGCCATATCCAGGCACGTGCTCCCTGCCCTCGAGCAGGTCGTTGGAGAAGTCGTGCGTCGCATTCACCTGCTTGTCCGAGATCTTGAGCTTGGAAATAACATCGACCTCGGAGGGTGTCGACGGCTCAGTTTCGGCATCGGATTGTTCGTTGGCCTCGGTGCCCTCGGTGTCTTCTCGTTCGTTGGCGCGAGCAGTCGTGACCTTGCGGCGCGTGGCTGCGCGGCCATTGGAAGTAGGAGCGTCGTTGGCACGCGCTCTCTTGCGAGAAGTGCGCGATGGTGTTGCGATGGATTCGGGAGTGTCAGCGTCAGACACGTCGGCTGCGGTAGCTGCTGCAGCCACTTCAGCGGCCTTGCGCGCAGGTCTTGTGCGCCGATTTGACGGCGGCATGGTGGTTTGTTGTGTGGTTTAAGGACTGCAATGGCGGAGGGGTGGGTGTGTTGACAGGGACGTCGCTCGATCGCGTCGCTGATGTCGGGTTGACGGCACAAAAAGCAAGTGGAAAGCGATCGCGTCGCTCACGAGAGCGGGCCAAGAGTTTGCCTCCGCAAATTATTAGCTAACCTCGACTCTTTTCTGCTGATTGTTGGAGATATCTCGGTTGGATCAGCTAACCTCGATTTTCTGTGCTTCGTTGTTGAAGGTATCACGGCACGGTCAATACAGTGTCGTCGATGCTGATAATGTGGCTCTCTCGCGACTGCTCGAAAAGCGTGGGTTTGGTGGGTTTGCGTCAAACAGACGTCGAGACGCAGTAAGAAAAGGACGTGCTGTCTATGTTGACTGACGTGCTCGATCAACAAACTTCTCCAACAATCGCTTTGTCCGCAACTCGTCTCGAACCACTTGAAATACTTCTCAAGTCTTTAACAACTCGATCGAGGATAGGGGCCAAAAGGGACAACGTTGCATCCGCCGTTTTTATCAGCTCCGCTGCGCATTCGTTTCGTTGTCAAAAAAGCACCCGCCAAAAGGCGTGCCACCCTTGTGCGCCCGATCAAACCATCTGGTCGATGACGCCGACTGTCTTTCCCCGCTTCCAATAACTCAGCCTTTGTTGACAAAAGTAAACATGGCTCTTTTGACCCTCGAGGTCTTCCTATTCAACCATATTCTCGCCAGAAAGTCCTTCGAAGAAATCTAGCAGGTTCCGCATAATCTCGGATCAATGGTGATGTCGTACAGCTCATAACCATTAACAATCGGTGACTGTTTCACCGTCCGTTAGCCTATCATCCCCCTAGAGCTTTCTCGTACACCTACACCGCCCATCGTCGTCCTAAACTAGCGATATATACGTAAAGCAGTACTACACTAATCAAACTTGATCCAAACGATGTTCTTGTAGATCGAGTGCCTGAACAAGATGAGTGCTGTATGTCGACCTTTGCTCACAATATGCTATACGGACGACCCTGTCCGTCAATTGTTGAGACATTCAACCCTCAATCGCCTTCTTGCAGTAAGGACTGTCTACATATATAGCTTCTGTGCGTGCATCATATAACCCTTCATCAATGTTGAGGATTTTCTGCTCATATGTTGACTGTATTCGAAAAAAAATAAAAATCGTTTCCCCCCGGCAATATTAACAAACACATACAAGCTGACGTGAAACTCGGCCGTGTTGGCTTTGCTTCCACAAACAGTTGCATCAGAGATGTGCTCAGCACTTCAGCGGCCATTGTTTAGCCAACCTGACCACATAAGTACAGTGTACGACAGCAGTGAGCAACTTCACGAACCAGAGTGCTATCGTCGTCGGGTTCGGGATATCGAGCCCCGGGACCAATTGGGTATGGCGTGGATGGTCTGTGCATCTACCCACACAACTTCTCCTCCAAGGTCACTTGTTCAACAACGCGTACTTGACCAACACCAACAATCTCACGCGTAATATTCACGCATCTGAACAAAAGTTTTGATACTTTCGGCATACTCAAAACATGGCTCCTCAGGAAAGGGCCACCGCTGGTCCAGCTGGAGCAGCTGGGGCAACTGGGGCAACTGGGGCAACTGGAGTGGTCAAAAAGAAGCGCGTCGTTACCACTGCAGCAGACAGGGAAAGGCTGAAGCTCAGAGCCGAGGACGTCAGATGGAATGCCGCAAAAACACCAGAAGCAAAAGCCTGGATCAATTCTACCAGATTGTTAAAGGAATTTCTAACCAGTGGAGAGGATGTCTTGTCCCTCAAGGCCGGCCCTGCCACAAGACGTGACTTGTGGGCCAAGGCTGATGCCATGGGTTTACACGTTGAAATGTTCGATACCCGAGCAAGCAAGGATGTGCCACCTCAAGGCTGGATTGTTCTTGGTCGAGTTGCTGCGAGAATGGCTGTTGCTGGCAAAGTCCGAGATATCCAACGTCAAAACAAAAGACAGCTTCAAGAAGATGAGGACGAGGCTGAGGCTGAGGACGAAGACGGAGACGCAACCGAGGCTGGAGCTGACAAGACCAAGACCTCTGCTGACTTGATTGATCCCTCCCTTCGCGAGCAGAGAGCCCCTGTGGCCCAGATGATGCTGCCCGGTGGTCAGCAAGCCAGCGACGTTCGTCAGCAACTGCCTGCCATTGATTATGCTCCAAAGTCGACCACCAACAACAAAACTGCGCAAACTAGTCTGCCCAACGCGGATATCGAGGCCGCAAAGCAACTCAGCGTTCTCAAAAGCCAAGCTGGACCAGCAAGACCTGTATTCCGAAAAGATCCTCTGGGACAGGCCGCTCCGAAACCCGCTGATGCTCTGCCCCAAGAGATCACCAAAGAGCAACCTGCTACCGATGAAACCACAGAAACCGATCGCATCGCCAACTGGGTATCACAACAAGTCGAATCAGCCCAAACAGAAAAGGACGTCGTCGACCCAACAGGAAACTGGAAAATCACCTGCGAAGCCATCGCCGAACAACTAGGCGAAATGGCCAGATCCGACACCATGAACCTAACAATCCACCTCGAGCCCACCCGACCTCAAAGCGACAACGACAGCGACGACTCATCGCCCGCCACAGTTTCAGTCGCCGACGTCCCAGAATCAGAACTCACAGAGGCACAAAAAGCACGTCTGGGAACATATCAACTCTGGGCAACCTTCAACCTAGGTCTTTTCGAAGGTGTCATCCGCTTCATGTCCCCCACAACACTCAGAACAACACCAACCCAACGCACCTCCTTCGATCTCCTTCCCTCTCAACTGCCATCACCTGAAAACCGCACTTTCCAATATAAATGGCGAGGTCGCGAGGTTTCGGACTCGGTGATTACCGTCGAGGCAGAGGAAGCCACTCAGTTTATCAGATTCGAGGAAGATGGTGTCAAGATGACTGGAGTGTTTGAGTGCGAGTACCTGGGTGAAACTGGATTTGAAGGACAGAAAGTTGGTAAGGCCGAGGCTGCAAAGGAAGGATTGGGGAAGCTGTGGAGTCAGCTTAGTCCTCAGGCCCATGATATGGAGGCTCAGCAGAATGCGTAGTTGCCCGAATGAGCGGCTGTGGCTGTATCTGTTTTAGCGTTTCGGGATCCATAGATTTGCTTGGTCTTGATTCTTTTCTTCTTGTCCACCGAAATGCTCATTCATCGTGCTTCTGTTTCTCCGTCTTGAGTCAAGGGCAATCTTCACAGACAAATCCCGCGTTGAGGGCATCGATTCTTGAGTGGGGAACCTGGCAATGTAGCCGTCCAATGTATTCGAAGCTCATGACTGTATAGAATGATGCAGCTTGCTAATGTATGTTGAACAATGTCGAATGCAAAAAAAACCTCCTCCTCCTTCCCGATGCCAAACCCATCAGCCCTTAATCCTCCTCCTCGGGAACATCCTCTTCAGTCCCCATCAACCCAATCGCCCAATGCACTCTCGCACTAGCTTTAGTCCTCACAAACTTTCTATCATTCTCCGCGTCCAATTCCGAAATCTGCTTGCTGGCTTCCACCTGACTATCGCCATATCGTCCAATTCTGAAATCTGAGAACGTGGCTTTGCGAACGCGAACATGAGGGGGTCCTCGTCCTGCTTCCGCCGCGCGTATCCAGCCGCTTTGACATCCTTCAGCAATGATACTGGCGGTAGCCCAGCCGCTGCGGCGATTGGTTTCAAAGTATCGTTCGACGAGCCAGGCGCGGTGAGATGCATCGGTATACTGGATGCCAGCGAAGAATTGGGGAATAACCAAATCGATCATCGCAGCGCCCATTTTGGGATCCAGAGGACGATCTTCGGGTGGCGTTTGGATGCTGGCGGCTATGCGGCCGATGGAGTAGGCGTAGGGTTTTGTTTGCTCTGCTGCTGCGGCGGCGGCCACGTGAGCCGCTGGAGGCATATTTGGGTGGTTGCGCAGGGCTGCTATCATGGCCATGTTGTAGTTTGCCCAGAATACGCTGATATCCCAGGAACGGTAGAGGAGTGCGGGTCCAAAGGGTGTGTTGGAGGGTGGTTGGTACTCGGCATCCAGAGGCTGGAAGTAAGGGCCTAGACTGGTGGCTACGAAATCCAGCGCTGCTTTTATACTGTTCCATTCTTGGAGGGCATTTGCAAAAGCGAGGTTCAGATCTATGCTGTCGTATGCGTGGGAGGTTGTGCTTGATGGCGACTGAGAGATTCCACGTGAAGAAAACATGTTTGGTGGAGGTGTGGCTGATGGATTGTTAGAGGCGTTGGATGTACGTCGTCCGTTGTCAAGCGGAGACCCCATGTTCATTTTCTCGACTTTCAGCTTTCTCTTCCTGTCTCGAACAGCAAAGTCTGCAATTCGAGCCAGTAGCAGCACGATGTGATCGAATGAACCATATGGAGCGTCGGCTCTCCCTAGAGGTGCTCGGGGCGGACAGTCAGTGAAGCGACTGTAATCCATCCTACATGTTGTCAGCGGGGAATACCAAAAATTGTGATTGCTGCACATACATCAGAGGGTCAGTGCTGATCAAGCTGTGGTATGCGTCTTGCTTGCAATACCACCAATATAAGTCTTTGAGTGTATCATAAGTCTCCAGGTTGAAAGGTTGTTGAGGTGGCATTGCCTCGCCAATGTGGCCATATCTGTCGTAGCTAACTCCAGTACCACAGATGGCCCCGACGATATTCTCATCGGCTTCATACATCTGATCCAGCAGTATGTCCTGTGGCGATTGATCTGGAGATATTTGGGGTATTCCAGTAGCCGAAAATCGCGGCATTTGCTGGTCTTGCCGCGCCTTTACAGACTTCATTTGCTTGAAGGTCTTAGTCATCCCAGCGAAGTCCATTTCGACCACTAATTGCCGAGCACCGTTCAGATGGCTTTGCCAATTTGCGTGATTGGCAGCCATACATTCGTAGTAACCAAGCAATAACGATGCTGCGAAGACAGGGACCGAGAGTCTCTTCTTCGGATTACCGACACATGCGTGAATCCTCTTTAACGCATATGCATAGTGCTTGAGCGATGGTGTCTCGGACGCGCCCTGGATCTTTGCTATCTGCAGACTCGAGATTGCCAACATGGACTGCAGCAAGCCTTGATGATGCAAAGCTGCCATAGGCAAAGTATGTGTCCAGATACACTTCCGTACCATTGGCATCGCCTTGCTGTCTGAAGAGGAAGGATTCAGCCGCCAGATTTGTCTTGCAGAAGTGGTCAAAATCGTAGCAGTCTCTGACATGAAATGAGCAAACACTCTGGCTGTAGCCGGATTCTTCAATGGGTTCGCAACATGCTCAGGTCTGTAGCTGTCCATAGCACCACTGAACACGAAAGTGTCAAAGGATCGAGCATCAAGTCTGGCAGCGTCAAGTCCGTTTTTAGATTGTGCGTAGGGGCGAGCCTTTGATCCGTGGATGTCATGTGCCCCGAACTCGGTATCCATGTCAAACATTTCATCCTCCGTATCAACGTCATAATAGTCTTCATCGTGGAGTTCTATGGCCGCCTCGTCCAGGACCCCGCTTCGGCCAAGCTGTGTTTGCAGAGGAGCATTGTCAGTCATCATCGGAATGTTTCGTGGAGGCCCTGGAAGTTGTGTTGGTGGTCGTTCCACGGTTGATCCGTAACCATAAGTTAGACCTCCTGGCGGTGTTGGTGTTGGATCTGGTATGCTAGGACTGACGAAGCCTTCCCCTTGCCACTGATGCGGAACACCTATCGGCTGTTGGTCATCCGTGACATATGCATTAGACCAGAGGACTGGCGTGAAATGGCCCTGAACATCCTGCTGCCAACCAGTGGTAGAATAATGTTCAACATATGGTAATTCTTCCGGAATTGATTGATACAAGACCGGATTTGATGGACCACTGTCAACCGGAACGCCATGTGAGAATGACGAGCTCCTATCCAGAAATGGTTTCATGTCCGGAGATTGCTCGAATCGTGTTTGTTGCTGTGATATGCCATGAAGAGTCGGATCAAAACCTGGATGCTGAGGTATTGGTGGTGATCGCTGGTGGTCCATAGAATCTCCCATCGGTCCATACTGTTGTGACATCTGCGAGCCAACAGAGAGTGAGCGTTGCTGAGAACCGGAATGTGGAGGATACACTGAATGGTGGTTGTGCTCATTGTGGACACCCGAGAGTCCAGCGTCGAATGTTATAGATGCACCACCGTGAGGCAGGTATTGAAAATCAGCCGGTTTGAAGACAACTCGCTGGTTGTAACCTTCACACTGCCGCTTGGATTTCATGCAATTTTTGCATACAGGCTTGCCCTCGTCGCACTTGATCCTGCGTTTTCGACAGGTGAGACATCCTGTTTTTGTCCTCTTCCGGGCTGACCTCGCATCAGAGCTGCCCGCTTCACGACCCTCGGACGCGCCGCCGTCCTCGTGTTTGAAAGCACCCATCATGTAGCAGTATTAAGTAGATTGCCCAGGGTTATCTGGAATTCCAGATGGGAATTCGCGCATAGTAGACCTTCGTAAAGTCGTGAGGTGCAAATAAGGACGCCCGTCCACACATACACCAATTACACAAGTGATTTGGTGGGGAGGCACTGGCCACTTGTCGCTGTATCCAGAAGTCGAAACGGGCGACCCAGGGACCGAGATACCAGAAGATTCGTCAAAAAAGGCAAGCGACCAGACGCGAAATGAGTGTGCTGTTGATAGACGATTGCAGGAAAGGTGGACACGAGACAAGAAGGTGTGGTCCAAGAGGAGAGTGAGGCACGATGGCCAGGTCCTCTGCGTCTGGGTATCTGCCAACGGTTTCAACGGCGTGGAACCGGCTTTGCTTGTCCCGGTCCTGCGAAGGATTCCGTGGATGTGCCGGCGACGTGCACAGCGCTGAGGGATTGTTGTTTTGACTGTGCCGCCCCGCCTTGATGTAATTATCACGGGTGCCCCGAGTGCTCTAATAGATGACTTGTATGTAGCTAAGTCAGGGCTAGATGAGACCGGCGCAAGGATGAGGGCGCGATTAATTTGTGATGTTGCTTGCGTCTTCGATGAGCCATACAGGTTTTGCCGAGGCGGCGTGGGGAAACAGATAGAAGTGGAAAGTAGGACAGTCGCGTTCGATACGCCCGTATATTGCCTATCGTGCTGTAGCTAACAAATTGTGTAGCGCTTCGATTCCAGCTTACACGTCGTTTAAAAATGCATGTCAAGGATATACGACTTGATTTTCAAGTTTGTCGGAGCAAAGGTTTTTGGATTAGGTTGGTCCCAAAGTGCCCAACATGCTCGATGCAGGTTCGCATCCAAAGAACAACAGTTCCCTGTTCCCACGTGAAGACGACCGTCCTCTGGGCAAGCCCCATGTCACTACATGAAGCTAATTTGCTCTTTGACCTTTTGATCGCCCCTGGCTTTCTGATATGCACTGCACGAATGTGGAAGGCAGAGTCTCGCTTGCAGCATAATATATTGGCTGGCTTCGCTGACGAATCAGCCTCCCAACCGGAATATTTCTGTCTTGTTCACTGTGCTTCTATTAAGCATGGTAATGTTCTGCTCTTCCACGACGTGATCCAGTACTTGGCTCTGTCTACTTATGTTATACTTGGAAATTTTGATCCTTGCTGTGACACTCAACGTCTTCGCAAGCCTTCCCTTCTTTGCATCGAGGAAAGGTTTTGCAAGTCGATCGAGTACATAATCGAATGGTTTTCGGTTTGATATATAATGACACGGTTTCTGGCTCTTGCTGAGACCTCAATGACTCGCAGCAAAAGTACCAAGCTCTCGTATCGCCATCGTCCCACGATTGGTGCATTCACATGTGATAGCCATATCATTCCTCGAACTTAGCGGCCAGCACGAATACATAGATGGCATGGCAGATGAGATGCCACACAAATCCTTGTATTTCGTATCAGCTTACCATGCCTGCAATAGATACGCAATACAAGGTCAAGTGTGTGGCCTGTTTTCGAGGTCGCAACGGACAATGAGCCTTCCTACAGTGCAAACCGGAAAGCTACCCGACACAGGCCCGTGTTCCGTGCTTGAGGGTGTATCGTTACGCCGAACCACTTCGAGACACATGTTAGTCCAAGGACTGTCTTTTGCACCTGCCAGCGTTGACATATTTTATGTCGTTCTGTGGGTCCTGCCTTAGCAATCGACTGATATGACCTGATGATGGCAGGGGCGGCATCCCTCGACAATCCTGCAAGTTTGCAGCAGCATGCAAAACCTGCTCGTTGGTGTAATCACACCAAAGCAGAGACAATCCCAATGTGAGAAAGACGCGATGGACGAAATCACATGAAATTAATGAACGGTGCCTACCCATATCGTCAGTGGCGGCTCTTACAACTCGCCGACTGGCCGTCGGAGCGAGATAGAGTTTGGCCAAGCCCTTCTGCGCCTCTGCCGCTCCTTTGACTGCTATAGAACAACGCGAACGTCCATCGTCCGGCAGACTGGCATGAAGCAGCAGAACCACATGTAAGTGTCCAGTGAGAGCATACATCTGCTTGTCCCTCAACGAGTGCTGGAGGTGTCGGGTAAGTACGTACCAAGTAGATCTATTGCTATTTTGTAGCATCTTTCCCCGTCGCCCTGGAGAATTCAACCATCGGAATGCGGCAGTCTCACGGACCCTCACCTACGCACTCTAAACCTGATATCGAAAAGATTGTCAATCAACTGTGGGTACTCCCACAGCATTTGGGAGCACAAACCTCAGGGAACCGGCAGAATTCACTCTTCCGGCGGCGAGGATGAACGCTTGCTCATGGACTGGACGTTGCACCCAAGTTTTTCATCCGACGTGGATGGATAAATTCGAAAACACATACTGAAATGATGTCATTTTCGACACTCCGACGGTGGAGAGTTTGACTCCATGGGGCTCCGGTCTCGTGTCCCGCAATAGTACGCGGACTGGGGTTGAATATAAAGGTAATGGAATCCCTGGAGGTCCGCTGTTGGTACTCTCGGACAAGACGAGGCTTCTAAGGAGGCTCGACATCTACCATCATGTATACAATCTCGAATATCTACGTTCTGGCCGCCTTTGGTACCATTGGCGGTGCCCTTTTTGGGTTTGACGTTTCGTCCATGAGTGCATGGATCGATCAGAAGCAATATCTGGAGTACTTCAACTATCCTAATTCGAACTTGCAAGGAGGTGTAAGTTTGTATTTGTATGCGATCAAGTCACCTGGTGCTGACAATAGCACAGATCACTGCTTCTATGTCCGGTGGATCGTTCCTGGGCGCCCTTGCAGCTGGAGCTATCTGTGATTCTGTCGGCCGTCGCAGGTCTCTGATGATTGCATCCGTCATCTGGATCATTGGAGCGGCCATTCAATGCAGTTCTCAAAATGTTGCTCAATTGATCATTGGCCGCCTCGTTAGCGGTCTCGCTGTCGGCATCACGTCCTCTCAAGTTGTAAGTTTAGTATATGCCTTCTCGATATCCTCAAAACATCGTTTCAATTCCAGCTGTCTCGAATCAACAGATACTGATACCTGAGTCCCAGTGTGTCTATCTTGCAGAACTCTCGCCGGCACATATTCGCGGACGAGTTGTAGGTATCCAACAATGGGCCATTGAGTGGGTAAGGGAACCCAGAGGATGTCAACTCATGGAGGATCACTGACTCGACCACAGGGTATTCTCATCATGTTCCTCATTGCATATGGCTGTGCCAAGGGAGTCGAAGGCCCTTCTGCTTTCCGCATCGCTTGGGGTATCCAAGGTATTCCTGGTTTCATTCTCCTCGGATCTTTGTTCTTCTTCCCCGAAAGTCCTCGCTGGCTTGGATCCAAGGGCCGATGGCAAGAAGTCGAAAACACTCTGGCTCTCCTTCATGCTAAGGGCAACCTCGACGATCCAGCCGTACAAGCTGAACTGCTGGAGATTCGTGAAGCTGTCACTGCCTCTCAAAACGTTGAGGGTGTTACCTTCTTCGGATTGTTCGGCAAGAAGATGTGGAGGCGCACCATGTGTGGCACCACCGTTCAAATGTGGCAACAATTGCTCGGAGGCAACGTCGCCATGTACTACATTGTCTACGTCTTTCAAATGGCTGGCCTCGGAGATCAGACGCTAACCTCTTCCATCATCCAATAGTAGGTTTCGAATTTTTCCGAGGCTTCACGACCGAAAATGCTAACCACAGCCCAGTGTCATCTTCCTCGTCACCACAGGTGCCATCCTACCTTTCATCGATAGACTTCCTCGCCGCGCAGTCCTTCTAACTGGATCTGTTGTCTGCTGTATCTGCCACTTTACTGTTGCTGCTCTTATGGCTAGCTACGGACATCACGTGGACTCTATCAACGGTAACACCATTCTGAGATGGAAAGTTGGTAACAATACTGCAGCTAAGGGTATTATCGCTGTCAGCTACATTTTTGTAGGCTTCTACGGATTTACTTGGGCTCCGTTAGGGTGGGTGTACAGCTCAGAGGTATTCCCTTTGAAGTATCGTGCACAAGGAGTAGGTCTATCTGCTGCCACAAACTGGATCTTCAACTTTGCGATTGCTTATTTTGGTTCGTTATATTGAGCTAGCTAGCTTCACTCGAGATATATCTACTAACTCTTGATTAGTCGCCCCGGCTTTCACCAATATCCAGTGGAGAACGTACATCATTTTCGGCGTCTTCTGCTTCGCCATGACCTTCCACATCTTCTTCACATACCCCGAGACGAGCTCCAAGACACTGGAAGAAATCGACATTCTATTCGACGCCAACATTCCCCCTTGGAAGAGCAACCAAGTCAAGAGCCGCTTTGGTGAGAGAGTGGAGACTGCTGTTCGCAAGGGCTCTATTACTGAGCATGTCGAGAATGAGGCTGAGAAGAAAAGCAACGACTTCGCTGTTCAGAAGGAGAGTGTTTGAGCTAGGCTTCAGGCTTCAGGCTTCATTTTTACGAGTATTCAATGATATAGAATAGATTGCATATTGGGCAGGCTTCATAGAGGTTAGACACTAGACTTGGCATTATGGTTATAGAATTGCAACAAGGATAGATCAATATTATCCCGTTTCTCTTGTCAAATATCTCATCTACAATTAGTAGAAGGGTGATCTTGCAAAACCTCCTCTGCGTGCCCAGTCTATACTGAAGGAGTTGCAGGCATACACAATTCTGTGCATGTCTGAGATGGCACTTCAAGGAGGGTCTTTGAATCCTGTCGCCTCGTGCAATCCTCATGCAAGTAGTCTGTGATTTACGAAACACCAGGACGTAGATTCGAACAAATTTTCGCTGCGTACTACCAATATTCCCTTGGTTAATGTCGTAAAACCGAGACTTGCCAAGATGGATCGCACTCAACTGAGGCACAGCATGGGCTTGCCAGTTTTGCACCATCAAGGTAGAGCGAGGATCAAGTTAGGTCGAGTGTAGCTCTGCTGGTTATATCGTGGTTCAACCGAGAAGAGAACGTATTGTTTCTCTGAGCGAGCCATACATCTGCCAGTGACCAGATGCATGATCCACGATATCGATACTCGTCGTCCAGCTCCTCATCAAGGTTGCCAGCAGTCTTTACGCCACGAAGCGTCACTCTCTCCTGCTCATTAGTCCCTCCTCCAGGCTCTTACTACAATTTCGAATACAAGTCTTGGTAGCTTGGCTGTGTGAAGGTTAACAGATGCCAAGTGTTCTCCTAGACAATGATTTGTGTGCGGTTCCTGAGTTGTAATTTATTGCATCCCAAGGTGGCGGCGTTGGGGATCCTGGAAGCAATGGCTAAATTGCGACATAGCAATGCGTCTAGCCTGCCTGGTTTCCATACAAGATCGACAAGTGATTGCGCAACAATAGATACCATAATATACAGATTGAAAGAGAACCTAGAATAGACCCTGCAAGGTGGTTGAAGTTGGGTTGAGGAAAGTGGAAAGTGTAGCGTCACTCGGCGAACGCGATTTGCCCACAAATCCCAGCCGTCTCCGTGGCTAAAGAACCACAATTCGCACGTGGTTTTTTCTTTCTTTGAACCACCATCTCTCATTTTGTGAAACGTACGTTTTCTCGACGACTGGTATACAGTCTTTGCTTGTTTAGATCGACATGCATCAGGATCCATCGAGCCAGGAATATGCAGACGAGGTCGCTCGTCTACGTGCGAGCGAGTCTGACTCCGATGCTGAACTTTTGGTATGTCTCGATCTATTTTCATTATACTTCACATAGTACAAAAGAGCTTTGTCATGGGAGACATGGATTGGGATCGAGATTCATTCGTCTCTTCGCGGATTGTTTATATCGTTCATCGAAAGTGGAATTAAGATGCTGACTGAAGCCTCTATAGGAAAATCTAGGCTACAAGCCTGTCTTGTGAGTTGCATCGCTATTACTTTTCGACAATGACTCATGGTCCGCAAGGCATCGTTCATACACGCTGTTTCACAACTTCTCGACGACTTTTGGTAAGTTCTGAAAGTTCTCGGCGTTAAGACGTCACACCTGACATCGAAGTAGCGGCGCTGTACTTTGTCGGTGGTGTTCGTGTGACCTTCTCGACTGGAATCAGTGCAGGCGGCAATCTTGCGTACTGGACGTCCTATATCGTAACCTGCGTCTTTACGTTCATCACCGCGGCAGTCATCGCCGAAATATGCTCATCTCTACCTCTTGCTGGGTCGATCTACCTCTGGGCTGCAGAGGCAGGAGGACCTAGATTCGGCCGCTTCTTCGGCTTCATCGTCGCATGGTGGAGTACCACCGCCTGGACTACCTTCTGTGCTTCGAACACACAGGGCGCCGTCAATTATCTCTTGGCTGAAATCGTAGTGTTCAATGTTGACTACCCATCAGACTCGGATCACATCAAGTACCGCGCAGTTCAATGGGCGGTCACCGAATTCATGCTGGCAGTGGCTTGCATTGTAAATCTGCTTCCTCCCAAATACTTCCGCTGGATCTTCTACGCATCTTCTGGTATGGTATTGCTGGACTTCGTGCTCAACATGATCTGGCTGCCCATCGGAGTGGCTCAAACTTATGGTTTCCGTACTGCTCGTGAAGCCTTCATGACCACGTACAATGGTACTGGAGCACCTGCTGGCTGGAACTGGTGTTTGTCTTACTTGGCTACTGCTGGTATCTTGATCGGGTTCGATGCTAGTGGTCACGTGGCCGAGGAAACAAAGAACGCTAGTGTCACTGCTGCCAGGGGTATCTTCTGGAGTACCGTAGTCAGTGGCATTGGTGGTTTCGTCATCGTTATCCTGTTCCTTTTCTGCGTGGTAAGTTACGCTGGTTCCCAGGCAGGTTGTGGAGATGCTAATTGTCCGTCTAGCCTGATGCAGATACCTTCTTCCAGTTTGGTTCTGAGCAGCCATTTGTACCTCTCTATGCCGTGGTTCTCGGTCAGGGCGGGCATGTGGTCATGAACATCGTCTGCATTGTAGCTCTTTGGTTCAATACTGCGATCGCTGTCCTCGCTGCATCAAGACTGGTATTCGCTGTCGCAAGAGATGGCGTTCTTCCTTTCTCCGGTTGGGTCTCCCAAGTCTCGAATGGCCAGCCCAAGAACGCCGTCATTGTCGTCTGGGTCGTTTCAGCCATCATCAGCTGCACGATCCTTCCGTCTAGTACTGCATTCACCAGCCTGGTTTCAGCCGCTGGGGTTCCTTCCGCTGCAGCATACGGTCTGATTTGTCTCTCGAGACTTGTTCTTACGCCCAAGACGTTTCCCAAACCCAGGTGGAGTCTCGGAAAGCTTAGCAAGCCATTCCAATTCATCGCTATCTTCTGGAATGGCTGGGTTGTTGCTGTTCTGTTCTCACCGTATGCTTTCCCCGTCACTGCTGGCAACTTGAATTATGCTCCAGTGATTATGGGAATTGTCACGCTATTCGCCATTGTGTCGTACTTTATCATTCCTGCAGAAAGATGGCTGCCGTCTCACAGGATCCAGCAAACGCTTGAGGCAGAGGGACCCAAGTCTCTTCGTGTTGAAACCATTGCTCATGACTAGAGTTTCGGACGGAGCGACAGATTCGTACGCACAGCTTGAGGGTTGACCATCTCGACCATCTCGACCAATAAAAATTCATGTTGTATGTTTGCGAAAGCATTTTGTATATAATTGTCGCTCACGCCGACTGTTTTGAATCTTCTGCAAGCACGACTTCAAGGAGACGTTGACCATCATTGCTCGAAGTTCAAGCGAAGCTTGACATTGTCTCACCGACTTGAGTCACGTCTGCACCATGATAACGATACAACAGCATGTGCGTGTTGGATGCATGCAGCTATGAATCTGTCGAGTGCGGTGAACACGATAAGCAGCAAGTATAGAGCGCGGTGGTGCCATCAATGTTACGGCAACACGAACACCACCAATACTCAGATCTCACCAAAGACGGTGGCCATGACCTGGTATCTACGATCATCAAGATACGAGAACACAAACAGATTCAAATGTTGTCAGCAACAACAAAGCTCCTCCAGCAACAATATGGAAAGCACCGAGAGACGGGATGGGAGAGCGGAGAAGCTGCACGCTACCGGCCGCGGACGACTCGGACTCGAGACATGGGTGCAAAGTTCCTTGTCACGGTGTCGTCACCCCCGAAGCCCAACCTGCACACCAGTGTGCACCCCTAGCACAGCTCGACTGTAGCGCCGAAAATCGTCGTTGTAAGGGAGTGTTGGGCGTATCGGAGAGGCGCGAATGAAAAGGCACCACGTCGCAGATGTCGTGAGGCTCAGCTGCAAAAACATGCCTCAGGAGATGAGCGTGTTTATGAACCGATGGGAAGCAAAAGAGGGGAGGCAGCTCAGGAGGGAGGTGCGCTGGCTTGGCGCAAACTAACCAGTTCAACAGCCAATAACTTGTCGGCATTCGAGTTAGTGCGACATTTTTGGCTTTCCGCGCGTTATCTCTGCGTAGACTTTGACTGCCTGCTTCGCGATGCCCTGCTTGCCTGCTCATCGCTGCTGCTCACAGTGCTGTCTGCTGCCGTCGAGCGCAACAATTTCTCACCACGACAAGAAGCTCTTTCCAGTCACAGCTCTCTCCAGCCAAGGGCTTCAACAGTCTAGGCATGCCCAGAGAGAGTGGCGGCTGGGGGCCAGGGGCAAACAACCATGCCTCGACGCAAACGAATATTTTTCTTGCCCGTCGCAAGAGAAAAAAGAATAATGTAAGGGAGTCACGTGTAGGTCAAGTTGTCGGAGCGCGTCGTCTGTGGTGGACTGGCCGGTGCGGGCTTTTGCCCATCCATTTGCGAGTTGGCTGTGCACATTGACTCCTCTCGCTTTCTCACTCACACCTTGTCGCCAATGTTCTGACCGTCGCCTGTTTCTCTTTCTGCCGTTGCGCCTCTCGTCGTCTCTGTCGCACGCCCTTGCCAGCATCTTCCGCCAAACTCGACTACCATCTCTCACCCTCGCCGTCTCCGTCTCCGTCTCCGTCTTGACACCACCTCGACCGCCAACGCCGTCCGCACACAGTCGTCCTTCTCCTTTTTCTCTTCCCGTTGTAGACAAAACACTCCCATTCGTCTTGGTCGACTCGATCAGTCTTCCTCACGCCTAGCGCATCACCGCGCGACGTCTCTGTGAATTAATCATCCCTGTCCACAGATTCGACATTCCTGGCCTCCAGCGACATGCGTTGCAGACACGACCCGACTACGCGCACGACATAGAACACCCCCTCAACCCTATCTCTGCATGACGACAACAGGTAGCTGGATTATGACAGACATCCCGCCGCCTCTGAATGCACTCGCTGCTGCTGCTGCTCGTCAGCAGCACCACCACCCTCTGTCGACACACCCTTTCGCCGTCCCTCCTTCAGCTTCGCGACGACAACCGCAGCCGCCTGTCGACGATGGTGTCGAAGAAGACGACGGAGAGATCATTTGTATCTGTGGTATGCGCCATGACGACGGCTTTTCGGTGCAATGCGAAACCTGCAACAACTGGCAACACATGATCTGCTACTACCCTACTGAAGCAGATCGCCCCGGTGAGCACCAAAAGCACTACTGCTTCGACTGTCAACCGCGATGGCTCGACGCCGACCAAGCAAAGGAACGGCAGAAAAAGCAAATACAGCGACAAGCTGTCGACTCGCGACGACCCGGCCCAAAACATCGCAAGAAACAAAAAGAGTCGCCAGCTGCCGTCAATGGCGCCTTGCTACAAGGTCGCGATCGTAAAAGTGCCAGCCCACGCGATCAACCACCTCCTGCGAAACGCCCAAAGACTGGTCACCGCCCCTCCGCAACTGCCAATCACGCCCCGACCGGTCGCAAACGAAACGGCACGATAACGACAGCTCGCAGTCCCTCACCAGACCCTTCCAGACCTACTATCCCATGGTACTCGGAAGAGTTTTATCGTCTCTATTCTCAAGTCTCGTCGCATGTCGAAACAGAAACAAATCTCATGAACAACATCGCCGTCACGAATTCATTGTCTGAATGGCTGAAGAACCCAGTTGTTGTCGAGAAGGACACGAACGGCCTCAGTCAAAACGACATCTTCCTTCGCTGGGATGGACCCTTCGAAGACATGCCTGGTCGGCCCGAGGTCGCTTTGCACTGGGAAGCAGACCCCAACTTCAACGACCAAGCTGAACCTCCGAAATGGCCCTGCTTGACCGTCGAGCAGGATATCTCGAAGCGTACATTCATCGGTGAGCTTCGTGGTCACATTGGGTACAAGGAAGAGTACATGAACGATCCTGAGAGTCGTTGGTCATCACTACGCCACGCCGAACCTTTTGTCTTCTTCCATCCTCAACTACCTATATACATCGACGCCCGTCAAGAAGGCACCATGTTCCGCTACGTTCGTCGCAGCTGCCGACCAAATACGGAGATCCAGACCATCATCACCGATGGTACCAACTACCATTTCTGCTTCATGGCTACTAAAGATCTTCAGTCTGGCGAAGAAATCACTGTCGCTTGGCAGACAGACGATACGATCAAAGCAATGTGGGCCGAGAGAGGCGTCGTTCATGGCGACGTGCCTGCCGACATCAAACACGCCATTGCCATGTGGGTGTCCAATGTGCTCGCTAACTGCGGCCCTTGCGCATGTAACGGCGATGGCTGTCTGATGGCAAGATTCGATCGCCGTGGTCAGCCCCAGCCTGTTGAGCCACCAGAGACGACTGCAGCCCCTCTAAAAGTACCAAAGGTCCGCCGCATTAAGACCAAGAACAACCTCTCGCCCGCCGACCCGAACCGCAACAGCCACAGCCGTTCCGGCAGTGAAGTTCGCAAACTTGAAGTCGAAGTTGAAGATGACATGACAGACGCTCAATCTGTGTCTGGTTCATTCCGAGCATCTGCCAGTAGAGACATTACTCCTGGCACTCATTATTCGGCCGTTATACCCGAGATGTCTGAACGAGAAAAGAAGAAGCTCATGCGCGAGGAAGAGATGTTCCGTCGACAAGAGGAGGAAAGCGGGAGACAAAAGAAAAAGCGGCATAGCGGCGCCACGCCCCTGCTACCACAGAGCAGTACATTGTCTTCCTCGAAACAACAGTCGTCGGAACCCTCGTCTTCTCGTCGTGGCACTATTTCCAAGCGACCATCAAAAACTACGAGATCCGACCAGCAGTCTTCCGAAACCTCGAGGCCGGTTTATGTTGATTCGGCGATCCAATGCGATATGGACAACGATGACCCTCCAGAGCCACAAATGCCCACGCCACCAAAGAAGAAGCGATATCTGTCAGTGACACAACGTTTGCTTCAAAGGTGCGCTTCCAACAACCTCAAGCGTAAGGCTGAAAGCGAAACGCCCGAGGATTTGCCCACCAACGGAGTCCATCCTGAAGAGAGTATGGATATTGTCAATGATGAGCAAAGCCCGAGAAGTGTTGGTGCTCCGTCAGACGCTACTCCATTGTCACCTGTGTCCATCAAGCATGCCGACGTCAACATGACCGAGGCCATGCAAGCACGTCCTACTTCACTGTCACCCGCGTTTGGTCCGGTGGATACTGACATGCAATACATGGATGATGAACGCGCCACACCTCCTCCACACGACCACAATGCTTCATCGTCGTACAGCTCAGCAAGTCCTTCTACATTGAAGTCGGGTGTGGCTTCACATCCACCAATGGATCCTCCACCTCCACCATGGCCACAAAGAGAAGCACCGAGTATAGGTGGAGTGCAGCCAGCCTCTCCGGAGTTCAAAGCTGCCCACCCCGAGATGCATCTGACCATGCCTCCATCGTTGAACTCTGCAACTTCACTCCCACTCACGCAATCACCTGCGACCTTGACACCCAGTCTTTCGAATATACCTCTCTTTTCACCATCCGTTTCAGCGGCGGTAAATCCCAGTCCTGCCCGGAAGAAGTTGAGCTTGAGCGACTACACCAAACGCAACAAAGTACACCAGCCAAGAGATATATCACCTGCAGCTAGTCTGACAGATAGCGTATCAGCCAAAGACAAGGAAAGCATCTTGAATGGTGTGGCTGTCACGGACTCGCCGGCATCAGAGCAGGCCATGGACGCAACAGCGGCGCCACTCGGAAGCCAAGAGTCAGTAGTACCACCAGCTTGAAGGGAAAGAATTTTGTAATATAGGAAGGAGGCCTTGTTCGAAGAAGGCGTTTTATTTCTCTTCATGATGGTGCTAAAAAGAGGAGGTAGGCGGCGTTATTATTGAGTGGCTTTTTGCAGCGTCTTCATTATTCTCTATCATAGTTATCTTTGGTGCCTCGACACCCTGACTGTACGATGATGTTCTTCAACCACTTTCTTCTTCTATCCGTGACTCGAGAGATGTGTGGTGGAATTGAGGAAGGCGTAGACGGAGTTTAGACGGAATTTCTCGGGGCAATTGCGGTATCGGGCTAGTGCATGGATAGAGTGCTTAGACAAGCTAGAAAGAACGTCATGGAAGAGACGCGGCGATTAGTTGGTAGCAGTTGAAGCTCTATCGGTAATACACGACTGAGCATTGATCATAGACGAGAGGCGTGCTTGACCACTCGGCAGACTCGAATCCTGGCTGTATACTGATCTGCCAGTCTGTCCTTTCTGTTTGCAACTCTCATCTACACGCACACCATGTTCAACCGGCAATGCAGAGCAGCGCTGCAGTCGTCGCAGCGTCTGTACGCCACTTCGCGATACCATGTTGCCACTTCCACCAACTACTCGACCGCTTCCCGTCGCATTTCTTTGACACCGCTGTCTCTTCGCCACTCAGCTCTTGCCGCATCGCGTGCGCTTAGCACCACTCCTGCCCGCAGGAAAGATGACTCGGCAAAGAAGGTCGATCCTGAAGACGAGGCACAAGACCAGGAGAACAAGGACACCAAGGACCGTAAGGACTCATTAGAGCCTATCAAGGAAGAGTCGCGTGCAAACGAATCCACACCCATTCCCGACGGCCGAGGAGCTTCTTCAGCAGGAGGCGACGGAGCACCAGCAGGCGGCGACAGCGGAAGCGGCGGTAGTGGACGCAAGCGCAAGGGCGGCGAGAAGGGTCTCGTCAAGCCTTCGGTCCCTGACGTTTATCCCCAAGTCCTCGCCATCCCCATCGCACAGCGACCTTTGTTCCCTGGCTTCTACAAGGCCATCACCATCCGCGACCCTAATGTCATTGCTGCTGTCCAGGAGCTGCTCAAGCGTGGCCAGAGCTACGTTGGTGCTTTCTTGCTGAAGGATCCCGAGTCTAATACCGATGTCATCAACGACCCGAGCGAAGTCTACGATGTCGGTACCTTCTGTCAGATCACTGGTGCTTTCCCCGCTGGTCACGGCGACGAGAAGGCCCTCCAAGCTGTTCTCTACCCTCACCGCAGAATCAAGCTCACCGAGTTAATGCCTCCCAAGAAGGGCGAGACGACAACCGCAGAAGCTAATTCTGTTGCCACCGCTACCATCGAAGCCGTCGAGAAGCCCGAGACCGATGTCGAGTCCAAGGGCGACGTGACTGCTAGCTTCGAGGAGTCACATGTCGAGGCTCCTGGCGAGAAGAAGCAGGTCGCCCAGTATGAGCCCACCGATTTCCTCAAGACATGGCAGGTCAGTTTAGTCAAGGTCGACAACCTCGCCGATGAGCCTTTCGACAAGCGCACTCCTACTATTCGCGCCTTGATCTCTGAGATCGTCAACACCTGCAAGGAAATTGGCAGTGTCAACCAACTCTTCCGCGATCACGTCTCCGCCTTTGCCATGTCGCAATCTGCCGCCAACATTGCCGACGAACCCGCCAAACTCGCAGATTTCGCTGCCGCTGTGTCTGGTGGCGAGATGGAGGAGGCCCAAGAAGTTCTCACCAGCCTCAACATTGAGCAGAGACTCAGCAAGGCTCTCGAGATCATCAAGAAAGAATACATGAATGCACAGCTTAGCAGCAAAATTAGCAAGGATGTTGAGAGCAAGATTCAGAAGCGTCAACGCGAATACTGGCTCATGGAGCAGATGAAGGGTATCAAGCGTGAGCTTGGTCTTGAGAGTGATGGCAAGGACAAGCTGCTTGAAGGCTTCAAGGAGAAGGCTACCAAGTTGGCCATGCCTGAGCCTGTCAAGAAGGTATTCGACGAGGAGATCAACAAGCTCGCACATCTAGAGCCCGCTGCCTCCGAGTTCAATGTCACAAGAAACTACCTCGACTGGCTGACTCAGATTCCTTGGGGCAAGCGCAGTGCTGAGACTTTCGGCATCAAGAACGCTATGAAGGTGCTGGACGAGGACCACCACGGTCTGAAGGATGTTAAGGACCGCATTCTCGAGTTCATTGCTGTCGGCAAGCTGCGTGGCACTGTCGAGGGTAAGATCTTGTGTATGGTTGGTCCTCCTGGTGTCGGAAAGACTAGTATCGGAAAGTCGATCGCTCGTGCTTTGAACAGACAGTACTACAGGTTCAGTGTCGGCGGTCTGACTGATGTTGCCGAAATTAAGGGTCACCGCAGAACTTACGTTGGTGCCCTGCCCGGACGCATTATTCAGGCCCTCAAGAAGTGTCAGACCGAGAACCCTCTGATTCTCATCGATGAAGTCGACAAGATTGGCCGCGGCCACCAAGGTGATCCATCCTCCGCTCTTCTCGAACTTCTTGATCCCGAACAAAACAACTCTTTCCTCGATCACTACATGGACGTCCCCGTCGATCTTAGCAAAGTCCTCTTCGTCTGCACAGCAAACATGACTGACACAATTCCCCGACCTCTCTTGGATCGTATGGAGATGATTGAGCTGTCTGGATATGTGGCCGACGAGAAGATGGCCATCGCCGAGCGTTACCTCTCTCCAGCTGCAAAGGATCTTTCCGGTCTCAAGGACGTAGACGTCGAGATCGAGAAGGAAGCCATTGCCGAGCTCATCAACAAGTACTGCCGCGAATCCGGTGTACGTAACCTGAAGAAGCAGATCGAGAAGGTATACCGCAAGTCTGCTCTCAAGATCATTCAAGACCTCGGCGAAGAAGCCTTTGCCGAAGAAAAGGCACTCACACCCGAAGGCAAGGAAGCACAAGCCGCAGCAGCAAAGGACACTTCCGACCCTAAGGACACGCCTACAGACATGGAAAAGGAAACCACAGAGACACCCCGTGTCGCTCTTTCTGTACCCTCATCTGTAAACGTGCGCGTCACAAAGGACAACCTTAAAGACTACGTCGGTCCCCCAGTCTTCACCGCCGATCGCCTTTACGAGACCACTCCTCCCGGTGTCGCTATGGGTCTCGCCTGGACATCAATGGGCGGCGCAGCCCTCTACGTCGAAACAATTCTCGAATCCGCATTGTCAGCTCACTCTCGCCCCTCCCTCGAACGCACCGGAAACCTCAAGGCCGTGATGAAGGAATCGACATCCATCGCCTACTCATTCGCAAAGGGCTTCCTCGCCAACCGCTTCCCTGACAACAAGTTCTTCGAGCACGCGAGAGTGCATATGCATTGTCCCGAGGGTGCTGTGCAGAAGGATGGACCCAGTGCTGGTATCACGATGGCTTGCTCACTTATCTCTCTCGCCCTCGGAAAGCCCCTTGAGCAGACTGTGGCTATGACTGGTGAACTCACCGTTACTGGAAAGGTTCTTCGCATTGGTGGACTCAGAGAAAAGACCGTAGCGGCCAGACGTGCCGGAGCCAAGATGGTCATCTTCCCCAAAGACAACCTTAGTGATTGGCTTGAGTTGCCTGAGGTATGTTTTTGCTTCCCCGTCCCTTCACCCCTATAACACTTATTGAACATCATTGCTGACTTTTGCACAGAACATCAAAGAAGGCATCGAAGGCAAGCCAGTAGCCTGGTACAACGAAGTCTTTGAGCTGGTCTTCCCCGGCGTCGACGCAAAAGCTGCAAACAGCATGTGGAAGCAGCAACTGAAAAAGGAGAAGAAAGATAAGAGGGACAAAGAAGACAAGGATGAAGAATACGATTCTGATTAGATTCTGTCAAAAACTCATTTTGTGTAGATGACGAATGGCTTGGCCTGGGTCTGTGTAGAAACTTAGGTCGGCTTTTTTGCGGGTGGGAGTGTGTTTTTATCTTCTTTTGTGGGTGTATTGCCAGCGATTGTCTTTGTTTTTTTGACGCAAATATTTTGTATACATAAATCTCTTCTTCTCTTTGCATCTTGTGTGGGTTCGGTGGAGGCTTTTTGCATGGGATGGATGATTTTGTTCTTCGTTGTCTTCCTGTCTAGATCATCTATATTGGACACTGTACATCGCATTGCACACATTCGTCTTTCCATACATATCATGGACGTTTCCCAGGCGGTCGAGTTTCTTCTCGACGCATGTGAACATTTTTTTCTCACTGCTTTTGCTCATCCTAAATGGCCATACATACATCCACTTACAACAGGCTTTTTTTTATACCTTTCAAATGTTCATCTTGCATCAAATCTTGCTGTTGGTTTTGTCGTGTTTCTTTCATCGTTATCGCTCGTCTGATTGGACATGTATACATCAGACTACACATCTCGATGTATCTCGTGGGATCCCAAGTCATGGGCTTTTCGAGACAATCGCGAGCATTCAGGATCGAGAGAGAAGAATACCGGTGGAAGAGACATTGGAATGGAGAGGAGAGGAATGATTTGATGAGAACGTGGACTTTATGGTTGTCAATGGTTGACCGATTCTGTGATTGGATGCGGATATGCCCTTTTCTCTCCCTCTCTGTCTTTCTTTTTTTTGATCTTTTCCCCCCCTTTGAGTTTCTAGGTTTAAGAGGTTGACAAGAGTCTTCTTTGGTGACATGAGGAGGTTATTGTTTCTATCTCTATGAACTGGTATGGCGTCGACTTGGATATGAGATATTGCTCATCAGGGTAGTTGGATTGTCATTCTACAGCCTTCGTTAACCACTTTTTGTATCTGACCATTCTACAAACGTGCTTTTGAATCATCTAGTCACCACAAGCCCTTGACAAGCTTGTTGACCTGATCGTAGAGCTCGCCGCTCTCAGATCTGGTAGCAATCTTTGTGACGGTATGTGCCTCTTTCTCATCAACTTTGTATTCGGTCAATGTACTCTTCAGGCCCAAGTCCTCTACAAGCTTCAAAATCGCATCGCCTACTGCTTGACCATCTTTCTTGTCATCGCCAGTCTTGGTTACGCCGATGAAGGGACATAGACGAGCGAGTTGGGAAGCAGCGGATGCATCGGTGGAAGCCTTGAGTTTGGCCACATGACCTAGAGTCATGCAGGAAGTTATGCCGTGGGGGATACCGTAGGGAGAACCAAGGGCATAACCTAACACATGACTGAGTCCAAGCCCACCCTTGATATTCAAACCCATGAAACCCAGGGATGCAAAACTAGCCAGTTGCAGTTTTGTAATGACATCTTGGTCCTTGGGGTTGGACTTGTATTTGGGCAGGTAAGTGAAGAGATCATGGGCAGCGATCAGAGCCATCTGTCGACAAGGAAGCTCTGTGGCAGTGGGATGGTAGAGCAATTCTACTGCGTGATCCAATGCTCGGAGTCCAGTGCTCATCCATAACTTTTCGGGTGTTTCGAGAGCGAATCTGGAGTCGTAGAGGATAGCGTGGGGAGCGCATTCCTTGTGCGCAACACCTGTCTTTTGTCCATTCTTCTCTGTATATCCTGCGTTGTAAGTGCACTCTGCTGCTGACAAGGTTGTAGGGATGGCGACGTGGTGCAGGAAACGACCGGACTTTTCGTTCAAGCGGTAGGAAATTGCTTTTGCGCTGTCGATGGGGGAGCCGCCACCGATACTGATGATGGTGTCGATGCTGGAGTCTTGGCGCACGGCATCTGTTGCTTTGTCGAGCTCGGCTACGGGGGCGTGTTGCTTGATGTTGGAGAAGGTGCCGGCGTGGCGGGCTCCCAATTGCGATTCGACGGACTTGACGAGAGAGGTCTTGTTCGCGAGCGAGGCGCCGGTGATGATGAAAGCTTTGGAGTTTTGGTTCGGAAGGCACTCGAGTAGATGTTTGGCTACGCAGTCGGAGCCGTAGAAGAGGTGCTCGAGGTGGGTTGGCTTCCACAGGCCGGATAGCACGGATTGCGATGATTCGGTCATGTTGGACTTGTTCCTGACTTGCGGCAAGGCGTCGAGGTGTGTGGAAGGAAGGAGTCTAGAAGGAAGCGGTGAGGATGTGGTGGTTATCCTCCTCGCCGAGGATGTGATGGTTATCCTCGTCGCCGAGGTTATGGTCGGCAGCGAACCGCGCCATGAGGGATGACGCAATGAGCAACTCCGATGGCAGCCTCGGATGATAAGCCGTGGAGAAATGGTGTTTCGTGACAGCGAGGACATGGTGTATGCTGACATGATATACTATGCTCTATCAGAAGCACTCGGCTTGTCAGACAGATGTCCAATGTGAGAAGATGCTTGGTCGGATACTCGGTGACCATCTTGGTCTCTGGCGGGGAACTGCCGCCATTCAAGCCTCGGTCCATCCCGAGCGAAAGATGCTTGTGCAACACGACATGCATCTTTCCCAGGCATCCCAGCCCATCTTGCTTCCTCCCTCGTGTCAGCGTAGCACTTTGTTCCAAATCGCCTCCAGAGATAGCACGTCCTCCAATACTACCATCATCTTTCGTCTAAGACTTGTGCACACCGCCGCTTTCATCTCGCTCGGCACTGTCTCTTCTTGTGCATAGTTGCCATGCCGGCTTTGACGGAACGATGTCTGCGCAACGAGCCATCGAGAGACATGCTCATGACCTGTGCCCGCTGTTGCCCGGCTATAACAGAGACGAAGAGTGACGTTTCTGCCGCGACCCGCCGACGTTTTGCTTGCGGAGACAGATGAGACAAGAGGCGTCCTGGAGCAACCGGTGCCATGAACCCGTCAAAGAAACAGACAGCGATCTGTATTTCACAGAACATAACGCACACCGCCAGTATCTCACCGTCGCCTTGCACAGAGAGGCAAAAGAGCGAGAGATTTCCAAGACAGAGAATGCCACGAAAAAAAAGCCATGCTGCCCCCGTGCTCTGGTGGCACAAGACTATCGAATTCATAGTAGTATTTTTAGTCAAGTGTCTCTGCGCGTGAAGACAGGAGCAGAAAAAACCTAAGGCCCACTCTGGCTGCGCGTAGAACTGCGTGTCATGGTGCACGCGACTGACCACGGACCACGGACCACTCTTGCCCTCAGCGACGCGAGAAACAGTTCGACGACCATCCGTGGTTGGCTCCAAACAAGCCCGTTGAGCAAAAGTCAATTGAGTTCTGTTTCAAAGTTGCGATAGACTGGTCGTACAGGGCGATGATGATGGAAAGCAGGCAAAACTCAATGGTGGCTGTGTTTTGATTAAAGAAAGAAAAAGAAGGCAGGCAAGGCTTTGAGAAATATCACAATGCAGCCAAACAAGTGGTTAGGAGATGCCGGGAGGTGTATGCATGGCGCGTAGGGGAAAATCAAGGATGATTGAGCAGCAGGGTCCCGAGTTGCGGCATGGGGTGGAGGCTAAGCCCCTGCTTTGTGCATCCGATGCCGTCTTGTATCTGAGCTTTCTTGCTTGGGTTGCAGCGTGGGATGCATGTAAGCGGCAACTTTTACCTCTGATCGCTCAATCCACATGCTACCGAGAATAGCAATGACGTGCAGCAGTGCATGGCCGCGCCGTGCGATTTGGTTTTGTTATAAGAGGACATGCATGCCCGCCTCGTATTTTCTTCTTCCCATCACACGCGACTTTATCCAAACACGCCAACACTTATCTGAGCATCGATCAATTCAATCTCACATCGACTTGCTAAACCAGATCATATACCATTGACAACACCACTTACCACTCGACTCAAAATCAAACCTTTCGTTTCTGATCGATACCAAAACACCTTCAACATGCTCTTCGCCACCATGCTCTCCGCTGTCACTCTGCCTGTCCTCGCAGCCGCCTCACCCATTGAACTGGACCGCCGCGCCGGAGGCCCCGCCATCGTCCCTCTGGCCTCAAACTGCACACTCATGAACCCTCTCCCACACGCCTCTCAACACCCTGGCAACGCCAGCATCTCCGGCTACCAACCCTCTGCCCTCTTCTCCTCATCTCAAATCTACTCCTGGTACATCCCCCAGCCCGACTTCATCTCCCAGGAAGCCCGCTGGTCAAACTGCATCCAGCAGTGCAACGGTCTCAGTGGCTGTGTATCTGCCTTTATGGCTTACAATGCGCCTCTGCCCAAGGGATGGCTGGGTCTGCCTGGCGGAGAGCTGGAGGTTGGCTGCTTCATGTTCAACAAGACTCTGACACCGCTTGATTTCGTTGCCGCTGAGAAGGGCAACTACGTCAATGCTACTGCTGGAAACATTTATTGTCCCAAGGGTGCTTCTGCCACGGCAAATGCGTCGAGTGCAAAGACCACTGCGACCAAGAAGAAGCCTGTCAAGGTTGTTGCTTAAATTGCATCTCTTTCCGAAGCACGCACGCACGCGACCTTTCTCTTTGGCGTCTCCGTTGGTTCTGAGCCATCGTTTCATTATTTCCTTACATCTCAAAGCATTTCTTACATCTTTGCTTTTGGCATCTTGGTCATGGGATCGAGGGCACGCGACGGGATGAATCTTGGAGGGACACCAAAACACAATTCTTACGACCAATGCATAATGATTAATGGGGTTTCTCAAGGAATGATTACGATCATGGCGTTTTTTCTCTGTTTCTTTTTCTTGCTCTTATTGTAGATCAGAAATCGAGTTTTCTTCGATGCTATTCGGATCGTTTACTCTGTTTTCATCTTTCGCCTTGCTACCTCACTCTTGCTTCCTTGTGCTTCTCCATTGTCAACATGCCTAATTTTAGGTGAACGGTAGTTTTTGACATTGGGACATGCATGACCACACAGGAGCGAAACGATCAAGTAGATCAAGCCTCCATTAGTCCCTCGAGCAACCTCCATCTTCCAAACATACCAACACTCAGGAAGTATAAGCAATAATCTCATCACTCTGCTCATGCGTACAATCATAAACATCATCAGCAATCTTATGCCTATTCGGCGGCACATAATCCACCAGTCTGAAAAACTCTGCCATCGCAGGATGCTTACTCGCATCATTGATATTGAACGGTAGACTTCCCTGATAGATCGCTCGCGTGAGAAGATTGTCCAGTTTTTCTTTTCGTCGTTGGGCTGCTCGGTGGGCGAATGCTACTGCTCGTTCGGGGACGGAGTCGGTGTGGGTCGAGGGCCGTGGGCGAGAGGTTGATGGGGCGGTGGTGGGTTCGGTGGGGGTCAAGTCGTTCATGGGTGTGTCGTCGAGGGCGTCGTTGGTATCGTGGAGGTTGTCGAGGGGTGTGGAGAGGGTATCGTGTCTTGCGCTGCCTAGTCCATCCAGCAGTGTAGGTAACGAGACATCGAACTGTCTCCGAATCGGCGTTTGGGTTTGCTGCTGCTGCTGCTGCTGCTGCTGCTGCTGCATGTACCCACCACTTCCTCCTGCACTTACACCACCCATACTTTCCCCTCCTCCACGACTAGCGGTCCTTCTCTGCGGCCCATGCAACAATTCCTCAGGCACATCGTTCAGCTCCTCGTTATTAGACGCAGCAAGCTCGGCCAGATAACGATGAAACTCAGGGCATTGTTTCAAATGCTTCACTTTTCTGCTGGCCACACTTCTTGCAAGACGTTTGTTCTTGCAGTGTCGACATTCGACTATGACTTGTTTTCCTGGGCTGTCGACTTGGTCGAATTGCATGGATGCGTAGCCTTCTGGTCGTGGCATTGTTGAGAAGGAAGTAGGCTACAATGGTGTGGAGATGGGTGGTTGATGCAGTGAGGGTTTCTCTACTGGAAGCAGTGAGTTTGGGTTATATGTTATGGATACGGTGTGTGGTATATGGTCAGGCATTGCAGGGTGGGAAGGTTGATAATCGATCACCCGTTGCAGTAGGGAATGTAGACGGAAGTTAGAGCACGACGCGTCAGTCTCCATGACCGTCGCTGTGCATGTCGGAGTGAGTCACGATAAAATATAGTAAAAACGTACGACGAGTTAATGTTTTGTAGGCGACTGATTACTTAGATGTCGATGTGAAGCAAACACGTCCGCGACCGTGGTGATGAATTTGTGGTTGTTGACGACGGGTTCCCGACGAGCGACGTGTCGATATTCGTGCTCATGGTCTGTGCTTGAATTCTTGCTCGAGTGATGACCCTGGGCATAAATTGTCTCCTCTAAGTTCTCGAAGAGCAGCATGAAATGATGGTATATGACAATTTGCTGTTTGAAGGGTTGCATCGTGTATTCGATCACATGGATTCGCATTCTTGCTACGGCTTTGACCTCTGTCTTGAAATATGATCAAGTATAGTCTTAACCCTTGAGGAACGCATGCTGGGAGAAAATATATCGAAGCCAGCATTGTTATTGACATAGTGACGCGTACCAGCAACATACTTGTTCACAAGGAACGAGCAGCATCACAGAACGGAAGGAGAAAAGGTCAATTTCATGAGGTATCGCAATTCGTTTCATTAACAGAGGGGTATCTCATCCTTTCCTCCAATCCATCGCGCTCTCCATCTCCATAGTCATGTCGTGAACGGTCGTAAAATAGTTACATGCAGTGCTCAGCTCAACACGCAGAAACGTGTGTCGCGTGTGCTCGGGGCTTGAGAAGGTGTGCCGCGTCCCAAGGGATGTGTCAGCGCATTGTTCAGCGGAAGCAGTTGAATCTGCCGAGAGAAAAGCGGAAGGGAGCACGACGAGGGCCATGCTTGTCGACAATAACACCACCGCCTAGACATGAGAGAGTCAGTGAAATGCTTGGTAGATGGCAGGAGAAAAAGTCAAGCTTACCGGCGTGCTTGCCGCCCCAGCCCTTGGTCCACATGAAAGGCATATTGGTTTTGTGAGGATTTAAGCTTTGCTTGATGGTCTGCTTTGATATAACAGTGTTGATGGTCGAGTTTTTGGATTGACTCGAGTGTTGTGTTTTGGCGAAGTTGATGAGATATCTGATGATAAAAGTAAGGCGATATATCAGAGGTCGGATGCACCAGCTTTTATCTGTTGAACAACAGGACCTTGCTTCTGTGTTGATCGTGAGGCTGGGTGCATTTAGCAATCGCTGAAACCAGGGAGATTTGTGGCTGTGCGTGGACTTGGCGCCGTCATTTGGATCAGCGGAGCGTCAGAGGCTGTGGATGTTGTCAACCATCGCGACCATTTTTGGCGGACGCTGTTCCAACTTGGCGACTCTTTCTCTGAAACTGACACCTCAATCTTGCTGTTGGTTCGATACGTGTGGCAGGAGCTGCGGCAGACACGTTGTGAAATGAAGTGATAGTGCTATAAGGTTTCTTGTCCAGCGCCACCTTGCTCATTACGGTGTGAACACGGTCTATCGTGTGGCTTTGATTCGAGATGGACTGCATGAATGTATATGCTTGCAGGTGGACAATGGTCTCGGCATCGAATTTCTTCTGTCTGGGCTGAAGATCTCATCCTCAACGACGCGGCAGAAACGATTCAATGAGGTTTCTTCTAAGCGCAGAATCCTGGTCGAAAGAAACGCATCATGGAACCACATTGGCGCTCTGAGGAGTCCTTAAAACCCAGTAGTCGGTCCTCCACTTCTGCTCCTTGGATACGCTGAAGCAGATGCTGCGATCTACAACGTACCAGCAGTAGCTCTCGGTCCTGTCTTCTGCTAAACAAGAGTTTCACTGTCCGAATGCTCAACAACCTTGCGCCTCAGCACATCTTCAACCTCTAAGCCAGTCATTTCCATCAGGAGTCGTAGAGCGGCTTCGAGGTTACCACAACGACCTGTTCTGAGGAAGACCTTGTTGCCATGCTGTCAGTGTCCTGCGAGAATGGCTCGGCAGTGATGTAGCTGAGGGTGTCCAGACACATACGTGTTGATGACCACCGCGTTAGTCTTATCTGGATGCGCGTAGCACCAGTTCTCTGTTTCCATGAGTAACTTCGTTCAAGTTGTATCATTGTAGGTGCTTACCGAGAATCTGAGCACGAAGACTAGCAATATTGCCGTTCTCAGTTGTCATGGCTGTAGCGAGTGTTGAGTTTACAGAGAATGTAAGGTCAAGAGATGCTTTTGTTTGGAATATGAAAGGAAGGTCATGCTCTAGATGTGTATATATATTTCGACTCTGTCTTCGAGCCAGTTGTGCCCGACGAACATTCACAGTCACGATCCATAAGTGAAGGCGAACATTCAACACTTACACCCCTCCCTCCACACCCCTTAAATCCAAGCCGCTTTGATAATATCAGCCGCCTACATACCGAGTCAGCAATCATCTTTCTCAAACCTCGCACACACATCCACGAAGAACAAAACTCACCTTCTCAGCAACAGCATAAACACTACTACTGCTATGCCCAGCCACCGACATGGGAAACACACCAGCATCCACCACCCTCAACCCTTGGGTACCATAAACCCTCAACTCGGCATCCACAACACCGCCCCACTCTCTCTTCATCATCGCCGTCGTCGACGTAGGATGCTGCCACGAGCTGGTTGCTGCATTCCTAATTGCTTGCTCAATCTGCGCAACACTGGAGACATTTGCACCAGGAAAAGTCTCGATGGTTCCTAAAGCTCGCATGGGTGGCGAGGAAGCCCACTCGCGGATCTTCTTGACCGAGGCAATGGCGATGGCGATGTCGATTGGGTGGGAGAAGGTGTTAAAGTCGATGACGGGAGGGGAAGTGGGGTTTGTGGTGTTGATGTTTATGGAGCCGCGACTGGAAGGACGGATCATAGCGAGCGGGACGGTGTCGCCGCCTTCCCAGGCTATCTCTGCTACGGCAGTGTGAGAGGATAAGTAAATTGATCGAAGGAGTTCGGTTTGAGCGATGTAGCCAGCGATGATGGATGGGTGAGTTGAGGGTGGGAAGAGGGATGAGGGGTTCACTGATGTGGAGGTGATCAGAGATTGGTAGTCGGATGTGACGTTCTGAAGAGGCAAGAAGGCTACGGTGCTGCCTCCCAGATATGGAATCGTCATTATGCCTGAAACCTTTTGTCAGCTGCGATGCAAGGTAAGCACAAGCGCCTCAACTACCTGTTCGATTCTTGTAGTAGATATCAAGTTGCTCTGCAGCCCAGCTCGCATTCGAGAATATCCAGTCCGGAGTTGGGAAGGTATAGTTACCATCTATTTTGTCATCAGTATCTCTCTCACATACAAACGTATGGCATGACTTACAGCGAAACTGCATATACAAAGTAGGCTGATCTTGAAAGTTGCTACCCACCCCTGGCAAATGAACAACAGTCTTGATCCCGAGGCTTGATAGCAGTGGTTCAGGACCAACACCAGAAAGCTGTAAGATTTGAGGAGTACGGAAAGCACCTGCAGCCAGAATGACTTCGCAATCTGCTTTCACCGTGCTGGTCTCGTTTGTGGTTCCCGACATGAACTAGCCACATAGATTAGCAACATGAGATGAGAGAAACGTGGCAAAGTAATACTCACATCCACAGAAACAGCTCTGTTTTTCTCGCCGAAGTTGATCTTGGAAACGGAATGTCCGGCGATCAAATGCAAGTTCCTTCGTGCACCAGCGATGGGACGATAATACGCGTTTGAAGCATGTGCCCTGGACTGATTCTTTGCGTAAGCGGACATTGTGCTGTAAAAGGCACCAGTAGCTTCTCCATTATTTGGTTGAGGGTTTATAGCGACGCCAATGCTCTTCCAGCCTGCATAGAAGTTTTCTTTGGAGAGAAGAAATGTGTCAGCTTTGTTGCTCCCCAAAAGAAGCAAAAGAAGGAAGATCATACCGATGACTGGATACTGACAATTCGAAAAACTGGACCCTACAGGCCCATCAAGACCATGAGGCTCCAGATCCAACGAGATGACTCCAGGAAACATGTCGTCTATCTCAGCAGTCGGTGGTGTGAACGTTTCGCTCTGCCCTTGTCTTCAGCTCGCTTCTTTCTACACATTGGAGGAACCATAGCGATACCTTTTTGAAGTAAGGCAACAGCCCATCCCAACCCCATCCAGGATTTCCCAATTGCTCCCAAGCATCATAGTCAGCGGCTGCTCCACGAGCAAAGAACATGCCATTGACCACTGTCCCACCACCCACCACGTCGCCGGTGTAGAGTGGAGCAGTGCGGTTGTTGAGGCCTTTCTGAGGGACACTGGTGTCTGTCCTGACATACTTGGTTGGAACAGACAGACCAGGAACCGAAGTTCCATTTTCTTGGCCATCGCTATTCGGATGTCAGTTATACCGATTGAGGAAGACGAGGAGAGGTTTACAGGTAGCCACGTTCGATCACCAAGACACTGATTCTCGGGTTCTCGGTCAGTCGATTGGCGACTACGAGACCACTTGTGCCACCACCAGCGATGATATAGTCGTAGCTTTCTCTTAGCTGTCCAGTGTGGTCGAAAACGACTGCAAGGGGAGCATGACGGTTGAATGGCGATCCATAGGAAACCGAACTGTACACCAGCAATACAATGACTTGCAGTATTCTCCACATGAAGAAGACGTTGTACTCGACATAATTTGTGGGAAACAGTGTGAAGGTTGGACTGTTGTGTTACTTATATATCGGAGGTAGTTATCCCGCTCTATGGCGGGATCATGCATGCAAGTCTGACTGCATATGCAGGACACGCGGGGCCGTGGTAGCATATCCCTCACTGATTCTTTACAAACAAGCTTCTTGACCGGTGAAACTCGACGTTATGTGTTCCTTCTAGGCAGAAAGAATGCAAAGTAAACGTGCCTGGGAAACATCGGCCGTTTTGATTTCTCAATGTCAGAAGTGAAGAAGAAAGTAAGATCAGTAGACTCGAAGAAGAATCAAGGATTGAAAGAGCGGACGAAAGACGCATCGCTCAAGTTCGAGCGTGTATGTTTGCTACAGATGAACAAACAGAAAACAAAGCGCAAGCAAAAAAGAAAAGCTGATTGCAATGAGTAGGAATCGAACCTACATCTCCTCAGATCCATCCAAGGACTCCCACACCACTCTCCCAGTGAGAGTGGATTTACAACCCGGAGTGCTGTCCCTTGTGTTTGCAAGTTGAGCACTCTGAATCCCGGTCCGCCCGCACTTAGCGGGTATGGGGAGAGTTCCTGGCGACAATGCTTGTGTTTGCAAGGTCATTTGATGGTGAGGCGCTCTAGCCATTGAGCCACCGCTGCTGACGTTGGGAAGATATTCAAATCTCCGTCAATATAAGGGCTTAGGCCTGGATCGTGTGTTCGAGTCTTGGGCGAGGAAGCCGTCTTTTTGCGGTCATGTTGAGCGCCAGTGACGATGAGTTGAGGAAAGTGAAGAGATATGAGAGATACATACAAGACCAACCAGATACTTCGACAGGAACGTCAGATAGACTAAGATCTCAGGCCATACATAGTCATCTCTCTTGTGCCAGAGAAGTCCATATCCTGTCGCATATGGCACTCAAAGAGCTTTGATACTGATTCTTGTGATCAAGTAGCGAAGGGAAGCAGGTACCAGTTTATCCAGTCTTCAATCTCCGAGACTCGCGAGCCATGCCATGACGGCTTGGACTCAGCTATCATATCGTATGCCTTTGCCTTGCCAGCATAAATCTCGGCCTGTGGGCTTGTCAATTTCTCATGACCTATATTCGCAGCCAACTCGCTTCTTTCGTGTGAGAGAGTGCCATGAGCGAGCAGAGCACCACTGTCACCCTTCTCTGGTGCTCACATCGTCTACGGCTGGAGCCAAGGCCATCAGCCCATCTCATTATCCACACAACCTTCAAGCAGACTACCCCGTGACATGTCAGGGGAGCTTTCGTAACTCCAGCCTTCACAGACGTCTTCGCCCTGTTCTATCCTTCTCTTGTTCCAGTACCATGCTATAAGCAGTCGAGGTGGAAAGGGCGGCATCAGGCGGCGAAGAGTGCAGGGCGGTTCTGATGAAAACCGAGCAATGACAAAAATGCCGACGACCTTGTCAGCAAGATGCTTCCTCGTGACTGCCCATACTGATGGCATCGGTCCTGGATATCCAGATCTCTTGCTCCTTTCAAGCCGCCTGCATCTTACTCTCAACCTTAGCCTCCCACTTCTTCACCTGCGCATCCCACTTCTTATCTTTCTCGAAGTGCTCTTTTGCCCAAATGATTATCTCCTGAACTGCTGTGTATCTTTCCAAGAAGTAGAGTTCAGAGACAGCGGCTTGGATGGTCTGATGGTGTTTCTTGTCCAATTTTGTTTTTGCTGCTCCCGGTTCTGCGGTGGTCGACGAGACAGAGTTGTCCAGGTCTCCAGGTGCAGCGTTTACGGTAGACCTGAAAGTCTCAGAAGGTCGGAATGGCGGCTCGAAGCGGAGAAGTTGTCTCCAGATCTAGTGTATACCTTCATCAGCGCTGCTCGATACTTTGCGCACAGGAGAGTACTCACACTGCCCTCGTCAATCCTAGCTGTGTATGAAGCCTTCTGCGCAAGGAAATCCTCTTCTGTATACCTCGTTCTTGCGGCGCGCGCAGCTCCTGCCTTTTCTCTCTCGGCATCGCTATCGTCTTCTGCTTCGACGGCTGCGAGTGTCGCATCGGTGCCTGCTTTTTGGTCGTGTGCTGCTGTGGTCGCATAATCGTCGGTCGAGACGTCGAGGGCGAGGAAGGGGTCGGCTTCAGCGGACATTGTTCTGACGAATGTGTTGTGCTGTGAATCGAAGGTGTTGTTGACGAGAGGATTGACAAAAAATGGTGGTGGTTGCGACTTTGGGGGAAGAGAAAAGAAAAAAGGAAAGAAAATGGCGGGGGATTCAAGCTACAGGACGGGCCATCAATGTCACCGCGACTCAGCGATAGCATCCACCCGTCCTTGAAGAACGTCCCGCCCATATAAAGGTTGTCCCATGTCGTTTAGGAAGTACGATGGCAGCAGCTCTTCTTGTTCCGAGGGGTTTCGGCATGCCTCGGTTATCTTCTACACTGTCGGATATACAGTATACATCGTCCAAGGGCTTAGCATATGATTGAGCAGCAACAAGTGACCACAAGACAAGGCGGAAGAGGCACAGATTGATGGAATTGTAGTAGAGTTCTGATTTTCGAACTATGCTAATGGTACAGCAGGGCAATTGTTCTCTGGTTAAACGCCCATATGGAGTTCAATTGATTAAAAGTCATCCTCCTTAATCGTCATGGCATGAAACAAATAACACTCAACCTCTCTCTAAGCGATTAACTTATGAGAAGGGGTTGGTGCGGGTGCCCCAGTAGGTGAGGAACACGGAAAGACCGACAGTCTCGAAGACGCGGGCAAGAGCACCGACGGCGACGGTGTCAAGAGGGCGCTTCTCGGTGAAGATCTGGGCAATGAACTGTAGGCTTATTAGAGGGTGCCCAGAATGAAGTAATGACCAGCAAGAAAACTTACCGAAGGAGCGGAAGAGGCAGCGAAGATCAAGGCACCGAGGTAGGCAGCACCCTTGTAGGAAAGGGTACCGGTAGCGTTGAGCAGAGCACCAACACCGTAGGACTGGAGGGCAGAGCCGGCAAGGGAAGTACCCCAGGCAGCGGCGGCCGAAGCAGTCTCCTTGGACTTGAAGAACTCCTCCTTGGAGTTGGCAGCCTGGGCCTGACGGTAGGTGTCACCGAAGACGGGGCCGAGGATGGCGAGGGAGGCAAGGTGGTTGAAGGCAGTGCCGACAGCGATGGCCGAAGGCTTGACGGGAGGGAGGTCTGCAAGTGAAAGAGTCAGTGACTGGATTATCATGTTTGTCAAATCTCTCCCCCTGAGCTGTGTCCACTTGTCGCTCAAAGAGAGCTCCGGAAGGTGCGGGCAGCTGGAGTGGAAGATGATCAGTATAGACGTACAGGAGAGAGTGGCCATTGTGATGGTAATGTGTGTGTTGGGGGTGAGAAGGTGAAGATTTGATGAGTTTGGAGATGGATATGGAAGAGACGGACGGAAAGAGCGCAGGAGACGAGGTTAAATGTAAGTCGTGCAGCGCCTCGCTCATGCCAGCTGTGACGTATTCCCGATTCGCCAAAGCGTCATTGTTTTGTGGCTGGAACTGGAAGCTATGGCCAACCTTGTCCCGCTTTCTCCACGACCGTGTTGTCCATGCCCTGCAACAACGACTCCCACAAACTCCCTTTGCGCCGAGTTGCTACATCAACCGAGGACGGTCGAGTTGGGTGACACAGCACGAGAGCCTGCATCCAACATGATGCAAGATTTATGGGAACAAAAGCAGACAGCACGCGAGCATGACCTCCGAGCTGAGCGCGATATACGTTCGCAAGCTTCTCCACAACGGGGCGTCATTACCCACCTCAATTGCGAGATCGTGATGCTCCAAAACCGCTTCAAAACATGGAACACCAGGCCGAGTACGATAATGGAAAGTGAGAGAACGTTAAGCCACAGTTTGCCTGCTCATCTTACTTGTAACTCTATGCCTGTCTATAATGAGTGCATCATGCCATCAATCTTGCAAAAGCCGGCCTATGCCTCTCTGCTCACGTCGGCAGCATCCATGCCTTGATTCTCTGGCCTCCAGCTGCCGTCGTGCTTTGACTTGATGACTTCGTGCACGCTCAATCTGTGTTCTACAATCTCGCGGCCATTGACCAAATCGTTCTCGTCGGCTCTCTTACGCGCTTCCTCCTCGTCTTTGGCAATGCCGGCCTTGATGTGACGCGCCACCAATCGCTCTCTCGCAACGTCTTCCTCGACCTCGACGAACCACAGCTCATCCATGAGCTCCGCTGCCTCCTTCCACTCTGGTGCACCCGTGCCCAGACTCAAATAGTTGCCCTCGAAGATCAAGATCCGAGCTTCTGGGTGGATGGGAATGTCGTCGTTGACGGGGTCTTTCTGGGCGTGGTCAAAAGATGGAGCATACAGTGTTTTTGTCTCTGGCGAGATTGGCTGGCGGAGCTTCTTGACCAAGTCCAAGAAAGACCGAGCATCAAAGGTAAATGCAGCGCCGCGTCTCGCATGAGCAGTGTTGGGATCGGGCATGGCGTCTAGCTGGGCTCGCGACAAGTGATAGCCGTCCATCGGGACGAAAGCTGCGGGTTCATCGTTTTGCGCCAATGCAGGGAATTCTTCGTGGTGAAGATCGTTCAATCGGCTTGCTACGACGGACGCGAGAGTTGTTTTGCCTGGGAAACTGTCAGTCTTGTGTAGCACGACATGTCAAAAGTGCTTATCTTACCCGAACCTGGGATGCCAGATACGGCAATCATCAGTCGCTTGGATCTGGGCACTTCCTGAAACTTGGCCCATGTCTTCTTGACTAATCTGTCTACTTGCTCGTCCATGGTTGCGAATGTATGTAGATGTCGTAGGGGAAGACTCAGGGATCTGTGGTAGAGATGTGCTGGTGTTGTGAATAGAAAACAAAGAAGCTAGTTCCGATACGACCCTGATCAACTGATCTACCTATCTGCCGCAAATCGAACAAAAGCGGCCTCAGGTCAGCTGTCCCCCTCAGTGTCCGGCCGAGATGCTGCCCTACTTTTGTTTTCAGAGGAACAAGCACCATCCTCCAGCCTGCTGATATCACGCTAATCGCGATTCTGTATGACGTAGCGCTCGAGTTTGCAAGCCTCTTTATGGCTTGGCATCAACAACGGTATTCATCAATTCTAGGAACATCAAATTAGGCAAATAGGTGTGTATATATGACCAGACGCTGATTGATCTGGAATGCGTAACGCCAATACCAAAACAATCTTTGTGTCTTATCCAGGAGCCGAAATTCGGAAAATCCCAAAGGCGGCTACTGAATTGTACTTTCTAGCAACTCAGGTAATCTGCTCAGAGACATTGACACAATCTACGACTCGAGGGCTGAACCCAGTCGCAAAGACCGAGCTGTTCCCTTCATGACGTGGACAGCATAGGTGTCAGGCTATGCGGCGTTTTGGTACTTGGGCAACCTCTATGCAGCCTCTCAAGCTGAGACTTACGTCCGGGCCTCGAAGGCATCATACCTTGCGACAGCCATCTCTTGCAGTGGTTCGACTAAAGCGTCTGCGCAGAGCCATGTTCCGGGGTGTACCTCATCAGCACTTCTGCCCAAAAGTCGAGTGTGCGGCCCGACCCGTTGCTATTCCTGAGGTTTGTCACTCTCCGTTTCCTTCTCCTTTCCAAGCCCATCTCGCTGAGCCTTCGTCAGCGGAAGCTCAGGCGACGTGAACATACTAGCCAGCCTCCCTGTATAGGTCTCTGGCACCACACGTGGCCAATCGTTGGCGAAACAGTGATTGCACATGTAGCGATCTGGGCCCGACTCTTCTGACACTTCTGGTTTCTCTTTCCACCACAACTTCAAGAAGCGATCACGATTGCAGCCAGCGCAGTGGTGGTCAACTCGATCCGGGTATCGAATCCATGTGTGTGTTTTCCATGTGAGCGCGTTGGCAGGCCTTCTGCGGAGTAATATGTCAAGTTCCCTCGAGCGCCTGAGGCTGAGATCCTCCGCGTGGGCGCGCCTGTTGGCTGCGTTATATTTGTCGCGGAACTTCTCAAAGCGCGCAAGCGCACTCACCCTCAAGTCGGCCCTGTGAATTGGGTCACGTTTATACCTCTTGAGGTACTCCTTATGTCTCTGGCGAAATTCAGGATTGTTCGCGTAGCGTTGTCGCCGTAAGGCGTTCCCTTCCAATCGCTTGCGCTCCAAGTGAGCGGCCTCCTCTTCGGCAGTCTGGACAGGCGCTTGTTCAAGACGGTGGATGCACGAGAACAGGCGCGTCACTGAAGGGAAAGCAGCTGTTTAAGCAGAGCGGAATGTCGTTGTAAGGAGAGTAAACAATGGAGCCGTAGTCAATGGTGCTTGACCAGTGGAGAATGAAAGACGCATTGTTGTTAGATCCTTCGATTATGAGACTGGAGGCGGCGAGCTTGAGTTGTGATCCAGAGATTCGCTTGTGGAGAGTTCCCGACTTCTTTCTATCGAGTCGGAATATCAGTCAGATACATTGTAGCGCCGGGATTGCATGGTGTCGACTCGCATGCGTTGGTCTCGAATCGACGTTGCTACGGATGCTTCACTCCCAACGGCTGGATCCCTACTAACCCAGAATGGTCAGAGCTGCGTAATATACTCCCCGCTAGAACAAGCTGTCAAGCCATAAGCCATATGTACTCTGATTACATATCATTTTGTGCAATAACACCTGCTGAGTAATTCTGGGCTGCTGAGTCACTTGTAAAGTGAGAAGACGTCGACCTCACTTCCTATCGTGTGCTTGACCAGGTCTTGCAAAAAACGATACAAAATCGACAACACAAGGAAAAGCACCGATGAGGAACTGGATGACATCTAATAAAAGGCCTGTGACTACGGTAGTTATGCTGGATCCGGAAGAAAAAGATAGTGGCCACGCCGCCGGCGACAAAACGGAAGGACGAAAGATGCAAAGACATTCTGGAAGGATGTGATGAGGGGGACTGACGTTGTACATCGACAGAAAATGGTGGTCACAGTCCAAGTTCCATGTAGAACAGATAGCACGCGTCCTGTAGAGCACCTGCGACCGGTCTGACGCTGCCTGGACGCCCTGCCCACACTGTTCCGGGTGATTGAGTGGTTTCTCCAAGTAAGTATCGATGTTTTGTTCAAGACATTTGCTCGACTGCGTATGGTCTGAGTCGTTCGCAATAGAGATATCTGCTCCGGCTAAGTGTTGCTGCACCTGTTTCGTACTGCTTGTTGCCGTCGAGTTACACCCCTGGTTCTTTCGTATGTTTCTGTTGTACATGTTGCCATTCGTCTTTTTTCGCCGCGGAGAATCTATACACCCCGTCGTGAACGTCGTGCTCTCGCGCAGCTGTGCTTGTGGTCGTGTTGGAGTCACGTCCATAGAAGCAGCCGAGTCCCGTGAAGCCGCGAAAGATCAACCATCTCGGGTCCGCCCCGAGCCCGCTGTACCCGATGTGCCCCCGTATCCATTGCGATACTATTTTTGCTCTTCGAATATGCTGTCGCCGTTGAGCTCTTTCGTCGCAGCTCCCACATCCTCTCTTCGGTATCGCTATGTTCATCTGTACATCATGGCGTCGTGGTCGCTGGACACAATCCACATATCAATCAGCCACCTCTGGAACCTCGCTTGCCGCTCTGCAAACACCCTCATGACAGTCTGCGCTCTATAGCCTAGCGTCCCAAGACGCTGGCATTGCCGACGCCGATTGTCAATCCAAGCATAAGTTCACATTATCGAAGCCCATCGACACCTGAGCACGCGAGCATGAACGAATTTTCTCTGGTGGGACCACACAAGAGACAGCTGACGCACAATCTTGCTCACCGACGTTCAGGAAAGGTCTACCATGTCTTTGTTTATCCCACTCTCCTGCGCGCCCCAAAGGTCAGATATCGACCATCTCAACGCACGACGCTGTACAGAAACAGTGGCTTTCCACAGAGATTGGGCGCATTTCCATACACCAAAGACTCGCTCGCGGAGTTGCTCCTGAGCTTGGAGTATGACTCCCCTGAGAGAGTTTCTGCGTGAATACAGAAACAGACTCTGCTGGCAAGGCTGCGACGAAACAACGTGCTCGAGCAAGACTATGAAAACCTGCCTTCTGAGCCCTTCTCTCGTCTTTCCTTCGCATCGCTCCGTCGAAAAACGTCAAGACCAATTACACATCCTGCTTCGCAGTGACTTCATTCCAACAAATATGTCGTCGACCGAAGCATCTTCTCCTTCATCTTCTCAGGAGCATATTTCTCCTATTTCGACGCCTGCAACCACACCACCAAGGTCCCTTACCATCGTCTCTCCTACTGCCATCTCCCTTGCCATCCATCACCTGGCATCTACCCCTGAACGTCCTGCTCCAGGCGCGTTCAAGTTCTTGCCTGAAGGCACGGAGTTGATCTGGCGTTCAACTACAGAGCCCGGGTCCCCGTGGAAACACCCTGTGCTCGTCCTCCCGAGCGAGGACCTGGATTCGGATTTTGTTCGTGTGTTGTTCGCAACCACGACAGACATCGTCGACCGCTTCAAAGCGAGGAGGTGGGGCTGCAACTATGTCCTTATCGAAGGCCAGCAGCACCCCTGGCGCGAAGCGCTTCCCCTTGCTCAGGGGGCCTTCGGAAGAGCCACAAGTATCGACGTGACCACGGTGTACAAAGTACGCTGGCAGGATCTCCAGGAGATCAATATCAAGAGCGCAGACGGACTTGCTCCATGCCTGTCGGCTGAGACTTTGGAGAGAGTCGTGGAGTATGTCAAGGCCCCAGTGGCTGACATGTTCACTCCTCTCAGGGGATCGGAAACCCCATTCAACACCTCGATTACACCTGCTGTGCAAGCCTCGCTCGACCCTGTACTGCCTACTCCTGCTCCTGGTACAGACCCGGTCGCCGCCCTGGCTCCTGTATCCCCTCAAGGTACAGGACCGAAATACGTGGCGCCTCATCTCAGGCAGGCTAACGGCCTGAAGAGGAAGCTCTCGCCAACGGCTCCGGTGTTCAAGTTGCACCCAGCACACTGCAACGCATCTTGGAGATGAAGCTACTAGGCTCCTCTCCACTGCTCGTCTTTTCCTCTCTCCGCCCCTTTACACAGGTACGCTGACCTGTCTCCCCCAACATGCTGGCGAGCCCCTTCCAGGCACTCTGGCCTATCTCACCAAACAGAGCCTTCTCTTCCGCCCTCTTATAGGTACTCTGACCTTTAACAGTACGATGGTATCGCTCGTGACGATACGGAATAGTCTTATGAGGCTAGTGCAGAGTTGCAATGTAGACTCTGGCACAAAACAGGAGGGTACATGCACAGTTCTTTTACATCAACCTATCTTGTAACTCTTTTTCCCTTCCTGCTTCGTCCATTGGCAGAAGGTTTTTAGCGAGGCAAGAGACTGTCGCGAGGATTTTTTTGTGTTTATTTTGGAGTTTCTTCTGTTTATCTTTGTTTGTGTTTTGTGTTACAAGCAGCGAAGATACCCAGGTCCATACGTGGTCAATTAGCGAAGATACCCAGGCTCACATATGGGCTAAGCAAATTTTTTTTTCATAACCCAATATTCCCAGTGTCTTGTGCTACTTGATTGTGAAACTGCAGAGGATCGTGACGGTATAGCAATAACTTTGCTGGAAATGTCGGATATGCTTGTTGCTGTTATATCTCCTTGAACGCTTTACGCAGAACGAAAAGATCTTGCATATCCACGCAATGGTCACTGGTCGAAACAGATATCGAGAGAGTGCTCATATTGACTTGTGTCTATGGTTTCGTAGCTGCTCTATACCACTTTCTGTCCCAACTCCCTGTTTGTTTTGACTGCAAAAATGTACAGTACTTTTTCGAAACCAAGAAACATTCGCAGAGAAACGGAAGAACAGTCTACTTCGATGGAAACAGCTTGGAAACGAACAACTTCCTGCATTTTTACAACCTCGGTTCTCCGTGTCCGCCAACTCGGGGGAGGGATATACTGTCCGCATGAGACAATATATCACCAAGTCTTTTCGCATGTCACCCTGGCGCGCAATCAAAAAATCAAAATGCGCTGTTCGTTCGGGGCACAACGAGCTACCTATCTTTTCAAGTCGACAAACATGTCAATCTCTGACTCAGCAATAGAGGCTGTGTGTGATGCGGAGAATGAGAGAATATAAGAATCACGAGATCTATGGGTGGTTGTATGTGGGTTAGGGGTGTGAGCAGAACTTTAAGCGTGTAGGAGGTTTGCCAAAAGAAGGGATCTGGTAGAACTGGTAGGTTGAATGCGACCATCGCAACAATGTTGCGTCATGTAAAGGAAAGAGAACATCAAAGAGACAGTGGTATTGCGGAAAAGAGTGGTAGTTTGATATTCTGCTGTGAGTTTTTGGGATGCGAGAGAGAAAATGTTGATGCTTGTTTTTAACTTACATGTTGATCTCAGAAAGGTACCTATCAGCGCGGTCACACACACGTTGAAGCCTTTACTGACTACCTTCCTCTCGGTCGTTTCGCCGTCCGTGACATGAGACAGACCGTCGCTGTAAGCATCGAGCCATCCTCTACTCCTCTTCTTTCTTCTATATACTAATCATCTTCACAGGTCGGCGTCATCCATCGCCACTCGCGCTCGTCCTTCTGGGTCCAATCCGTGTCGAAAAATAGAGATTACCAAAGCCCGGCGCATCCAGAATCCATCTCATGGTTGTTCTTAGTGATGTTGGAAATGTTGCTGTGAATCGTGACAGACATCTCGAAGCAGATCGTAATTCTTCAAACGCGCGCCAAGGGGTCGTCGGCCCCTTGCTATACGAGCTTACATAGATTAAGCGCTCGCAAATCATCCTACAGAAGACCTACGCATGTTGACATGTCTGCAAGCGTACTCTCTGCGTCGCTGAAGGCCTGATTTCCTTGGCTGACATGCAGTTGTCACACGACGTCCTCAAGGACTGCGACCTGCGACCTGCAAACAAGCGCCGGTGAAACGCTGGGGGGCTCTTTAACCAGAATTTGTGCGTGCCTCAAGGATGCGGAGACCATGCCCCTAACCTCTTTCATCACTCCCGGACTGCAAGGCTCAACCCCTGAGCAGCCGGGACCACCATCTGAAACGCCCTTCGTCCATCCACGAGCAGTCGCGAGTGGTCGATAAGGACCGGATGCCACGGTAGGTTTAGATTGAACGTCTCAAGAAGGTTGGCCACACCACTTTCTCTTTTCTTTCCTCCTTTCTCTTGCTACTTTGCGTGTCGCCAGTAGCCTTCCTTTCCTTCTATCACACTCCCTTGTTTGAGGCCATTTGCCCAACACACTCCTTCAACTAGACGTGCAAACCAGTCACGCGCTCATTCATTCGACACGACCACACCGACTTCAAAGTCTTGACTACAATACACAACTCGAACATCATCTCAGCCTCCCGAACAACAACCATGGCAAGCTTCCTCAAGACAGCAGCGCTCGTGCTGGCCGCGACCGCTGTCTCAAAGGTCTCAGCTCAGACTTTCTCCTCTTGCAACCCATTGTTCAATACGACTTGCACACCAAACACTGCCTTTGGCACGTGGCACGACTGGAACTTCACAGACTCGACCATCGCCGACAACAAAATCTGGAACACAACTGGTGGTCGTCAACCCGACTACACTGATGTCGGCGCTCAGTTCACGGTACGCGCTGCGACGGACATGCAGAAAGTTTTGACTGACATGACGCAGATTGGCGGCAGAGGCGACAGTCCAACACTCGAATCCAACTTCTACATCTTCTTTGGCCAGGTATCGGTCATCATGAAGGCCGCACCAGGCGTCGGTATCGTCTCCTCGGTCGTTCTTGAATCCGATGACCTCGACGAGGTTGATTGGGAGTGGCTCGGTGGAAACAACACAAGCGTCGAGACAAACTACTTTGGCAAGGGCAACACAACCTCATACGATCGCGCCATCTACTACGATGTCGACGATGTGACTGGAACGATACACAACTACACCCTCGACTGGACAAAAGAGCAGCTACAATGGATCGTGGACGACAAAGTGTTGCGCACCTTGAAGTACGGAGATGCCCTCAATGGCAAAAACTACCCGCAAACACCCATGAAACTCAAGATCGGTATCTGGGCTGGAGGTGATCCGGAGTCAAACTCCAACGGAACAGTCGAATGGGCAGGCGGTGTCGTCGACTACCACCAAACACCCTTTACCATGACCATGGAACGCGTCTACGTAGCCGACTACAGCTCTGGCAGCACCTACACCTACGGCGACAACACTGGTTCCTGGCAATCCATCAAGATCGCCGAGGGCAACAGCACCATTGCCGAACGCCTCGCTAGACCTCATGGCGCAGAGGCACACTACAGAGCTCTACCCAAGTGGGCACAGGCTGCAATTGCCGCTGGTTCGGTTGCTGTGTTTGCTATTGCTTTGGTTGCATTCATCTTCTGCTGTATCAAGTCGAGACGTGCTGGTCGTCGCGAGCGTGCTGCTGCAGATGCTCAGTGGGAAAAGGATATGCAGGAGTTGGCCGAGTATAAGCGCACTTCCCCTCATGGTCCCATCGGCGGAGCTGGTAAGCAGTATCTATAGAAAGGTCTTTGATTATGTTTCATGTTTAATCTCACCATGTGTGTTTTCTTCTCATCCTTCTTTCGTCGGTCCCGGTGCAACGCGGGATAATACTCATGTTATGAAAATGCACAGCAACTTCCACCATCACCACTCGATCCATGGAGGACCCATCGAGACGCGTCCCTATTCCATAACTTTCTTGCATTCCTAAAACTATATTTCAACGAACTTCAGCCTTTGAGAGGGGATTCCTCTTCTGCATAGAAAGATAGTCCCCAATCTTCTGTCCAGGAACTGCCATCACGTCGCTGCAGTGATGTAATCCACAGTGAGTCTCTGCCGCGATTGCAACACCGCAAAACAACGCCCTCACTCGTGATCTTGGCAGTCTATACCGCAGACATACCGCCGCATTCACTCACAACAACAACACTCTACCAGGCTCGCTCCCTCCTCCTCCGCAACACCACACCTACCACTTATCTTTCATTGCCTTTTCAAATACTTGCATAGGCACTTCGTGTGCGGCTTTCTCTTCTAATTACTGAACGCTTTCCAACCACCTTCTGGAAGTTCTTGATTTACCTTTACGCCAACCCGCGTCTTCCTGCTCAACCGCTGCTCTACTCATACGCAGGAAAGTAGTAACGACCGAGGGTACTGGGCAAGCCTAAGGGTCAAACGATCTCTACAACCGCCTCATCTTCCACCACCTTCTCTCAACCAACGCTTCGATCTCCTTGTACGGCTGTGCGCCTACTTGTCTCTTCTGTCACCAACGCTTACGTCCCCGTCTCTTCGCTCTGGACACATCGTCTCTCCCAGACAGGGGCTTCTTCTCTACACGCACTGCCTCAATCAACCATACTCACGCGCGTTGGGATCGACTTCGCTTGCCCCCTTCCTCACCATTTGCAGCAAGTCGCACATCACCTGTTTCGGAGATAGAGTCTTGCGAGGTGAACCTTTGTAGCACACTCCCAGCACAATCATCAGATAGTGCGGGCTTCGCCGTCTGACTCGAAACCGAGAACAAAGCGAAGCTCGCAACCTATCGACTCTGAGGCGCTGTCATCCTCATTACCTGCTCGCGATTGCTCTCACAACCCAAGCATGTAATCACTTACCTCATTCATGCGTCTCAAGAGATTACTGATATCTTGTGCCTCAGAATCAAGACTCGTGCCTGCGTGAATGCCACGCCTGCCTCGACTCCGCTTGCACATAGTTGTTGCATCGGAGTGAGGTGAGGTTACACCTTCGCTCGCAAACCGATCTTCCAATCGCACTGGAATCTTGCACTGGGTTTTTTTTGTTTGCGCGCGGGCTGAGAAAACTCTGTGCGTCGTGGTTCGAATAAGGTATCTTCTTTCCTGGAAGAAACGACTGCCGGCAACAGCGACCGGCGAAAGTCCGTGCGCCGGGCCCGGTTCCTCTTTCCTCACAACCATTCCATCAAGACAACATTTCACTATTCGAATCACTCCACTACTCCTCATCTAATTTCAACGCAAAATAGCAGCAGCGCATAATGACCGATTCTGGACAATCAGAACCCGCTGCTGCCGCGGCGGCTGCACCTCCCCAACAGCCTTTCCGATTCACGGACTTGCCGATGGAAATTAGATTCATGGTGCTTGAAGAGTTGATGGACAACCCGAAGGACACTATCAGGTTCACAGCACCGAAGAACTTGGATGTCGAGGAGGTGCGTCTTGATGGAATGTACTATCCCAGCCTCCTCAAAGTCAACAAATCCACCCGCGATGAGTACTGGTCGCTATGTCTACGCGAATCAATCCTCTGGATCGTTTACGCTTGCACCGACTCTGCTCACCCCGATACGGAGAACAGCGAAGAAGAGAAACCAACAATGCCTCCTATATCGGACTGGGTGATGATACCAACCAGAATCTTGGAGAGAGTCACCGAAGTCGTCTTCAAGTTCCAAGCGGACTGGATGCTCCCAGAAATAAGTAAGAAGGATGGAATGAATGAGTGCTCTCCCCACAACCAGTTGCTGATCGTTCTTAGACCCCTTTTCTGGTATTGCAGACTGCATCGACGACATTTCCGGCCTTCAACTCATCGGTATATGGTCAGAAATGGACATGGCAGTTGTTGAACGTGTTGGAGACCAAGCAGAACGTCAAGAAAGATTTCAGAACTTTGTCGAAAATCTCTTTCTCGAAGAGGGTGCTTTGTACAACCGGTCTGACGACGACGGTCACGATATCTTCTGCCGCACCGACTGCAACCTTTGGGTGCCTCTCTTTGAGATGAACAAGAACTACTGTTGGCCCCGTCGCAGACATCTCCAGCAAGGTGTGGCGCCATTGGCTGGCCTTCCAGAGTGGGGCTACTCGATGTTCAAAGTGCATGCTCCGTGGAACCGTCCACTCGAGAATTCTTTCACATACCACGGCGAGGAGTTGGAATTTCTGCGTGTCGAATACGAACTGCCTGTGCTCGATCGGTCCGAGACGGAATGTGACAGTCCTAGCGAATGGGATTATGAGTTTGACGAATCCGGCTTCGCTACAGGTAACATGCCAGACTGGAGCACAGGTGCAAGACCTCTCTGGATGGATCATGAATAAACGAGGTTTGATGGAAAGCAGTGGCTAGAATGGCGGGAACCCAATGCAGGGGCGAGATGACATGAATGAGGTCCGACAGAATGTCGTGTTGCTTGATCGGAGGTTGCTCAGATTGAGTCGTTGAGGGTTTGCTTTGCTGGCATCACTTAGACAATAATATTCCACAAAAGCACTACTAATCTCTCTCTTCGAACTGGGCCTCTCAGGCAGATCGTTGCAACGTGTAATATTTGGTGGGATGCAGAAGGTTGCGCTTGCGAGACAGGTGAGAGCTCAGGTGCGGAGAAAGCTCGGTGGACAGATGGCAGTTCTCCAAGATCACCATCATTGTACTTTTTGTTGCAAGGAATAGACAAGCATCCTCAGCGACAATCACGCGCGACCGCAATCATGCTGTCTTGGAGCTCGTACGTCGTAACACAAAGTGTATACAGATTATAGTAAACTGACGATTGGTATACAGAATCCGATCGGCCCTCATCTTCTTCGGGCCCATGCTCCTCCCTCGAATCATCGCCTTTTACCGCAGTCTCCGAGCACCAAACAACGCACAACGCATACCCGTACCGCCAGAAGCATCTCGTGCCCTGAACCTCGTCTTCGCCAGCGCCGTCGTCTCGCTTCTGTTCACCCTCCCATACCTTACACCCGTCAACATCTTCTCAAAAACTGGCTCGCGACTACAGACTCCGACACCGGTTCTGTTCAACAGACTAGCCTCGGCCTCTCCTCAACACGAGACACTACGCCAAATCTTTACCGACGGGGGACTGGAAGCAAGACTACAATACCTCCGCTTTGGCCCTAATGTCCTGTGCAACTGCCCCTTGGTCGACGACCCCAAGGCCCAGAATGCTGGCCTCAACTACCTGATCTGCACTCTACCTTCGCTGCTCAAGACCCACCTGATGCATCTGCTCTTCCTCGGCCTCGCTACCTCTTCTCTCATCGGCGGCACGCTCTCTGCTCGTTGGAGAACCGCTGCCATACTCTCAGCCGTTGCAGTCATGGTCGTAGACTTCGCTTCTGTCTTTAATTACGATCACCAACGCAATGCCCGCGCCGCTACCTTCTCTGACGTCGAGAACTTCTTCTGGACGAGGAATTTGGTCTCTCATCTCGCCATCTGCATCACCGATGCTGCTATAGGCGCTTTGATCTGGGCTTCTGCCACCAACCGTGCTTTCGTGATCCCGCCTTCTCCGGCTGTCATCCTCGAGTCACAAACCAGAGTACTGGAAAAGTCGCTTGCAAAGTTCAGATCACTCGGTGCTGTCAGGAACGTGGTCATGAGGGAGTCGGGCTTCAGAACAAAGGTGGGCGAGTACTGGAGGAAGGAAGGAGAGATTATGCATGAAGTTTTGGAAGAAAGAGATGTGGTGGAAGCTGTCAATGAGGTTCTGGCCAAGATGGACGTGGATGGTGTTACAAAGGGTGCGGATGAGTTTGTCGAGCAGGTTTTGGGACCTATGGCTTGAAAATATGCTTTGTATTATCTAGACATTCGTCAGAGTATTGGTGACTGTTTTGAATTTGCATCGCTTCCGCTCTCACTCGCTTTCGTTCCCGCAAGCGCATCGCATGTGGTGGCTGCAGCGATGGCATTGTCGTAGCAGCCAGGGTGCTATATCCAACATGTAGGATTCGGCGATATCGAGACCGATTCGACAGCAAGGATTCGACTCATGTACGAATCGAGTTCTTCCACCCTGCCACTCCTATCCTGATCTTACAACTACTTCTCTATCAGAGTTTTCTCCAGAGAAAGAACAAAAACCACGCATATCTCAATGGAAGCTCCCTCCTCACTCAAACAACTCTGCATTCCTATAGCTTCCTACTACCTATATCTTTGAACATGAGAAAAAGATGCTGTGATGTTCTTCTTGAACCTTTACTGTCGAACCTTGCTCCAGATTCGAGCCATTGGTGTGATTCTAATGCTTGACTTGTCATCCTTGATTAAGGATAACATAATGTAAACGACGCGTGAAATGTTTAAACATATTGTAGCATGTCGAAGATGATTTTCTAGAGGCAGCCTGTAGTAGAACAACACTGTTACAGTAGAGAATTGGGTTGAGGAGGCATGAAGAGAACCGGGGGGTTATGATCTTAGCAGGCATGGAGAGTATAGGCAGGATATCACTTCCTGCGGGGAGGACTTCCACGATATCGCAATGATATTGCGGTGCAAGCTTTCGGGGTATAGCAACGCTGAAGGATGGAAGGATAGAGAAGATGGACAGTAAGTGCTGATGTACTTGCACTGGGACGAGAGCGCGAGATGTGACGACGGCAGCATGGAGGAGGGATAAAGATGGCAGGATAAATGTGCACAACAGCAGACGAAGACGCTCAAGCAGAGTATAGCAGAGTGACAAGAAGGCAGAGGTAGGGGACGAGACAAAGCAGGAACATCACAGGAGAAAAGAGTCAAGAAGAATGGGATACAATCAACAATGAATTTTGAGTTGCTGCTGCAAACTGATTATCTAAGTCATAAACCCAGATCCCTCGAAGCAGCTGCCTCGCCATCATGTTTCATGCGGGTCATGACAACAGAAAAGGTGGTATCGTTAGTGTAATGCTGTACTCATGTGACCTTGAGCACTACATCGAAGCGAAGGAAAGACTTTTGAAAACCAAAGGTCAAACCGTTTACTTCTTGCCAGCCTTAACAGCAGCCTTGGTGACCTTACCGGCACCCTGCTTGTCAGACTTGACGACGGACTGTGAAAGAGAGTTAGATGTTGAGACTGTGAGTAGATGGAAGAAAAGCTTACCTTGATGACACCGACAGCGACGGTCTGTCTCATGTCACGGACGGCGAAACGACCGAGAGGAGGGTAGTCAGTGAAAGCCTCAACGCACATGGGCTTGGAGGGAACCATCTTGACGATGGCGGCGTCACCAGACTTGATGAACTTGGGGGCGGCCTCAACGGACTTGCCGGTACGGCGGTCAATCTTCTCAACAAGCTCGGAGAACTTGCAGGCGATGTGGGCAGTGTGGCAATCGAGGACGGGTGCGTAACCGGCACCGACCTGACCAGGGTGGTTGAGGACGATGACCTGGGCGTTGAAGGAGTCGCAACCCTTGGGGGGGTCGTTCTTGGAGTCACCGGCAACGTTGCCACGACGGATCTCCTTGACGGAGACGTTCTTGACGTTGAAGCCGACGTTGTCACCGGGAAGACCCTCGGTGAGCTGCTCGTGGTGCATCTCGACGGACTTGACCTCGGTGGTGACACCAGCGGGGGCGAAGGTGACGACCATACCACCCTTGATGGTACCGGTCTCGACACGGCCGACGGGCACCGTGCCAATACCACCGATCTTGTAGACATCCTGGAGGGGAAGACGGAGGGGCTTGTCGGTAGGGCGCGAAGGAGGGTCGATGGCGTCAATGGCCTCGAGGAGAGTCTTACCAGTGGCCTTGGCCTTGGTCTCCTTCTCCCAACCCTTGTACCAGGGGCAGTTGGTGGAAACATCGATCATGTTGTCACCGTTGAAGCCCGAGATGGGGACAAAGGGAACGTGCTTGGGGTTGTAGCCGACCTTCTTGATGAAACCGGAGGTCTCCTTGATGATCTCCTGGTAACGGGCCTCGGACCACTTGGTGGTGTCCATCTTGTTGATGGCAACGATGAGCTGCTTGACACCAAGGGTGTAGGCGAGAAGGGCGTGCTCGCGGGTCTGGCCGTCCTTGGAGATACCAGCCTCGAACTCACCAGTACCGGCGGCAATGATGAGAATGGCGCAGTCAGCCTGGGAGGTACCAGTGATCATGTTCTTGATGAAATCACGGTGACCGGGGGCGTCGATGACGGTGACCATGTACTTGGGGGTCTCGAACTTCCACAGAGCGATATCGATAGTGATACCACGCTCACGCTCGGACTTCAGCTTGTCGAGGACCCAGGCGTACTTGAAGGAACCCTTGCCGAGTTCGGCGGCTTCCTGTGTGGTTGTCAGACATTGTTGCTGGTATAGTGGTATGGGTGGCGAAGGTGTGTTGTGAAAATTCTGCGAGTCGGGCGTCAAGCGCGAAGCTCAGCTCGACCCCGCCAGACAGCCCACTCCAAGGGTGAAAAGTGCGAAAAAGCAACGATCTTGTCGTAAAAGAAAGCGCAGAGGCAGGAGCAAGGTGAAGGAAGAGGATGGCTTACCTTCTCGAACTTCTCGATGGTACGCTTGTCGATACCACCGCACTTGTAGATCAAGTGACCGGTGGTGGTCGACTTACCGGAGTCGACGTGGCCGATAACGACGACGTTAATGTGGGACTTTTCCTTACTGCAGGCGATGGTTAGAGCGTGCTACTGGCAGAGCAACATCGAAGAGAAGACATACCCCATGTTGACGGTTGTGTATGGAAGATGGAGTGAAGTACGGTTGAACTTTCTGAAGAGAGGTTAGAAAAAGAGAGAGGAAGAAAAGGAAGAGCAGATCCAAGAAATAGCAAAGTGGAGCCCGCTCTGAGAGGTCAAAGCTTACCAGATACGATTGCTTGATGAACCGTGGTATGAAGACAGTGTTGAGAAGAAGGGCGCGGGAGGGGTGGCCTTTTTGAGTGTGCGTGAAGGGCGCACTGACTAAGCGAGCAAAGGGTCTAGCTTCAGTTGCCCCGCCAAGCTGGTTTTTTTCTTTCACTTTTTTGCTGCTTCGTTGGGGGCCAACCGTGCGGATCCAGCTGCAAAAAATGATGTAACGGATGATGAGCCAACTGTCGGCTTTTTTTCTTCCTCTGTTGCTATGGATCGTGGTGGCGGAGGCAAACTGCTGCAATCGAGAGTCCAGCTGTCTATCGCTCACTTGCGGTGTCTCAACGAGGCCACAGCTATCCACCTCCACGTGACAATATGCCCAATCAACTGCTCACCGAGCTCACTATTCGTGCCGATATGCCTATTGTCCCCTCTGTATAGCCGCTGCCTCCGTAGTGTTTGGTGTACTATCGATAACGTTCGGGCAGCATCGAGGGCACCAAAGCCGCCGCTGTGCGTTCCTTCAAGTTTTTTTCCGGCACACCGCTCGTCCAGCTCTCTGCACCCGTCACATCACGATTCGCCGCAGTGGATAGTCGTGCATCTAGCCTGGTCTGTTTCTAATTGAGCATCCGAATCCTCGTTTTCCCATCCCTTTACTATCCGCTCTGCTACCCCGCCGCCACCAATGTCTTCCGCAGAAGCTCTCCCCGCCTACAAGCGCGACCTCATCTCGCTCACCCTCTCGTCCAACATCCTGACCTTTGGCTCCTTCACCCTCAAGTCCGGCCGTATCTCGCCCTACTTCTTCAACTGTGGTCTGTTCTCCAAAGGCAAGCTCATCCGCGGCATCAGTGAGGCCTACGCCCGTACTGTCGCCGAGTATTGCTCCGCCCACCCCGAGTTCCAGTTCGACGTCCTCTTCGGCCCTGCCTACAAGGGTATTCCTCTCTGCGCCACCACTGCTGAAAAGCTTGCTGGCATTGACGAGGCCAAGTATGGAGACCTCGGTTTCGTTTACAACCGCAAGGAGGTCAAGGACCATGGCGAGGGCGGGCTGATGGTCGGCGAGAGCCTCAAGGGCAAGAAGGTTGTTGTCATTGACGATGTCATGACTGCCGGCACTGCCATCAGAGAGGCCATTAGCATTATCAAGAGCCAGGGCGGTGAGCTCGTTGGCATCATCGTTGCCCTCGATAGACAAGAGAAGACTCCCAGCGAAGGCGAGAAGCAGGGCAAGCCTGACGATGGCTCAGACAGACCAAGCACCATTGGCCAGGTTCGCGAGGAGACTGGTGTCCCCGTCCTTGCTGTCCTTACCCTTGACGATGTCATTGAGGGTGTCAAGGGCCAGGCTACCGAGGAGCAGCTCAAGGCTATGGAGGACTACAAGAAGAAGTACGGTGCAAGCAACTAAACAAACGAGACGAAAGCATATGATGTTGAAGACGTCAAATTAAAATAGATACCCATGACAACCCACTTTTACTATACTCCATGGCCAAGCTCTTGCTATTGCCATCATTGCTCCATGAACATAACGTTTACTGAGGATTGCTTTTTGCAACAGCTTCTGCCTTTTCCAACATATCGACCAACGCCTGACATGCTTTCAGAGTAATGCTCGAGAAGAAAGAGAGAAAGAGGAAAACAGATTGTAAGACACTCCTCGCCCGGGTACGCTACAGACCGCCACAACAGAAACACATCGGCCGACCGACCTGCGGTGGACATAGTTGGTAAGCCTTGTTGCTTATCACGAGATTCGTGTCGTTGAGCCGGGTGGCTTTAGGCCTCGGTCTTCTGTGCTGGCCTCTGACCGGTCAGATGGCGCATGATGTGAGAAAGGTGTGATGGGAGTTGGTTGTGACCGTGGTGTCACAGGGCTTATCAGCGGCTCTGAAGACTGAGTCACTGCTGACATCTCCTGGCCCTCGTAGCCAAGAGCTTCGACAGTTGTTGTGAGTGTAGGAAGCAGATTGTGCGGATAGCGCGCAGGTGATTGGCCACGCTCGATAATCTCGACCATGTACTCATCAAAGCCAGAGTCTTGATGTACTGGCGGGCCGAACAAAACACGGTGTTGCCTTGCAGGGTGTGGAGAGCCTTCATGACTTTCAGGAGCTCGTCTTGAAGACTGTTGATGATGATGAGTGTCAACAGCTTCTCGGTGCAAGTCGAAAACACCCAATTCGAATGGAGGAACGTCAGGTACGGAAGGCCGCTCGTTCGTGGGTCGGTCTCGTGAGTCTTCAGCGTGCTCAAAGCCGGCGATGTCTTCGTCGCAAAGGTACTCGCATGCTGGCGGGCCTTGGCTCAAAGACAGACTTGTCGTGCTGCTCGCTGCAGACCTCCGACGATAACCATGCGGACTCCTGCCTCGGTGAGGTATGACATAACTTCCTGTGCTGTCGATTCTGTACTCGGTAGACGTCGCTGCGTTGATGAACTGATAAGGATCCGTGGTAGGGTACGAGGGAACAAAGTCAGCCGGCTTCCTTTGTTCTCTCTTGAACTCTTCCACAGCATTCCAGTCAACAGCAGTAGCTGGATCATTGAACTCCTTGTGTGAATGGTGGCATGTAAGACTGTGGTCAGATTCTCTCGGACTGATGCGTTTCTTTTCGTACTCTCGTGGTTGAAGCGGGAACATTGTCAGGAGCTCTTTCGCGCTCGGTCGGCCTCGTGGCTGATTGTTCAAGCAAGCGTCGATGATGTCCTCGAACCAATTTGGCACATCCTGTGCTGTTATACAAGGCATCGCTCCAGAACTTGTTCTTTCAACATGTTCAGGTTCATCATCTTGCTGTGCCAATGCCCAAAGAACCATACCGAGCTGGAAAATATCGCTCTTCACGTTGATGAACATGCTTATCTTCTGCCCTCTTCGCACAAGACGAAGAAGCTCTGGCGGCTCCCAACCAATTGGACAGCCACGACGGTTGATGTCGATAATTTTGGCATCGTCCTCGGAGTCAATGACAATGTTGGACAAAGTAAAGTCGCCTTGAACAAATCCAGCTTCGTGGATCTCAGAGAGGCCTTGGACAATCTGGTATGCCCATCTTTCGCGACGATGCCATGACAGCGAGCTGCTCAGCTTGTCATCGTAAATGACATCCACAAGAGCACCAAGCGACGCGAAAGAAATCAGTAATCCTTTGATAATCCTCTCATCATCGTCCACCACCAAGCCATGGAAGTCAATTACGTTCTTCGACCCTCGAAGTTCATTCAGTACCTCAATCTCATATAGAAACTCATCAATCGTATCTGGACCTGGTATCTCCTTTTTGATCAAGACTTGATTGCCGGCTCTGACCTTGTAAACAAACCCGGAGAGGTGTGATTGAAAGTCGAGTTCGCTCTCGCGGTACAAGCGACAGCCTTCTTCGACAAAGTCGACTGATGGATAAGGAATTGTTTCGTTGATGTCCTCTGTGACATGAACATGCAACTGCCCATCCTCCGTCTCAAGCTTCAGATTAGTAACAGTGTCGTAGAATTCTATGTCTGGCAAAGACTCCCTGATAGCTTCGTATATACGCTGGTTTTTGTCTCGTTGAAACTTGAGAGACTTGAGGTCCGATTCGAGAGATGATGGCGGTGCATCTCTGTAGTCACAAGAAATGGTCACCCTGCACCAGCGGTTTGGTTGTTGGGCGTAGGTAACAAAGAACTTTTCACGGTCGGATTTGTCTCGGAAGTGCATGCTCAAGTTGAGGATCCACGTCGACTCGAGTTCAGCCTGCAGATCACGGTCATCCAGAAACTCGGGCTTCCCAGCCTCTTCCAACATAGGCGGTATGTCATTGAGAAGAGAAGGCTTGAATGGTTGATCATTCTGGACATTCTCGAGCGCGAGAGCTCCAGTATCAAAGTAGCTTTCTGCATGGGTGTCGGCAAATGGCAAGCGCATATGTCCTGGGGTACTAATATCTGGTGGTGAGCGAGATGGCGATGTAGCTGATAGAGGAGATTGACAGCGTCCAGGACTCATTGCTCGAGGTCGCCGTTCGGCGCTCACCGCTCTTCTTTCTGTTGCACTGGGTTCGATTGCTAATAGTCTTTCCCTTTTTTCGGAACTCTGCCTTTTGGTTGTGAATTGTCGTGATAGTTCGGGAATCACCTTCTTAGACTTGGACAAGGTACGGCCGAGCAAGCTATTTCCCCGCGACCTTGATGGTGCCAGCACTGTTTCCTGTTGGACTGAGCCATTATTTCCTGATTCCTGCGTTGACTCAAGGTGTTCATTCAAAGGTTGGGGATCCTGGTGTGACGGGTTATCAGGCAAAGCAGGATCGACTTCGTCCCTCCTCAGCCAACCGCCAATTTTATGCAGAGTTCGAAGAACAGAAGAAGAACGTTTCCTTGAGGGGTCGAATTTGTGAGGGTCGCGTCGAGGGTCGGGCACGTCTTGCTGGAGCGCATGGCTGCTACTGCTGGTAGGTGGGAAAAGCTGTGGCATAACGATGAAGCTGACCATTCACAGCTCGCGGCACCCTCGCTCATGTATCCTTCATCCAAACCACAAGACCAAGGCAGGCTAGACTTGTACGAGGAACTATTCTCGAACCCAATTCGCGCAAACGCGGTGCGGGTTCATGGTCTAATCAAGTTCCAGGCAATGCGGGAGAGGTCGGGTGCTGATGGGGAGGCAGTGCATCCTCACACCAAGTTACACAGGGATTCAAAGGCTGAAATACTTTGAGCATACCTTGGCCCCGATCGGTGCATGTTGCATGAGGCGCAGAAGCTTCACCGGAAAGCGATGCGGTGTGTGTGTGGAGACAAAGATGATCGTCCCAGCCGGGTGGAATGGAAGCCAACATTCCTTTGTAAAGCGTGAGGCTGGTCAATCACGTTGCTCATTCATACATAATCCTGCCAACATCCTTCCAGCCACCTCGACCGCCATTGTTCGCAAAGTGCAGTCGACCGCTGTCAGATATGATATAATGCCGGATACCAACACGAGTCGACACTTCTCAGCTGTTGGCCGGTGCCACCAGCCTTGAAGCCCCCGAGGCACCTCAATCCATGGCCTTGCATCTTTGTAGCTCTCTTCATGCAGACACGCGCACATTTCTGTCATTTCACCATTTCGGCAATATTCACCCCATGAACGCGCCCCGCGAGGTTGGTCTTGTTGTGTTCCGTCCCTCTTCTACCTGCAACAAAGTGGGGTTGAGCTGGTCTGACCCTGGAGGAGCCTCTTCTATCCAATGCGAAACCGACTCTGATCCTCTAGAAGATACAAAACCACTGTCTATTTTGGCGACATGAACCGTCGACAACTCTACGCATGCCACGACAGCCGTCTTGCCCAACGGTGAGCCGGCTCTCCGGGGAACAAACGCGTGCAGCCATAGCGCTGCTCCTATCGTCAGGGACGGAAAACTAGTTCTGCAGTCTTCCTTTTGACATATGCAGCTTGTAGGTGCCTCATCATTCATGTCGCTGTTGAGAAGGTTTTATCGTCATTGTTATTGCGCTATCCTATCCACGTCGCTCCCCTGGAAGCTTGTAGATATTCTGCAGTGTTCAATCAGCCCAGAGCCATTCATGCATGGGTGCACTATCGGGAGGGTATTTGCTTCCTCCATCAAGCCAATGTCGGACAACACAGCGGACAACACAGCGGACAACATTGCTCGCAAGCAGCTTCTCTGCATCCCGTCGGCTGACCTCAGGATGGTCAGCGCAATACACTACCCCGTCTACACGCTACAATGTCATCTGGATTTGGCACAAGCCAGACGCTCGAGACCAAAGGCATAAATCGTTCGAGTCCGATTTCTCCCAGCCTGACTCTCGAGTATCTCTGCAATGAAGAGAGCGAGTATCGATTGGTACAAGCTAGTGCCTCGAGATGTACAAGGTTGATGCGGTTCACTTAAATACTCCATGGAAGATCGGCTTGGTAGGAGTATCGACAGTCGCGATATGACAGCCGAAAATCTGAGTGCATACCTCGTTCCAGCCTGCGATACTCCAGACACAGAAAAAGGTCGGATCGCATACCCTCTTCTCTTCTCCATGCCATGTTCTCTTTTCTCTCCTCCTTCCCTCTTCATCGGGCTTTCATCAAGTCTCGGATATCTGTCTACTCACAGTAACAGCATCTTTTCAGTTGTTGTGCCATTAAGCTAAATTTGCTTCTGTCAACCACTTCCTCTTCAGAAACTTCGACAACGCAGTGTTTCGTCGATTGGTATCTACAGGCTTCACTCACAAGAAGGCCAAACAAGGACTTCTGCGCCTTCTGTAACGAGATATTAGCTACTTCATCGTGGAAGCTGGTCGTACATTACTGGATTACAGCTCACTGCAGCTGCTTTCTCACCCCCTTGTCTTGCTTTGCTCACTACAGCAATCGTGACTTCTACTCCGACAAAGCATCTCTCCTCATCAAACATAAACCAACCCTACATCTCTCCTCAGTCAGTCACACTTCTCGCCTCTCACCTCTCACCTCTCACTGCTCACCTGCCTTCTCATACCTTCCGGCCGCTCTCACAACTTCTCCAACTGCCATATATATACCTCCCCTTAGCACTCTTCCAGCCTTCCTTTCTTTCAACTACTTCTCAACTTCTGATCCTTCTACAACACAACAACATCTCCACCCATCCACCTTCTCCAATTTATATACCTTCCACAACCAACACGCTCCTTTATTGACATACCTCCCTTCATCACCCATGAATTCGAGTGTGCAGTCGCCCGACATGATGGGCAATCATCTCACTCCAGATCCTTTCTACTCTGGACCTGGCGGCCTACCACTTGCTAATCCAATGCATGCGATGGTACCATACCCATATCTGCCAGTACCTTCACAGTCCCAGAACGCAGAGCACTCCGATCGAATCGCACGCTTGGAGCAACAGCAGTTTCAAGATGGCGTCAACTCTCACTACAGAAACATGCAGATATCACAGTCACTGCAACACCTCCAGCAACAACTCTACCAGATGCAACAGGCTATTGTCTTTGACATACCCGCTCTGCGTCGTCATGTCGAAGCGCTTCAGGTCAGACTAGACCGCAGGCAGAACGACGAGGTCACCCGCCAGATTGAACTTGAGCCACGCACCCAAGAGCAAAAGCTCCACTCGGCGTTGAAGAATGCCAACCTGGTCCGTATATACGCCAGTACTTCGGTACATGAAAATGCAACTTCCAAATCAAGCGCTCTCCGAAGAGCTGAGCAAATGGAAGCTCTGGCGACGTTGCTTCGTGGTAGAGTCCACCGTGGTGGCGCAGCCTACCTCTCCGAAGCGGAAGATGCAGAGGCTTGGGCAGCAAAGTTGAGAGAGGATGTGGAGCACATCGGAGGGCCTGAAGTCGACAACAAGATGTTAATGGAGTCCGGACCGGCCGTTCCTTTTCATATCCATACTGCGAACGCCGATGTGCAAGCCGAGGTAACTCGAGAGGAACCCGAAAGACAGTGGGACTCGACTCTTATCTCTACACCTCTGACAAAGTTGAGTCCATCTTCGTATAGAAGACGCGCAGTGCGCACACCCATGCAGGACTCCAACGCGACCCGGAACAAAAGCAGTACTCCCAAGGATATGGCAACTCCAGTACAATCAGCCTGGGGCAACAGCAGCATCCATCCCCACACTCCCAGTGCTCAGCGCTCCAAGTCCTCGAAGGGTTCCGGCTCGGGAGTGTTGATCAAGATCAAGGAATCATCCGAACGCAATGTCACCTCGGTCCAAGTCGAAGCTGTCTCAACTCAGCGAGCCAGAAAGCTTGCACCGCATTTGAAGTACGCTTCTCAGCAGATACAAGTATCCAAGGACTGGACTCCAGCAATCGAAGCTACAACCAATGACAGTACCACCAAAACGCATGAAGTCTCAGATACAGCAAAGGTAAAAGTACCATCCGTGATTCCACCCCACCGCAGAATGTACAAGCGTGCCTTGACACCACCAACCCCAAAGCCAGACTCCAAGTCCACACAATGGGAGATGGAAGAAAGCAAACCAGCCGAAACTAAAGCACAACAATCAGTCTCTGACAACTCCAAGCAAGAGTCGATGGCTGTGCAAGAGAAGTTCACCTCCGTCAAGAATGCTCCAAGGAAGAAGAACAAGAAATCTCGTCCCCATCGCAGTACCAGAGTTGCAAGAGCGAAGGCTGCAGAGCGTTCACAAGTCGAATCCGTCTGCACCAACAAGAAAGATGCATGGCCATCGGAGGCAGTCGAGTCGAATGTGTTCCCGGCAGAAGCAATCAAGCATCCAGAGTTGCACAATACGGCAGGGTTTGAGAGAGAAAAGCAAAACGCGTCCGCATCGACTCTGAATCGCACCACTCTAACCTGGCAACCGACCTACCTCAGAGAATTACCTCTGCTATCTCCCTCAGAGCTCGAAGACATCCCCCCATCTCCAGAGATGCACGCCTTCAGCCGCACCTTCATCATCACCCACCTTGGCGGAATGAAATGGCTACCCTCTTTTTATTCAGTTCCTGAATCTGAGCGCTCCCTCCTTCCCGGCCGTGGATACTACCTCCTCGAGGACACGACTGAACCTCTTGCACCTGCATTCCCAGGTGCACACGGCAGTCTCGTAACCCCCATTTTGCGTCTCCCCGAATCCAACGACCCATCAACTCCAGCACCAGAATCCATGCTCAATGCTCCCCTCTTCATCAAGCACGGGGACGGATATGTGTACTACGGAATGTACTCACACCTTCGCAGCGACCGTCTCGATCTCGAGCGTTGCAATGCACTCATCCCTGCCTATCTAAAAGAGCACTGGGCATCCCAACTCACCTCCCCCCGCCGTCCGAAATGGGTCACTGAAGCCTTACAAAACCATCTCCGTCCACCTCCCTCATACCCACGCCCTTCAACCTCAGCCTCTTCAGACGCCATCACCGCTGCCCTATCGACCCACCACCGAGCCCTCGAATCCTGGCACCGCGATACTTTGCTGCTGACCTCTTTCCTTCGCCCAGCCAATATCCTTGATGCCTTTGCCGCACCAGATACCGGTGCCTCAACGCCTGGTCTGCGCTTCTGGTGTCTAGGACTCAAGTGCGAAGGTTGGGATAAGGGCTTTTACGAAATGATGAAGAGAGAAGAACGACTCTGGGACAAGCAGGGTAAGAGGGATGGGGAGAAGGAGAGAGAGGCGCAAAAGGACATGTTGCGGTTGTTGGGGAGGGGGAAGCCGGTCAAGTGGTAGGCCGTATCTGCTGCTTGCTGGGAGGAGGGGATTGAGGATCGGCATACGCGACGGGGAAATCTCGAAGATTGGACGGGAAGCGGGATATCGAGGACTCCTGACATGGACACGACTTGGAAGGGAAAGAAAGTCCGACCAAAGAGCATCAAGGAGCATCGAAATAGCACCAAAGGAGATCCACAGCATCTTCCAGCACACGATTCACGACAGGAAGCACGCAGAGAGCAACGACTCTCCACGAAAGAAGACTAACGATTGACGACTAACGACATCCTTATCATGTATTGAGAATGCTCACCGGAGAGCAAGACAGCCATTGGAGAACATTTCAGCATCAGATATCAAAATCTCCTGAGATGATGAGATCATTAGTCAAGAAAGATAGCAAGAGATCAATTTATATCAAGTTCTTCATGAATCCAAAGCGAGTCCCATAATTACAAGCAGCGCGAGCTCAACCCTTCCCATAACGTATCATCTTGATGAGCAGATCAGAAAGGAAACGCCAATGAACACATCTACAACCACTTTGATGCGTGAAACCTGCCTTGATAGAACATTCGTGCTCCATCCATTCCTCGTCTATGCAGGGAAAAGAAAACCTGCCTCATAATCAAAAAAGAAAACTCCGTAATATGTAAATTTCATGCCCAGCCAACCTCTTTACATCCTTCTGGGACCAAAGTAAAGCAAACCGCCAATGCCGGTGAAAGTCAAGCCCATCCACCACCAACCATCAGGGTTCATGACCTTGCTCTGAACGCCCATCTTGAAATTCGTGGGGACCTCTCTACCAACATGGCGCTTTGCTTTTGAAGTGGGGGTGGTGCCGGCAGCGAGAGTGGGGTTAAGGGTTTGGGTTGGCAGCATCTCCGGAGGGTTGTAGACGAGGTACATTGGTTGCATGATTTTGCCGTCGAACTCGGTGAGGTCGAGGCGGAGGATACCGTGGTAGGGGTCGGTGTAGACGCGGTATCCCTTTAGTTCTGGTCAGTATGTTGGTTGGAAAGGCAGGGTATGAGTGGTGATGGACGTACCTTCATCTTCTCGGTGGTGTTGTAGCGCGTGTAGATGGCGTGGCTGTTTTGGCAGGGCTGAGACAGCAATTGGCGGCCGTCGACGGCGATGGGTGTCATGGTCAGGGAACCGTCGCTGCCGATCACGTAGCTACCGTGTTGCCATTGCATGATGGCACCGGGACATGAGGGGTCGGCAGGATTTGAGATGGCGCGGTAGTAGGATTCCTCGTAGAAACCGTCGGATGTAAAGGAGTATGAGATGCCGGGTCGCGAGGGCTCGATCATGTTGTCGTTGACGGGGTCATAGAAACTCTGAAAGGATCGGTCAGCGATTGCCTGACAAGACGGATCCAAGGTATGCAACGTACGGGACCAGTCAAGGTCTTGTTGGCCTTTGTTGCCCATGTGCCGACCAGACTGCTGTCGACCAACTCGGCCGAAGCGACGCTGCCAAATGCGAGCGTCGCCGTCAGGGCGTATGCCGAAGGAAGTCTCATGGCTGTGGTGCTGTGTGTTCGGGCTGTTCGTGTCGTTGGGAGAGGCGTATGAAGTCGACAAGGATATCGTTTGGTCTTGTGTTGTTTTCGCAGGCAAACAGAAGAATCGGGCTACAAAACAAGGTTGAGAGAGTCGCAATGCGCAAGACGACAAGGATAGAGAGGGCTTGGCAAGCCCAAAACACGGAGAAGGGGAGACGCTGCGAGCCCCTGCCCGAAATAGCGACGACCCCACCTGAAACACGCTCGACGAGTAGCCTCTGCACATTCATCGCCCTCACCACATTCAAATCACATGTTGCACTCGTCTCTGAGAGCAACCACTGCGACTCGTGCTGCTCATACACTCAAGATTGCTGCAACGAATCTTTCATCAAAAATGTCGTCGTCAGCCACCCTGGACCTGGGCGCCGAGTCTCAACTGTCCGACAAGAAGGCTGTGAGAACACAACTGCACAGCCTGCTTTCTTCATTGCCATCCGATCACGTCCAACGCCAATGTCCGTTTTCTGTAGTTGCGCCGTATCTTCCATAGTCAAACTGACATACCGTAAGCCATCAATGCCACAAACCTGCTTCTGTCGTTGCCCGAGTATCAGAATGCCCGTTCCATTAGCATTTTCATGAACATGCCTCGAGGTGAAATCGACACCTCGATTCTTACCGCCCATGCTCTATCTTCAGGGAAGCGTGTCTTTGTGCCTTACATCTACAAGCCCAAGCAGCCTCGTTCAGATAACCTACCTGCTTCCATCATGGATATGCTGCAGCTAGCTGATGAGAACGACTACGCCTCGCTTCAGCCTGACAAATGGGGCATTCCATCCATTCCAAAAGACACCGTCTCAACACGTGCAAACTCATTTGGAGGAAAAGGCCGCAGTGATGGAGATTCACCAACTTCAGACGCACAAGATCTCGACGTCATCCTCATGCCCTGCATGGCCTTTGATCAACATCTCAACCGTCTGGGTCATGGTAAGGGCTACTATGACAACTATCTCACACGGCATTGCTCGGCAAAGACAGCAGATGGACAGAACAGAAGGAAACCATTTTTGGGTATGTACCGACGCCTTTTTAGCATTTTTGTGTCTCGTCCCTCCTCTGACTCGTTGGTGCCCCAGTGGGATTCGCCCTTGCTGAACAAATGATTCCTTCGCAATATCGTCTGCCGGTTGATCCATGGGACTGGAAGGTAGATGCGGTGGTGCTCGGAGATGGCGGGTCAGAGGCCAAATTGGTAAGGGCGTGATCTAGAGATGCGGTGCTCGTGGTTGGGGGCGGATATGCAGAGCGATGCTGGTAGCTCTGGGCATTGGCGAAGAAAGGAAAACATCAAACTCATAGACTCTGGATGAGGGCAACGTTGTCGCCCTTGAGGAGGATTTGGCCTGGCGAGACAGGTTAGCACGCGGACCAATGCACGAAGCGCAGTGGATATCAGCATACCGAGGCTTCTTCTCGACTCTTCTGGGTCGGTCTTTGTGGGTTGCTTGACCTCGATGGCATCGTCGACGACCAGGTTCATGAACTCGTCGAAACCCTGCGGACATGATCAGTATGCGCGCAGATGGAGCAGGGTGACAAGATGACGGACTCTGATGGTCCCCTCAATACGGATGCCTAGCTGTTCGAACAACCATATCGAGACCTTTGCGCGGGTCTGAAGGAGCTTGAAAATGTAGTTGATTGGCGGCAGCAGCACCTTTCCACCACCTCCGCGTCCGCGTCTCTCCATATTGTCTGGGGGGTTGGTGTTTTGTGGAAGGTCGAGGTAGCAAGTCGCAGTTGGCCGTGCTGAGTGCTACAGTGAGACGGAGTCGGAGCGAATGGTGTACGAGAGTTGATTATGGCGATGAACAGGATGCGACAGCGTCTCGGTCGCTGTTGCAGCAAGAGCAATCCAGATGAAGCAGTCGCGCAACGCACGGACTGAGAGCGATTCTGCGTCAGTGTCAATTGCAGCCAAAGAATCATGTGGAGCTGCCCGATCCAAATCAACAACCTCGCTCTTTTTCGATCCTCTGTTGCTTGCTGCTCTGTCTGCTGGCAGTCCCTATTCTTTCAGGCAACTAGACACGCCGTCTTCACCAATCCTTGCACCGCAGACTACCCCCACTACTCCTTCTCTGCCAGCCGTCGACCAAATCACATCCCACCATGGCCGCCAACGGCACCCAGGCCTTCGCCCCAGTGCTGGCTGCTCTGCAGACCATGCAATCGAATGTAGATCGCACACAAAAGGGCCAGGCACACGAGTTCCTCGAACAATTCCAGAAATCTGTATGCGACATCACATAGCACACGCCATCGAACACGACCCCACTAACGACAACAGAACGAAGCATGGAATACGACCTTCATGATCCTGGGCTCGCCTGAAGCCACTACCGAATCAAAGCTCTTCGCCGCAACCACCCTCAAAGGCAAGATCGTCTTCGACTTCCACCAGCTGCCTCGCGAATCCTTGCCCGAACTGCGCAACACTCTTCTATCGCTACTCGCCCAATTCAGCCAGGGCCCCAAGCCCATCCGCACGCAACTATGCGTCTGCCTCGCCAACCTCGCTATCCAGATGCTCGAGTGGAAGGACGTACTACAGCTCGTCGTTTCCACTCTCGGCAACGACCCCAACGGCATCGCTTGCGTCCTCGAATTCTTGCACGTCCTACCAGAGGAGGTCACAGAAGGCAGAAAGATCAACCTCACAGAAGACGAGCTCAGAGACAGGACTGTTGAATTGTTGGAAGAGAATGGAAACCAGGTCCTCACACTGCTCAATCAGTACGCACAGTCGTCCGAGGCTGCCGCGAAGAACCCTCAACTCATGGAGTGCATCACATCGTGGATCAGAGAAGTCCCGCTGAACGACATTGTCAACTCGCCTCTTTTGGATGTTGTTATGAACGCCCTGGAAGCCGACTCATCTTTCGAGTCCAGTGTCGAGACTCTTTGCGCCATCTTCAGGGAGACAAGAGACGTCGACGAATGCATGGCCATCATCAAGACCATGTATCCCAGAGTCATGTCCATCCGTCCCAAGATCGCACAAGCCGCTGAAGCAGAAGATTTCGAGATGTTCAAGGGCCTTACACGAATCTTTGCAGAGGCTGGTGAAGCTTGGGTCGTTCTCATCGCTCGTCTGCCCGACGATTTCCGTGGTTTGGTCGAGGCCGTACTGGAGTGCGCTGCTAGAGATACCGAGAAGGAAGCCATTAGTAGCACTTTTATCTTCTGGTATGAGCTCAAACAGTACATCACTCTGGAACGCTATATGCAGGCTCGCATGCAATTCGTCGACATCTACCTAAATCTGGTCGACATCATGATCGGCCACCTCGAATTCCCCAAGCCTGAGAGCGGAAACGACAATGACCTCTTCGACGGCGACCGCGAACAGGAGGAAAGATTCCGCGAATTCCGTCACCAGATGGGTGATGTATTGAAGGACTGCTGTGAGGTTATTGGCGTCACCGAGTGTTTGCAAAAGTCTTATGTCAAGATTGAAGAGTGGGTCAACACATACGGTCCGCAAGCGAGCACAGGAAACGTTCCCGAGTGGCAGAAGCTCGAAGCTCCTCTGTTCAGCATGCGCGCCATGGGCCGTATGGTTCCTCCGGATGAGAACATCATGTTGCCCAGACTGGTGCCTTTGATCGTTCAGATTCCGGATCAAGAAAAGGTCCGCTTCCAGGCTGTCATGGCACTTGGAAGATACACCGAGTGGACTGCCCAACACCCTGACACTCTCGAAGCCCAGCTCAACTTCATCATGGCTGCTTTCGATCATCCTTCCAAGGAGGTTGTCACTGCTGCTGCTCTCTCTTTCAGGTTCTTCTGTAACGACTGCTCCGACCTGCTCAAGGGCTTCACCAACCAACTTCAAACCTTCTACGAGACCGTCATCAACAGGTTACCGCCCACGAGCCAGGAAGAAATCACAGAGGGCATGGCATCGGTCCTCTCGAAACAGCCCGTCGACCAAATCTATGGCTCGTTCAAGATGTGCTGCGATCCCGTCGTCAAACGTCTAATGGACATGGCCCAGTCTGCCGCTAGCGAGAAGGAAAAGCTGACACTGGCTGACCACATCAACCTCATCACTATCTTCGTGCAATGGATCCAACCAGAGATCAGACCTGGCGAGCCGCACCCCGCCGTGCAATACTGTCAGGAAATCTTCCCTGTTCTGGCCGCTATTGCCGACAACTTCTCCAACTTCACCCCTGTTCTTGAGCGCGTCTGTAGATGCTGGCGTTACATTGTGCTCTCTTACCGCACGCACACCGCACCTCTTCTTCCTAGCTTGGCAGAAAAGCTGGCATCTGGCTTCGCTGCTTCAAGGCAAGGCTGCTTCCTTTGGGCCACCGATTCGATCGTCCGTGAATTCACCGACGAATCAGAAGGCGTCAGCCCCGAGACGACACAGGCAATCTTCAACTTTTACGTACAACAAGCCACTACATTCTTGCGCGCACTCAACGACTTGCCTCCAGAGCAATTGCCCGACGTCATCGAGGACTTCTTCCGCCTATGTGTTGACGTACAGGCTTATCACTCACGCTCGTTCATCGCGAATGAGCTGACACCCACTATTCTGTCTGCTGCTTCTACCTCGCTCACCCTTCTCAAGGACGCACCAATTCTAGCAACCCTCCACTTCCTGCGCGACTTCCTCGCGTACGGCGGCGAGAATGCACCCATCTCAACTTTCAGCGAAGACCCCAACCGCCGTCTCAACCCGCCGGAAGTACAGAACGCCATCAAAACACTCACGTCCCAGCAAGGTGATGTGCTCGTTCAGCGCCTGATGACAGGTATGATGTATACCTTCCCTGCCGACTGCTTCCCGGATGCCTCTGGAGTGTTACTCGCCATGTTCCAGTTGATGCCCGAGGCAACAGCAACGTGGACGGCAAACACCGTGTCGATGCTACCTTCCGGATCCATCAGTCCACAAGAACAGGAGCGATTGCTACGCAACATTGAGCAGCGCATCCAATCAGGGGACACACGCAAGATCCGCACGCTATTGCAAGATTTTACAAATTCTTACAGGAGAAGGAATGTTGCTCCAAGAGAAGGTCTAGGTAGATTGGAAGCCACGAGATTCCGCTTTGCCGGGTAATCGTGCTCCTTCCTCGCCTTGCCTCTTTTCAAAATAGATAGATCTTTGAAGGCCCAAAAAGAAGAGGGATTGGATGCTGCTAGAAAGTATTCAGCGCATCACTGGCTTTCGCTTATTATAAGTTTGGTAGAGACAAACATTATTTCAAAAAGATCTTGCTATATATTGGCGAAGCTGACATACAATTGCGCCTCTCATTCTACACTCTCACTCGGTGAAGCAAGCTCGGTTGCGATGTGATTGCTGAAGCTTGAAGTCGTGGCATTGTCGTTTGCTCCTTCTTTGTTTGAAAGATTCCTCCTCAAACAGCAGCTATCTCAAAACTCTGCTGCATCCTCTCCTCTTCTCTTCTTTTCCTCATCCCAAACATCCACTCAGTGCCACAGTACAACTGCATTCGTCCATCTCGAAACTCGAAGTCAAGATGTCCTCCGACAACTCTTCCAACTCGAACGCTGGCTCCAACACCAACACCACTCCCAGCTCCAACTCCAACTCCACTTCTTCTACCAGCGGCAACAGTTCTTCGTACGAGTACAAGTCCAGCGGTACCAACAACGAGGGCAATCACTACTGCGCTCGCGACCACGGCTCTGATGCCCCCAACGACAACTCCTACCACTACTCCAACACGTAAGTACAGCGTTTCTACCTCAGGATTTCTGGTTACATGCTAATGCAAGACACGCAGCGACGGCTCGTACTACTACAGCAATCCCAATGGCTCGACCTACTACAACTCCGGCGATGGCTTCTCCAAGTACACTCCTCCTCAGGGCAAGTGAGAGAGGGCCATCGGTGTCTTCATGCTGGAAATACTTGCTATGACAGTTGATTATGGTCAAAAGGCAGCAGACATGGTTGGTTGAACGAGAGACATGATTCCAAAGGCTTCGGCAGATCATTTGGGAGAGAGCAACGGTTTTCGTGTCGTCGGTCGCGTAAAATGGTTTTGGCATGACAGATGACAATTGACAGCTACAGCCGTTTATGTAGCTCTCTTTTGTATTGAACTGTGATCGGAGAAGCCGTTGAACCCTGAAGCGGGATGTAGACTTGCATGCTTGTCGTGCTCGCTTTGGCTGACCACAAATCCAAACTTTGTCGCACAAGAAGCTATCAAGGCAAACAATGGTGTCTTTGGTGTGGTAAGTCGACGGCTCGGAGTGGGCGCCGTGTCGTTTCAGGAACTGTCGACAACTTGGTTCATGGCTTGAGCGAAGGAATGTGAAAGTGACAGCCCTCGGTACACAACAACACCAGCAAACCATATCCATCTGGGCACCCTGCTCGCCGCAGCGCATAACCCCAAAACAGAAAAGCGACTGTCTGTCTTTGTCCTCGCTTAAAAACCGACCCTGGCACATTTCACAGTCAACGTCTTTCTTGATAACGGTCGTCGGTTTCAAACCATGTTCACGCCTCGACCGCTCCGATCGGTCAATCTTTGCCATAACACTACCACGCTACAGTGATCTGCCGAGGGCTGTTGTTATAGCTCTTGCTTTGTATGGATGGCTTCTCGAACTCAGAGCCGCAAGCTTCAAAGCCGTCAACGTAATGGCAGTTATCAGGTAGGCGCAGGTTTCACAAATGAGGAAGGTTCGATGCTACTACCTACTTTCTTATGAACCTCGGGTCATGCTCTCTTCATCTTGATCTATTTCTCGTCTGCCCTATCTTTTCGTCTCTCGTCTCCATATTTCGCATGTCGAATTAATCTAACAGGATAGCAATCATGATGTCGCCGGATGTTGCACAGTTGAATCTGCATCCATATGCGATCATTGTGTTGCCAATTCCTCTGGCTGTCTTATCAAGCATTGCTATCTCGATACGGATATGGATTCGGTGCTGTCTTGCTCGGTCATTCGGTCGCGATGATATCTGCTTGATTCTGGCTTATGTGAGAGATCCGCTCTATTCTGGAGAGAGAATTAAAGTTCACTGACTTAATTCTACAGATCTGCTTTCTTGCTGCTTGCGGAGTGTTCATAGCCATCGGAGTAACAGAATACTTTCAAGGACTCGAGCCTATAGTCAAGCTCGCCGAGGTATGTTCACCCTTCTTCCCATTCCTTTACCGCCTAGCGACTAACCACTTTGATCACCACAGCTCAGCATCCTCGGCATCGCATTGTACCTTCTCAACCAGTGCTTTTTCAAACTCAGCATGGCTCTCTTCTTCCTCCGCATCCCCAACCGCGCATCCCACCGCTGGATAATCATCTGTAGTGCCAGCATCTCCATCATCTTCAACATCGTCCTCCTCGCCATCTCAATCGCCCAATGCGGCAACATCGCCACAATCGACTTGAAGCACCCCCAGTGTATCTCCTGGACCATCCTAGGGCCGCTAAACTATTTCGGTGCTGCTCTGAACGCAGCTGTAGATTGGATCTTCGCAGGCATGGCAATTTTTATCGTGTCCGGGTTGGTGATGGACAGACGCAGCAAAGCGTCAGTGTATGCGATTATTGTGTTGGCATCTTTGGGAAGTGTCGTTTCCGTGGTAAGGATACCTTATATTGATGGCTTGCGTCTCGACAAGGACTACTACGGCCAGGAAAACGACATCATCGCATACACCTCGCTCATCGAATCCGCCATCGGCATCATCGTGGCCTCAATGTCGGTCATGCGGCCTTTGGCTGCGCGTCTGGCACACAGAGCCAAAGAAGCACTATCAAGCGATAGTAAGAGCAGGAGTAAGAGCAGGACCAAATCGTCGCAAAGAAAGGTCACGCCATTGAAAATCGAATTGCCCAACAAAGAGGAAGATGGAGTGAAACTGTATCAGGCGCTTCCGGATCCGACGCCTACATTTTTGGAGACGGGGAGTGAGGGTAGTGGCATTGAGATGGATTATTTGAGTGTCAAGGGGAGTATGGATGTGGAGAAGGGGGTGGTTGGGAGGGCATTTGTGGAGGAGATAGGGACTTGAGAGAGGGAGCTTTGATGTCTTTGCTGTCTTTGGATTGAGACAGTAATGGACAGAAAACGATGCACGATTCTCCCACGGCGAGTCTCTGAGTCTGGACGTATGGATGACCGGCTGCTCGTCATACGTCAAGGCACGACACTACAGTCACAGACTTGAACTGGATCTACTCCGCCATCTGGCATACCTCTGGTCTTGGTTTCGTCGAGCAAGGCTGATAGTCGGCACACTCGACCCTCAAAGAGCTTCGAATAACCCAGTGCAATTAGGAAACAGCCAACAACGTTGGTAGCAAAGACCGATATTGCAAGATGGAACCACCGCTCACCGGCGCTCGTGAGCAAGAAGGAACACCGCTGTCCGCCATACTATCACCCACCTGGCTTTCTCGGACACACCCAAATGTGGTAGACACATCAACAAACCGATTTCAAGAAGGAAACATGGACGCGAAGACTCTTTTCGACACTCAGGTCATGAAGCAGCACAAGGTTGCCGTCTTGTTTCTCTATCAAGCAAGTGGAAGTCGCCTCTCTTTGGTCTTTTGACGTTGCCTCGGGCATTTACAGATGGATAGGCTTTCGAGCGGACAAAGTAAGGAGATCAGTTCAATAGCTGAGGCAGAAGAGAACACACAAAGTCCGCCGGGAGATTGTAGGAGGCCGGAGACTGGAAGGACGATACGGAAGAAGAGACCGGTCGAACGACAATCGTATAGAGGTTAGAGGAAGGGAAATAGAGGAAAACACACAAGATAAACAGTCAATAGACTCCCTGAGCACTGCATGCACTCTGTCCGTTAAAGTTGAATGCAAGCCATGACATAGAGCCATGCTCACCCCTTTCGATTCAGATGGACCACTCATGGTCGTGTATGGCGACAGAAACTGAAGGTCTCAACAAACCGATGTGATCCAGTTTGGTCCTGACTATGAGAGTGCTTGTTCATGTTTTGTGACCCTTCTGGCTCTCAGCTGAAGAAACATGATGGTGTTATGTGATTCGAAGGTATGCATCAGTCGTTCAAATCTCAAGGATCAAAAAGAACCGAGGGATTATTTGCGTGTTGGCAAGACGGATATTTGTTCGCGAACAACGACGATTTGTAGACACCAAGCCGAATACGACATGGAGTATACATCACAAAGTTTGAAAGTCCGAGAGTTCAAGGTCAAGAGATTGAATTTCACGTAATTGCTCGAAAACACGAAACTTCTTGTCGCGACCATGACGTCTGTTTTTTTGCATCGCGCGAATCCTCCAAACCAAACACAACTTGTACAATCTAACTAACAAACCCTTGCGCCCCTCAAGCACAACCAAATCAGCTCCAGAGACACACAGACGGACATGCCACCCTCCTCCTCAATAGCCAAAGCCATCAAATTCGGTCCTTTTACCGTGACTTCTCAAGTATAGCTCCTCCCTGTCTAACCCCATTCCCCCACCACCTTTGCACCAAGAATACACAACTAACCATGCCACTCCTCACACCACAGGTCTTCTACAAAACCCCCCTGACCTTCTGTCTCGTGAACCTCAAACCTTTACTCCCAGGCCACATCCTAGTATGCCCGTTGCGCTCCGTACCTCACCTCTCCGATTTACGACCCAACGAACTGCACGACCTTTTCTCGACGGTTCAATTGGCTAGTGTCACGTTGAAAAGAGTTTACGGGGCACCTGCGTGCAATATAGCGATTCAAGACGGAGAGGCCGCGGGCCAGAGTGTAAAGCACGTGCATTGCCATGTGATACCGAGAAAGGACAAAGATATGGAGGAGAGGGGTGGTGGGGATAAGCTTTACGAGGAGTTGGAGGGAGTGGAGGGGGATGTGGGGATGCATCAGAAGGAGCAGATTCAAGGTGAGCAAAGGCAGGGCAAGGGGAAATTTCCGAAACAAAAGGATGAGGATAGGAAGCCTAGGAGTATGGAGGAGATGGAGAAGGAGGCTGCTTGGTTGGCAGAGGAGATTCTGAAGGATGTAAGGGAGAGGGAGGGTGCGAATGGGTCGTCTTTGTGAGTGCTCTGGTCTACAAGGAGTTGCATGGCATCACGCAAGATACAGGCTGTTGGAGCATGTCATAGACGGATGTTTGAGAGAGAGAGAGAGAGAGATGCTTGGAGACAAGAACTACCGCTGCACAGATCTCGGTCGTTGTCTTGCACCAACAAAAAAAAAGGCAGTCGCGATATAATTTGTTCTCGGTTCCAAGAATCAAAACAGAGTAAACCACAAGAGAAAAACGCCATCCATGCTTCATATCCTCGTGCCTAAGCGCCGAAGATTGTTTTGTTTCGAGTGAGAAGGAAAAGGGTGTATGGGGGTATCGGGCGGAAAAGGGTGTGTTTAGTTTGCGAGGACGGTCTTGACAAGGTCTGGAGGATGATTGTGTTAGCGAATGCAAGTTGAGAGGGCAGAGGGTTGGAAAGGAGTAGCATACCAACGTAGTTGATCTCGCCGCTGCTGGTGTCGACGGCCTTGAGCAGCTCGTCGACCTCGTCGTCGCTCATCTTCTCGCCCAAGTTGGTCAGGACTGGAGGGGTGTGTCAGTAGCATCCTCTTTTGAGAAACCAAGGGCTTATCGTACTGTATCTGAGCTGACCGACACCAATGAAGCCAGTCATGTCCTTGTCAAAGACCTGGAAACCGCGGCAGTACTCGTCAGGCTCGCCGGAATCGCGGAAACCACCAGCGCGGTTGAGGACTTTTGAGAACGAGTCAAAGTCGACTGTTGTTGTTGTCTTGTTGTCAGCCGCTGCATCTCTTGCTGTGCTTGTGTGTATCTGCAGACTCACAGTCTCCGCCAATGCTCTTCTCGAGGTCGCTGATCTCGGCGAGGGTAGGGTTCTGGCCACATGCGCGCAGGAGGTCGCCCAGGGAGTCGATTTGGACACGGCCGTTGCCGCGCTTGTCGAAGAGAGCGAAAGCCTCCTTGTAGTTTGTTGTGTTGGCCTGATCCATTGTCTTAGTTTGTGGTCTGTTATGCGACGTTTGCGCTGTAGAGGTGCTGAGTTGCAGATAAGGTGAAGGAGGTGGAAATGGCGGGTTGTTGTTGTGTTGTTCAAAGAGACGGGGAAGACGGCAACCGTCACAAAACAGGGCGATTGGCGAGTTTTGGTTGGCTGCATCTTGACTTTCGGCTTTGCATGCAGGGTTTCGGGTCCCGAAGTAAACAGATCAACTCACCATTTTTTGACTGTGTAGGGTTGCTTCTTTTTCTCGACAGACGAAAATGCGGCAAGATGGACTGACTGTTCAGCGATCGAAGGGGATATACGTGAAGATGTCTGCGTCTACTCAGGAACCCCGCCAGTATAAAGGAGTCGTTTGATGTGTTTGTGTCGAATCTGCGCTGCGGCCAGACAGCGGCCCACGACGCTTCAGGCCCTGTTGCCATGCGCCATTCACATGGCATCAAAACACACTCCCCGATTGAGTAACTGTACCTGCCTTCTGCCTATTGATCCTCTGTCCATCTTGGGTGGGTAATAGCAGTGTTTTGAGGTTCTCTGTTCGTCAAAAACATACATACATGTCCACCAGGTGGTGTTTTCTGGCGAAACTTCTGCTAGTTGTGAAAGTTGGGTAATATTTGGATGATCTTGGATCGTGCCCAGGGGAAAGCAGTGTCGGCTCGTCCTTTCAGCTAAACTCGCACATAGTCCTTACTAGATAGTCACTGCTCATCATTGACCTTTTAATCAGCCTTACTATCGCGTGGAATGATGTAAAAACCCGGTGGTTGATGTGATGTGCTGCCATATGTGTCAGTCAGGGTCATACCATATCATTCCGACTTGGTCGTGGAAAGAAGGAAGAACCTCGAAGCCTCGGCACAAGCTTAACTCCAATCTCCGCAGTCCCTCAGTCACCTCACATTCCGACATTGCCTTGTTCCCTCCTTGACATACTCAACGACCAGAAACAATGAGCGATCAAGACATGAATACAGCAGTCAAGAACTTCCTCGCTAGCCCGCGCTTTGCTGTCGCTGGCGCCTCGAGCGACCCCTCCAAGTTCGGCCACAGAGGTATGCTATCATACGCTTCCAGCTTGCGAAAGCCCCCACTAATACTCTACAGTCTTTGCTTGGTACCTCCAGCGCTCGTTGCCTGTCACACCTCTCAATCCAGCACGACCAAGTGTCTCTGTCTCTTCGAAAGATTACGATACTGTGCCCTCGCCCTCAGCTCTAGAACAACCAAAGGAGACAGGCCTGAGCGTCATCACACCTCCTGCTGTGACCAAGAAGCTATTGCAAGAAGCCAAAGAGGCAGGCGTGAGAGCTGTTTGGCTCCAACCAGGCAGCTTCAACGACGACATCCTCGAGTATGCAAAGAAGGAGTTCCCCGGCGCCGCAGTAGGTGGAGATGGAGGTAGAGGTGGAGAAGGCTGGTGTGTGCTCGTGGATGGAGATGGCGGCCTGAGAGCTGCTGGAAGAGAACAAGGTCGCCTGTAGAGAGAATGGAAGCAGGATTGGTATAGTAATGTTTTCATTTCTCATGATTCATGATGGTTACCAGCGCCTATCGGGTTCCCTGAACTTCATGTGGCCTCTGCCTTTGAACTTGACAGTGCTCTCTTCGCCTGCTCCTGCGCCTGCGCTGCCGTATGTGTCTCCGCCCAAACGTCCTTCTTCCTGCCTATGCGGCGGACGGTATGCGTTTCTTCCTCCTCTGCCTCCTCTTCGTCCGTCGTCTCTGTCGTGGTGTCTGTTGCCGTTGCCAGGCCTGTACCGGTCGTTCTCTCTAGTTCGTCTGCGATCGCTGTCATTTGATCGAGCCGGTGCATCATGATCGTAGTATTGGTTTGGCAAGCTTCTTCTCCTCCGGCGCGAGTCTACCGGGCTTCGGCTTGACTCGCGACTAGCCTTCTTTCTCTCGAATCCGCGCGATGGACTCGGACTGCGTTTGCGCTTGTATCTGCTGTCCGGACTTTGCGAATCTGACTCGATCACGCGTTCTTTCGCAGACGACTCTACGTCTTCGTCATCGGATCTTGCGCGTACTCTGCCGCGTAGATTCTCGTCGATTATGTGGTCGCTCTGTCTTCGTACGGGTTGGGTTCTTGCGGGTCGTGGAGACGGGGAGCGGGAAGGGGTTGCAGAGCTTCCACGTCTGTTTCTTCGGCCTCTGTCTTTGCTGGCGGGTTCGGGTGATGCGACAGCTGCCTTTTTCCTGCGCTCAAGCTCTCCGCAACGAGCGATCAAGACAGGTTCGAAAGGTCTATCGTCCTTGTCAACCTGGACCTTGGCCATACGAGCGAGCGTGTCTTCTCCAGCGACCAAGCGTCCGAAGATTGTGTGTTTGTTGTTGAGATGGGGGCATTCGTCGAGGGTTATGAAGAATTGACTACTGTTGGTGGCCTTTCCACGGTTGGCCATGCACACCAAGCCAGCAGCGTCCATGTCGCGCCAGCCTAGATTCTCGTCTTCAAAGTCACCGCCGTAGATGCTGTCGCCGCCTGTGCCATCGCCGCGGGTGATGTCTCCGCCTTGGACCATAAAGTCGTCGATGATACGGTGGAAGGGACTGAGCGCATAGTTGAGTTTCGGTTGCGAGCCAACGCAGAGAGCGCGGAAGCTGGTGGCAGAGTCAGCGCAAGTATATAGGAAAGCTCGAGAGTGAGTTGCACTTTTCACATGTCTTTGGAGTCTGGTCAGCAAAGAGCTCGATGGTCAAGCGGCCTGCAGGTTCGTTGCCGATACTGATCTCGAGGAAGACGCGGGGACGATTGGGCGCAGCCATGTTTGTTGGTAGAGAAACACGCGTCTACCGCAAGTCTGCAGCTTAGAATGAGCACAGCATCGATCAAGTCAGCCCTGCCAGCTCTGCAATCTTGATGCTCGGTTCCCCCACAGTCGACACGCCAAGCCTGTCGATATCAATCTCACTAAAGAGCCGTCACTTCGGACGGATTTGACTCGGTTTATGCCCACGTTTTTCGATCATCAAATCATTGACAGGTGGCCAAGTGGCTTGTCGAATCATTGCAGCCGCGGGTGTCGAGTATGAGCTTTGGAAGTCATGGTCAACTGTGTGCTCGCGGTACTGGTCACCTATTGGGAGGATTTGCTGTACTTCTTCACGCTAGAGCACCGTTCCCGCCGCCCGTACGACTTGGACTCGAGCTGAGACACTCGTGCGTCCTCGAGAGAGCGTTCTGCCTGTGTCTTCAATGTCAGACAGCATGACAACGAAGACTCCATCTGGATTTTGCCCAGAGCGGAGAGGGCTAATATTATGCGCGATTCATTGAGATCGAACCCGCAATGCCCTACAACGTGCAGTAGAACAAAACCACGGGAGCTGGCCGATGCCAAATGCAAAAAGTCTTTGCATGACTCGTCCTTCGACATTGTAAACAACACAGAGTTGAGTGGCGGCTCTTGCTGGTAAACCTTGGAGCACAGAAGCACCGGGGTCACGGCAATTGCACTCCCGAGAGATGGCGACTCTCACTCGCAAATTCGACGCTGCCGTATTCGTCTAGAGAACCAGCTTTATGGACTGCCGCCGAACGTCTTCGTTATGTGCCGTCACCATCATCCAACTGGGAATATGCAGCCCTATCCGCCTACGACAGCAAGCCTTTTCCAGTCAGTCTTGTCTTATCTTCATCTATCCGTCGAGCGATAGTGTGAGTAGTATAGTAGGCGTAGGACTGTCTAATTGCCTGGAGTCTTCTTTGCCGTTGGGCCGCCAAGCTCGCACTGCCAACGGTCAAAAGTCGGATCTTCTTCCCTTTTTCCAGTCCACCTGCTCTTCTGGACATGCCCTCTGCAAACCCTAATCGTCCTCCCTTGTGTCTGACTCTGATCTTCTGAAATGGCCGTCTTGCACTTCAACAGCCAATCTTCAAGCCATCCGTGCCTCGTTCCGACTTTCATCCCTTCCAGGAAGAGATCACGACAAGAAATGTCCAATCAGGTCTTGCCAGTCGCCGACAACCAGGGATCCGGTAATTGAAGCACGCCTAATCACTCCACGCGTACGAAGTAAGGCTGAAGTACTGTATGTCGCGATACGATACCGATGGACTCTTGCAACTACACCAACGTATGTATGTCTCCAGTGACCCATCTGCATGGATCAGTTGAACGATCCGGAAGTATCAAAAGACGATTTCCTAGACCGCGAGTCATTCTCAATCCATCATCTGTCTCTGTTGGTTCTTCGGAAGGGAGGAGCTGACAGATCTCGCTTCTGGAAGCCAAACGGGCAATACCCAGCCGTTTCAGGTCCGAAGTCTACTCCATCGTCGCCTTACAGACTCGTGGCTGTTGCGAAGTTTAACTCCACAGCTGAGCCTACCCTCACCCGTCGGTTAGCGTCATACTTTTGCACTTTAACTACAACTTAAGCCCTTGCGTTGTACCTTGGCCCTTTCGTTTCGCATTCATCCTCCTTGTTGTATCCTTCCTTTGTCTTCGCGGGGAAGTTGTGCTTCTCATTGTCCACTGGACTCGATACCACAACTCTAAGAAGCCTGTGTTGAACCCTCTAGGGTAGATCATCATGGCGCTCCCTGCCATCTTGCAAGAAGTCTGGGTAAGGACTCGCCCATAGTCCATCCGACACACGAGCCATGCTAACTCAGCTATAGGCTCTATATGCCGTTTCCATGTTCATCCTCCTGGCTCGTTATGCAGCCCGACTACGAACCGTCGGTATCAAAGGTCTTTACTGGGACGATCTGTTCTGCCTTGGAGTCATGCTCTTCAACACATCCGATGCTGTCACTGTTCACATCATTCACTACACTGGCGAGAGCTCAATAGTCACCGACAAATGGCTTGAGACAGCAACACAAGCGGACATCGATCGCGTAATCTATGGCTCCAAGCTCGAATACGTAGCCTGGTGTGGTTACGCATCACTTATTTGGTGCATGAAGTTCGCCATGCTCTTCTTTTACAAGCGATTGACACTGGGCTCATTCCACAACAAACTGATCAAATACTTGTTCTTCTTCACTACTCTGAGCTACATCATCGTTTGGTTTGTGCTCATCTTTGGCTGCTTCCCGTACGTCTCCACGAGTTTCTAGTTTGAGACATGTGTCTAACGTTTCCACAGCACCCATATGAACTGGCAAGTGTCGCCTGCGCCTCCATGGAAGTGTGCTTTCAGACCGCAAAACTTCCTTGCCGTCGCTATTCCTAACATCCTGACCGACGCTGCAATTCTCATGGTTCCAATCCCCATGCTCTGGCAGTTGAAGATGCCACTGAAGAAGAAGATCACCATCGGAGTTGTTCTCTCGTCAGGAATGTTTGTCATCATTGCCGCCATCATTCGTACTGTTCTGTCTCTCGACGCAGCTCCCTCTGCCGCCAATATCAATGGATGGGGTGTCCGCGAAACTTTTATTGGTATTTTCACCATCAACGTCCCTATCCTTCGTCCTATCTTCAGCAGAGCATTCTGGCGGCCAGGACCATACGACCCGAACGCTTCTGGTAGAGGCTCGGGATATAGCCGAAGTGCCCACGGCCTGCAATCAGGCCCACCCAGGTCCTACAAAGGCACCAAACTGGAGAGCGAGGTCGGCAAGCCCGGAGGACATGTCGATGAGTATGAACTCAGCAGTAGAACACCGCAGTCAGACTCTTTCGACATCGAGAGCAATGCCTCAACAGAAAAGATGGTTCCGACAACGAGCAACCACAGTCAGAATTACGCTTACGACGTTGAAGACGGCGTCCGTGTTGAGACTTCGTACGCGATCCGTACAACTCGTCGCGATGAGGAAACAGGATCAATCGCGCAGGGCACATGGAACAGCATCGGTGTACCGAGATAAAACGGAACACGATGACCATGATGTCTGCGGCCAGAATCTACTATTTAATATACCGCTTGTTCATGAACCGACCCCACAGCAATCCATGATATCCCGGGGTCATGAACAATACGAATTTCAATGCTTTTACTTCAATTGTTCTCACGTTTTGTGTCTTGTTCCGTGTCGACTAGCTTTCAGACGTGACAATGCTTCTTACGAAGGCATAAAATCACGTTCATGCGACATGATATTCTGGTAAGACCTTTTCCTCTCGAAATGCCGACGAACATTGGGACAAGCTGTACACATGCAACAAGAAAATGCTTTGGAATTGACCATGAACGTGGATGGTAAGGACGAGAAGACAACGTTGGGAATCCATATTTGACAAGCTCTGTTTGGAACACCTTGATGACCTCACTCTAAACAGCACCGCACGTCACTATTGTTCAGCCCAGCAACATCCACAACGTGTTTCTCAATCACAACTTCCTCTCAATTCTGTTGAACACAATCAAATGACGCTAGCTCTTCGTTCCGGTGGCCTCCTTCGTCCTGCTCTGACATCTTCCCTTGCTGCGAGAGTAGCTCACATCTCCAAAGCGACCTTTGTAACCTCCAACCACCACTTCAACTCCCCCACTACCAGCTTCTCAAACACTCAACAAAAGACGACTCTGAGACCTAGATACACAGCTTTCACACAATCAATCAGGAAGATGTCGCAAAAGTCAATGACTTCGAGAATTGCCATTCTCGGCTCTGGAGAAGTTGGCTCCACGATTGCCTATTCGCTGATTTTGAACCCTGTGGCTGGAGAGATTTTGCTTGTTGATCCTAAGGAGGAAGTCCGCGATGCACAAGTGCAGGATCTTTCTGATGCTACTTTCCATGGAGACACAAGTACTCTTGTCCGCGCAGGCACGCACAAGGAAGCTGGTCAATGCGATATCGTTGTCATCACCGCCGGAGCTGCACAGAAGAAGGGTAAGCTAACAGAATCACCTTGAAATAGGTCAACCCGTAGACTAATGGTATTATAGGAGAGAGCCGCACCGATCTCGTCGGCCGCAACCTCAAGATCCTGGGCTCGGCGATCGAGGACATGAAGCCCTTCCGCGAGGATACCATCATCGTCTTGGTCACAAACCCCGTGGATATCCTGACTTACTTTGCTCAAAAGTTCTCTGGACTTCCCAAGTCCCAGGTCATTGGCAGTGGTACCTTCCTCGACAGCGCACGTCTGCGCGGTATCCTCTCTGCAAAATGCGGTGTCGCTGCTTCCTCCATTGACGCATATGTGCTGGGCGAGCACGGAGATTCGCAAATGGTAAGCTTTGAATCAACGTCACTTCTCAGAATCGCTTGCTGAATATCAAACAGGTCGCATGGTCTCACGCTTCGGTCGGCGGCATTCCTCTCGAAGAAGCCCTCCCCGACGCCTCCATCGACAAAGCCTCCATCGCAGAAGACACCAAGAAAAAAGCAGCCGCCATTGCCGAAAACAAAGGCGCCACCGCCTACGGTATCGGCGGCGTGACGTCTTCCATCTGCAAGTCGATTTTGTTTGACGAGTGCAACATCAGACCCCTGAGTCATTACCAGGATGATATGAAAGTTTGTATTTCGATGCCAGTGGTTATTGGTAGAAAGGGTATTGTGAAGCAGATTCCGTTGAAGTTGAGTGAGAGCGAGCAGAAGGAGTTGGAGCAGAGTGCCAAGAGCATGAGGGAGATTATCGAGGATGCTGAGAAGGAGCAGAACAAGGAGTAAATTTCGTGCAAGGGAAAAGCACACTAGCTCGCGACGCTAGGATGACAGAAATCCTCCAATCTCAACGATCGACCACTCTCCAACGTGAGGGACATTGATAGTGTACACCATTAGAAGTGTACAGCTCCTTCCTCCATGCTAGTTGTGGAAGCGACAAGCGCCAAAATGGAAGGCGCAATTGACCTGCTCGTCAGCAGTGACAGCCCCCTAGAAAACACACCTGCAAACAACTTGATGCTTTGGTGTCAACATCTACATCCTAAGTCATCTACCTGTCTGCTCTTTGCCCATCGATTTGATGAGTTCTTGCTGTACTTCCCACATCTCAGTATACCCAAGGAAGGACGAGTAAGGAGGTCTGTGAAATATTCTCAGCCTTCACCTCTCCCCCTGCAATCTTACAGCAGATGTTGTGGGTTGGTAAAGAAGTTCGCATCTGGACTGCTGAGAAGAGATGACGAGCCTTTGAGTCAAGATCATGGGCCTAGATACCCGTTCTGCGGCCAAGAGGGGAGGACGCGTTGAAAAGGCCTGTGGGTATCTTGGGGCGCAAACACAAACTGGTCGTTCTCACCGAACAGCCCGGCTTGGACCAGGACTGCACCGCGAAGATACTGTGGAGGGATGTCACGAGTTATGAAGGATCCGATCGACGATGCCGTCCGAGTTCTAAGGCGACTGGTTGGAGGTGATTTGAACCGAGTCGGTGACGGAGGCGTCCACGGCCAAGAGAGGATTACATACATTGACTCCTGAGGTTCAAACGTCCATTCTTCTCATGTCGCCCTTTTGATAGTTGTGGTGTTTGAGTTGTTGGTTGTATTGTGAACTTGGACAGACATCTGTATATTCTTGTCTCGGAATCTTGTCATGGCACTTGTCCGTTGGCATGAGTGAATCGAAGGGATAGGTGCAGAGAAAGGTAGGATGTGTCTTGACCTGTGAAGCTATTGCGTATCTACAGTATCTGTTGAAGCGGGCTGACATCACTGAGTATAGGAGTAAAATATCGATCATCCGTGGCAACCTTTGATCAGAAAGTAGCAAGTGAGCTTCAGCGGTGACCCCATGACTGATATGAGTTGCGATAGACGACCAGAGCTATACCTTGTCTATAAAAGAGCAAGCAGACCACCTTCCAAGAGCTCCGTCCGGGCCGTTGACAAGAAATTCTGCGCTGCCTTCATGCTGCCAGCTTCAGTGTTGGCATAATCCACCTGGCGCGAAGACTTGCTCAACAACACTGCATCATGTACAGCTATCAACGCACCACACACAGCAGAAGCACCAGGTCCATGTATCCCAGGGGTGGAGTCATCACCGCTGATCTGATAGCACGGTGACCTTGGTATATGATAGGATATGAGCTACCCCTTGATTAGACCATCCTTGCATGCTAGGAGTCATCTCCCTGTCGCCGTAGACTTGACTGCATAGTATGGTTAAAGAGAAATCTGGACAATCGGAGATCGCGTTGATGTGGCACGTTGATTGCGTTTCTGGTCTCTGAGGCATGTAAATATGTTATCTGTGATCTTGATGCATCACGCAATAGTCGGAAGAACGGGTTGAGCCCTCACCTCAAGTACGGATTTCTGCATGTGATGATCAGAGAAACGGTAGATAGCAAGAGCACCCGAAGTCACGTCCGACTCTGGATAGCCCGCGCCAGGCGCCAGAGAATATATGGTGAGATGCAATAGTCTGCTGTTGTTCAAGGATGTTCAATATCACGTCCACTGATGATGCTCGGAGCTATCGGAACACGCCAGGTCAGTTCCTGCTTCATCCATGGGGAAGCGCTGATAAACCGTCGTGCATATGGTTCAGAGGAGTGCTAATGATAGATGTGCGTGGGTTGATTGATAAGGGTGTGGCATTTGAGGGGTTGCTTCTTGTTGAAAGGATCAGTGACCAATACGAAACCAGTTTATTCAACGTGAATCCATCTCGTCGTGGTTGTTGGGCAGGTTGCATGACCATCCATTGGAGAGTTATACGTTGAACTCTGGTTGCATGACACAAGACATTTGGGATAGGACATGGATAGCAGCGGCGGGTGGAACAAGGCAGCTCGATAGAAACGGCCGTCATTGGCTCGCAACCACTGCCGCTTTGGGAACGCGCCTTAGTTTCATGTATGCCGGGAGTAACCGCATAGACCCTAGATATTCGGGAACCGGTGGATCAAGACAGCACAGGGCTGATGCGCGCATTCATGACGATGAGAAGAATCTGGATGATGAGGCATATCTGCATAAACGCGCAACGAGGAGGGGGGCAGGTCCGGACAGACGTCAAATCGCGCGCGTGTGTGCAGTCATCAACGGACATCTGGGTGGGAAAGAAAGCATGAGGTGACACGCCTCTGTCCAACTGACGCTAGCCTCCGCACGAGACGAAGCTTGGCAGGTCAGCACCAAAAAGCGACCAGATCTCGGACAGAGTTGGCAATCTAAAATTGAGACCGGACGCGGAGACAAGGAGATTTGCTTCGAGTTGGATAAAAGAAGCAGGTGGTGGAAGCATGATCGGGTGAATTGACAAGAGGTGGAAGAAGCAAAGAGAAACGGACAGCGTCTGGAGGCATCTAGTCGAGTAGATTTTACGTGTTTGCAACGATGGACCTCGGGATTAGCGGGCACAGCTTTCTAGAATGGTGAGCAGATCGGCAAGGATGGCCGGGTGTTTCGCGTGCCAGGCATAAAGTCAAAAGTCTTGGTGGCAAAATTGGCCAGCTGGCGGTGGAATGTGAGAGATTCAGGGTCCCCTGTAGTGAATGAATGTGTTGCTGTTGCTGTTGCTGACTTGACAGGACAGGCGGAGCAGCGGAGCGAACAAGCAGTTGAGCAGACAGGGTAATGCAGGTACAAAGTGCTCATGTCGCGCAATCCACTGGAATGGCCATGGTGATGCAATGTAGCATAGTGGTGAATTGGTTGGGGGATGGCCCAACAGTCGGCGGAGGACGGTGAATTCTGGCCATCGGGGCGAGTAGGTTCCCCCACAGCATTTGCCTCGTCTATCAGGCCATGGCACTTTTGCCCCGAGCTCGCGTTTGCTTCAAAAACTTGAGCCCGGCCAGCGCTGCTTTCCTTTCTCTCCTTCAGCGCCCTCCACCTACTCCTATCCTACCCCTCGACACTCGTTAGTTCGAAGGAGGCTCTCGCATTTTCCGCATTAGTTTTCGACAACTCGTGCAACATGCCTTCCCACCAGCCCGCCGCTGGCATGATGGCTGTCGACCCCGACTACATCAAGCAGCCCTCGCCCATGGCTTCCAAGGACGAGCCCAACCGTAGCAAGGCTTACGACCCCAAGAAGTGAGTCTATACTGATTGCCAGAGTCAATTGGCACAAACTAACAGCCTCTCAGGCCTCACATCACCGACACCCCCATGACCAAGGCCAACTGGTACAAGCACGTCAACTGGCTCAATGTCTTCCTCATCGTTGGCATTCCCCTTCTGGGTCTGATCCAGGCCTGGTGGACCCCTCTCCACCGCTACACCGCCATCTGGGCAATTGCATACTACTTCGCAACCGGTCTCGGTATCACCGCTGGCTACCATCGTCTGTGGGCCCACACCTCGTACCAGGCCACTCTTCCTCTCAAGATCTTCCTCGCCGCCGTTGGTGGTGGTGCTGTCGAAGGCTCCATCAGATGGTGGGCTAGAGACCACCGCGCTCACCACCGTTACACCGACACTGAGAAGGATCCCTACTCCGTTCGCAAGGGTCTTCTCTACTCCCACTTCGGCTGGATGCTCATGAAGCAGAACCCCAAGAGAATTGGCCGCACCGATATCTCCGACCTCAACGACGACGCTGTCGTCGTCTGGCAGCACAAGAACTACCTCAAGGTCGTCTTCGGCATGGGTCTCGCTTTCCCTACTCTCGTTGCCGGTCTCGGCTGGGGTGACTGGCTCGGTGGCTTCATCTACGCTGGTATCCTCCGTATCTTCTTTGTCCAGCAGGCTACATTCTGTGTCAACTCTCTTGCCCACTGGCTCGGCGACCAGCCTTTCGATGACCGCAACTCTCCTCGTGACCACGTCATCACCGCCATCGTCACTCTCGGTGAGGGCTACCACAACTTCCACCACGAGTTCCCCTCAGACTACCGCAACGCCATCGAGTGGCACCAGTACGACCCTACCAAGTGGTCCATCTGGATCTGGAAGCAGCTCGGCCTTGCCTACGACCTCAAGCAGTTCCGTTCCAACGAGATTGAGAAGGGTCGTGTCCAGCAGCTCCAGAAGAAGATCGACCGCAAGCGTGCTGAGCTCGACTGGGGAACTCCCCTCGAGTCTCTGCCCGTTATGGAGTGGGATGACTACATTGAGCAGTGCAAGAACGGTCGTCAGCTCGTCAGTGTCGCAGGTATCGTCCACGACCTCGCGCTCAACGGCGCCCCTAGCTTCGTCAATGACCACCCTGGTGGCAAAGCCATGATCAAGAGCGGTATCGGAAAGGACGCCACCGCCATGTTCAATGGCGGTGTCTACTTCCACTCCAATGCCGCCCACAACTTGCTCTCTACCATGAGAGTCGGTGTTATTCGTGGTGGCATGGAAGTCGAGATCTGGAAGAAGGCACAGCAGGAGAACAAGGATGCCTTCATCGCTAAGGACTCGAACGGTCAGCGTGTCGTTCGCGCTGGCCTTCAACCTACCAAGGTCTTCGAGCCTTCTGCCACTGCCGGCGCCGCATGAAGAGATACCCTGTCGAGGTCCACAGCCTGACAACCTTGTCGTTTTTTGTTCTTTCTCGCCTTTCAGCGATCATCACACTGTATATTTTTGTCCCCCTCCCCTCATCACTTCCTGGTTTGGGTTCATCACGATCGTTCTAGACGCGTCTTGTTGCACACTTTAGATATGACTCTAACTAGCGAGCATCTACACTACCCTATCATGGGTTGCTGGTTCTTAGAACTGGCAAATAATGTCATTTATGCCTTCAATCATTCACTACATCTTCCTCCATACCTGTGACCTCACCACTTGAGAAGCCATTCACTGTTACCCTATAACCCATAGCAGCCCAGCTGCTCTCAATGGACAAGCTCCTTCTTTGAACATCTTTCTGCATTTTAATAGATAGTCTGTGAGTCTGTCATGAGGTGAGAGCCACGAGAGCATCGACCTCGATCTCGGGAATAAAATGATGACGAACCAGTAGGACTCAAAATCGTGAGTCTCGAACAGACGTTTGCTCGAGGTGAGCACTGAGCAGCTCAACTTCCAAATCACGAGGACACGACTTGACAAGACATGGCTACTTGCTTGTTCGTTCCTTATTCCTGACCCGCGCGTGTTACGCAGATGCTGTCAGACAAGCAAATAACAGATGTCAGAATGACACTCGGTGTCCACGTGCCGGGTTGCCTGAAGCATTGCAGATCTCATTGCCCCGGTATTAGCCACCTCCACAACTTGATCGGATGAGCTTGATGAATTTATTCCCTTTTTCTTCTTTTTTCTGTAACATCGTGCTTCGTGTATCCACTTCTGCATGGTCGCGTCAACTGACAAAGCAACAACGACAACACCAAGAAAGCTCCCTTCCCTTCTTTTATCCACCTCTTGTCTTCATTTTCCTAGCAGCACAAATATAAAAGGCAATTGGGGCAAATGAGAAAGACAACTGTGGATGGCATGGTAATTTCCATGCTTCACCGCCTGTCAGTCCACGTAAGAAGATGTTATTCCAATTTGCCTTGTCAAACACCGGCGTCGAGATTCTCCGCATGACTACGCTTCGGTACCGACTTTTGGGATACTCTTCTCGTGGGATAACGTCGTTTTGATGGGCGATGGCAACGAATACAGGTCTGGTAGATTGAGGTCAGCAAGAGTTTGGATTTGTGTGCTGCTGAAGCAGGAAACGAAGGTGCGTTCTCTTTCCATCGCGATTGCCTGTGTTCTGGTTGTTTCATATCTCGTCGTACTGTATCAAGGTTTCTGTCCTCGCGCTCTGGACTATTGAGCTCTGGATGCGATCTCTGTGCTGGGACTTGGCTTATGGTTTGGCTGCGAACACATTTCATTCCAAGTCTCAAGGACACCCGTCAGGCCAGTCTTTTGGTGACGTAGATGCTCGAAGATCTAGATGCACTGTAGCAGGAGCTGTATAAGGAAAGTATCGCTAGTGATCCTCTTGCTGCCAGGTGGGTACCCATCGAAATGCTTTCAGGGGAATTATGAGCAGGAAGTATGGGAGTGACTCCCAAATCTCCATTTCAAAACTTCCTTTTCGAACACCTTACCATAACACAACCACCACCCACCAACACCAAACAAAAAATCTGGCCCCTCCTTTTCCTCTCACGAAATCAGCAAAAAACCAGAGCCTCGGCTCCATGGGAAAACTCCCGTTCTCTGTCCCTTGATCAAAGTCACCCGATGACGGACATCAGGCTGCTATTCAGCAAATTCAAGACTACACGGCGGGATTCGAACGGTGGTTTTATTACCGAATGTAGTCGAGGCGTGAGTGTAAGCCGTTACAGCACTCAGCCGATTACAGAATAAGGGGAACTTCAGGTTAATATGTAGTCTGAGAGTAAGTGAAGGAGATGTCGATGGAGGGGTGGTGAGTGAAGTGAGGGTTTTGCATCGAGATATCGTCACTTTGGCAATGTGGAGAGAGGGTGTTGAGAGTCAGTCTGGAGTCTTTTATGGGTCTGGCTTTCCAAACACACTGACAGAGTAAGAATTTGAGAGGCAGTCACGACGCAGGTTGTCTCGTATGTATAGGAGTTTTGCTTCCCGCATGGCAAAGCACACTCACAAACGACCAGACGGATTCTGAAGGAGCGACCAATTGCGCTTTCTTCATTTGTGCGGTCTTGATCGACCCTACATCAGCCTCCTCCATTTGTGGCCGCGTTGCTATCTTGTCTTCCTACAACAGTCACGTTCGCGCATTGTGAGTTCTCGCCTCTACTGTGTTCAAGATGTGTCCAACCTACTAACGCATACAGGACATTACTCAATGATGGCAGACTTTCGGCTCGACCCTGATCCTGGCAAGGATGAAGAAAGGATCCTTTCTGCCCCTGTCGTCCAAGCATCCGACACAGCTCTTAACACATTGATATCCATCAATGAAGACTTCACCCAACTTCACGCCTATCAAGCTGTACACGAAATCAAGGTGCGCACCCCGAACCCTCTCATCCCCTCATCTTCGATCCACCCTAATACACACAGACCCAATGGCCTGACCTGCGCGCAACTGACTTCACCGCACGTAAGATCAATGATCTGTTTCAATTCTTACGTCAAGGAAACATCCTCGTACAAAAAAGCCACCTTCGCGCCTTCATAGTCGCCTGGAACGTCCTCGATGCCAACTTCCCAAGCTTGGATGCAACTAAGCAGGCAAAGTTGATCCGTGATATGGTGGTTTCTCAACTTGGTGCTGTCGGGAAAGAAGCCACTGACGGTGATGAAATGAATACCATCAGTACTGCTCGCACAAAGATCGGTGTCGACGTCGAAGAGTACTTCCAGAATCTCTTTCCAGAAAGTCCGAGCCCCTCTCCAAGGCGAACAAGAAGTTGGTCCGTCAGCGTCAGTTGAAGAGCTTGATTTCACAGACCATGAAATCGACAAAGAGAAAGAGAGGAGAGGAGCCAGAGACCAACGACACAGCCACTCACACAGGTGGTATCATAGCTACTAGCGTGGATGATGACGAGTCTGAAATCACCATGGAGCCCGTCGTTCTGTCTACGCCCGAGAAGACAGCACTTACTCTTCAGAAGCTGAACGCAAGCGCAAGCTCGAGGCACTTGGTTCGAAGCACAAGAAGCGTCGTTACAACTGAGCGTCGAGGTCATGACAGCGCTCGGATGAAGGTTTATATGCGGTTGCTTGGGATCTGGAGAGTAAATCCAGTGGTTTTGTTTCTGGCAAATCAATATTCGCGGTGAGAGAAGTTACACACGCACAGAAGGTCAGCAACGTAATTAGACCTTCAAGTGCGTAGAGCCATTTTGGACGATGAGAGTGACTCCAAAGACGACAATGTTTCAAATAATGCAACACGAAGAATCCATGAAATCGTAAAGTAAGAATTACATCCTGCCAATGAGCTGAATCGGCAACTCCCGCTGGAGGATCAAAGCCCTCAGTTCTTGAAGTCTCCATTGGTCATGGCATCCTCGTACTCCAAATCGGGCTGGAACTCTTCGTAAAGAGTATCAGCATCGCTACCCATCCTGAAGGTATACTCGGCAGACTCATCAGGCACAATCATCTTCTGAATACCACTTGCACAAGCAGCCTCAGCAAGCAACTGCACCTCACAACTCCTCTCCATCAATGTATACAAATACGCAGCCTCATCAACCGTAGTACCCACAGTCAACAATCCATGGTTTCTCAAAATCATGCCTTTGCCCTTCGGTCCCAGAGCATTGGCAAGTTTGAGTCCTTCCTCCTCATTGAACACAATACCGCCGAATTCCTTGTAGACGGCCTGGGCTTCGCCGTAGAAGTAACAGACGTCTTGGTTCAGCATCTCCAGTGGCTTAGCGAATGTACTCCACGCCTTGCCGTATGGTGAATGCGTATGGCACGCAGCGATAACGTCAGGCCTGGCCTTGTGCACCGCCGAATGAATCAAGAATCCAGCAGCATTAGCCGGCCTCGACATGTTACCACCAATCGCCTTGCCCTCATAATCCACCAAAATCATATCGCTAGCTTTGAGAAGCCCGAAATGCTTGCCTAGAGGGTTTGTCCAGAAGGTATGGATGTTTTCCGGATCGCGGACGCTGATGTGACCGCTCATGCCTTCGGTGTAGCCTTTGCGTGCGAAGACGCGGAAGGCGCCCGCCATGTGTTGTAGCATGTCGCGGCGATGGGCGTCGAAGGAGATGTATTTGGGTATGCCGGGCAGGCAGACGCCTTGACTGATTGCTTCGAGGGGAGTCTTTTCTTTCTTTTCGACGGCGAGGCCCGGGTTTGTGGGTTTGGAGGGTGCGATGGCCATTGTGGTGGAAGAGGGAGCTGAGACGGCCGAGGGTGCCATTGTTGCGAGTGTGCTGTGGCCGCTTGATGGGTACGGTATAGTAGTAGTGTGTCTACGTGCGTGATGTGGGGTGACTTGCGGAGAGTAGAAGGACAGGCAAGAATGAATTGAGAGATCTGGAGAAGCGTGAGTTGGTCGTGCCTACCTCTAGATATGCCTACAGTGGTCGGTCGTGGTTGCCCTTTCGATGTTTAGACTCGGCCATCGCTTTCTCTTTGGGGAACGACTGGCCTATCGTCGCCGGCGTTGATCAGGGTCCTTATCGCTCTCAATCCGCCACCTCTCACTCGCATGGGATTGCCGTGTCGGGTCCAGATGCCTCTACCAACCTCGATAATATGTGCTTCAGAGTCACTCCTATACTCTCCTCTCGTGTTGACACAGGGGGCCCAAGGCTATAAAAATGCACAGTATTGTTCGGAAAAGCCCACCGTCCACTGAGAGCCCTCACCTCAATACCTTTTCCAGGTGCAACCTACGAATCACACATCACTGTGCATTTCAATAGCTGTTTATCGGAGAGAGAATATGTTTCGGCATGCAAGATCAAAGAATTGAGGGCACTGCTTCTAGGACAGAAAAACTAAAGCTGAAATTCAGTGCTGAGGCTATGTAGATCAAGAGACGACACACTCAGGCCGTGTCGACCGAATGTCAAAAACTCCACGCTCGAAAATGCATCAATGTGTGTGTTCCTCTCTGAGGCAAAAAGTATAACTCCCCCAATGCGCAAATATCCTTAAATATCGAAAAAGGTAACGCCGTCAAAGATGCTGTTTCCCATGGGATCTTTGTCCCAATTTGTATCGTTTTTGTCCAAGCCAGCGTTGGGGAACATGGCTTCCCAACTAACGTCGGGCGGTGGTGTGGGCCTGCTCTGGTCTTCTTTCTTGTTGTCAAACGTAGACTGAATGCCCATGATGCCCATGCCAAGGTCGTCTCCGAGGTCGAACTGTATACCGGAGCCCAGACCGAAGGGATCGCTCTCGAACATGATCTTGAGACGGTCGTGCTCGCTGATGTCGGTGAAATTGGAAGTGGCCGCCGAGGTTCCAGAATTAGAACTCGAAGGTGTCATGTCAGGCGAGGGGTCGATGGCCCAGTCCAGGTCAGAGTACTGTGCTACTTCATCGAGACCATTGAGAGTCTCACGAACCGACCTCATGAAGTTGTCATCGGCATCATTATTCCACATGTTGGGCGAAGTCGAAGATTGCTTGCGGTCGTCTTCTTGAGCAGTGGGTTTGACAGCTTGCGGCATCGTGACGCCAGCCTTGTCCATCATAGTATCGAGCATGGTCTTCTTCTTAGGCGATGCCGAAGCTGGCTCATGATTTGGTGCCGACCGCTTCTGTCCTTGCGGTGTACGAGCGACTGTTGGTGGCGTTCCTGGTTTGATAAACGGCGAAGGTGTGCCTGCCTTGACGATCTTGCCAGGCGTCTGACCTTCAACCTTGAGGGCCTCCTTCTTGATTGTGTTTGGTCCTGGTGCCGATGGCTTGACGCTAGTAAGAGTCGCCTTGCTGTCGATCTGAGGCATCTTCTCATTGCCTTCCATGTCGAGGTCAAACGCAGCAGCCGCATTCTCCAATAAGAAATCGAGGGGGTTCTCGATCTGCTTGTGTGTCTCCACCGTGTGCGCTTGAAGCTCTTCTTCTTTCTCGAAGCCAGTGACGTAGAACTCGCAGTACTCATCGGCGCACTTGTATTTCCTCTCAGGACCTCGTGGCGGTTCGACCTTGGGCTGCACTTGCCGTCTCTTGTCACCAGGACTCTGCATCTTGATGTTGGGACTAGGCATGCTGCCAGGGGTCGTGCCTGCGTTTGCAGGTGTAGAAGCTGAACTGCCAGGCTGACCAGTCTTTCTGCGCTTGTTTGCCGGGAGTTGTAGCTTGTCGGGTGTAAGTCCTTGCATACTATTGTCATAGACGGGCACACCGTGAGGGGATTGATAACTAACAGGGAATGGAGGAGGCACGGCCGATGTAGGCGCTGGAGGTGGCTTTGATCGGTCACCGCTCTTGGATGCTGTCCTTGCCATGGCGGCAGTAGCTGCCGGTGGTGCTGGTGGAGGTCTTGCTTGGTCGGTGTTCTGTTGCACTTGCTCTGGTGAAGAGGGCTTCATCTTTTGTAGGTGCGCTATACATTGCACGATGAACCGGCGAATGCTGCCCTCAGCCTCGCCGATTTGCTGTGTCGACAGCGAGATGTAGCCATTGATGTTGCCATCTAAGGTCATCTCGCCAAGGAGCTTAGCCCTCTCGTGGCAGATTTGTCGCACCGTCTTGTCGTTGACGAATGTCATGACAGTGGGCAGCATCTTGTCCAGTTTTACAATCATCTCTCGGCAAGCACGCAGCTTCTGAACCACCTCGTTGAAGCTGGCGTCAGTGACTTGCTGAGGAGGACCCTTGCGGTAGGAAGCCTCCACTTCCGAGACTATGGCTGTCAGTCTGGCTCTTTGTTGCTGTATCTTAAGCTGTGAAACCTGTGCAGGTTGCGAAGCACTCTGAGCTTGTAACTGCTCGCGTTGGGCCTGCGTCATCTGTGCAGGCTGTTGCGCTTGGGCTCCAAGCTGCCCTTCCGATGCCTTCTGGTTAGTAGAGGATTGAGCCCTCTTCAAAGCATCCATTTGCATTTTTTGCTGCAGTTGTTGCATCGACTGTTGCATGACGGCACGCTGTTCTGGAGCCATTTGCTTGATCTTGTCAGGATGCATGTTCTTGAGCTGCTCAGGATCGAGTTGCATAGTTGGCTTCTGGTTCTTATGCTGCTGTGCGTTGTTGGGTGCAGGCCTTTGGGGTGACTGGTTTGGGTTAGGGATCTCGACAACATCGTCAGTTGCACCCGATCGTTTCTGACCCTTCTTGTTCGCTGGCCCGTTTTGTTGCTGCTGCTGCTGCTGCTGCTGCTGCATATTCGCGAGTTGTTGCGATAGTTGGGGTACCATAGCAGCGGATTGAGGACCCATCTGAGGTACGGTAGGAGCCATCGGATTCTGTGGCGGCATGCCAGGCGTACCGTTCTGCTGTTGCATCTGCAACTGTCGCATTGCATTAATTGCCTGTGCAGCCATAGCGGGGTTCTGCTTCTGCATCTGACTAATCTTCCACTGCAAGACAGATTTCCGCACCTGCTCGTGCGGAAGACCTTGCGCTTGAGGCACCCGTTGTTTGAAAGCCTGTACCTCTTGCTCTGTGACCTGGAGCATGTTGCCCATGTTGGCAAAGTTTTGCGGGTTCGCGTTCATGTTGGGCATACCTGCTCCCGGACCCATCTGGGGTTGTTGTGGAACCATTTGGGCAGGGGGGGCTTGACTGCCAGGCATAGCTGGATGATTTGGTCCAGGGGCTTGTGGCATTTGTCCAGGCATCTGATTGACAGGTGGCCCGTTCCCGTTGGCCATGGCGGCGTTCTGCTTCTGTATGACAACTTGCTGGAATCTACGAACCTTGTCCAGGGTATCTGCAGGTAGATTCTGCTGGTTCTGTTGGACAAATTCTTTCAGTTGGCCCCATGTCTTGACATTTGGTGGCACCGGGCAAATGTCGTTCAGAATCCTTGGCGGGAATGGCCTTGTGTCCATCTCGCGCTGTCGTTGTATCAGAAGCCTCTGCTGAGCTTGTTGTTGATTCGGAGCGCCGGCCATACCCATGGCCATCTGTTGTTGAGGGTTCAGGGGAACTTGTGGAGGCATACCCATGGCACCGTTTGGTAGTGCTTGTTGGCCCATGGGTGCTCCGGGATTCAAGTTGTTCATCATCATTTGCTGCGCTTGTTGGGCTTGTTGAGCTTGCGGCGTCTTTTGTGAATCGCGGAATCTCTGGAGGATCTGCTGTTGCTGATCAGGGGGCATACCCTCGATCTTGGCCCGCAACTGCGGTGGCAGCTGCGCAATCTGCAAGTCCGGTTTGGGGTTTGGGAACAAGCCAGGGTTGTTCGCAATTTGTTGACTAAATTGAGCCATCATCTGGGGGTTCATCTGCTGATTGGGCTGAGGCGTAGGCTGGGGACGAGACTGAGGAGGTGTCTGAGAGGGCTGACCAGGTGGAACCATAGGCCGATTGAGCATGGACATGGCGGGACTTTGCTGTGGAGCTTGATTGGTGTTGAGACCGCCAGGTTGCCCTCTAAGCATCTGTTGCTGGGCTTGTTGCTGAGCAGCATTGCGAGCTTGAGCTTGTGCCTGAGCCTGTTGCTGCATTTGAGTGTTTCGCATCTGGGCCTGGGTTTGTTGTTGTCTCTGGGCCATCATATTCTGGATCTGCTGCTGGTTGTTCTGCATGGCGGGCTGCATGTTCATGCCCATATTGGCAGCCGCGGGATCCATTCCCATGTTATTGTTGCTAGCTGGCACGACAAGCTGGCCTTGGTCGGCCATCTTCATGGCATCGGCCTGTTGACCGGCAAATGACGAGAAATCTATCGGTCCACCAGCCTGTGGTTGGCTTCTCTTCATCTTCTCGTTGTTGAACTTTTTGATGGCAATCTGCTGAAAGTGCTTGGCAAACGGGTCAACACCCTGGCGTTGGTAGTACTCTCTCTGCTGAGGCGGTAAGCCGGACATGATACGCTGACGGATGATGTTCCGTTGCTCCTCGGGGACCTGGGTAATCAAGGTGCGCGCCATGTTTGTGATTTGCTTCTGCTCGTCGGGAGTGAAGGTTTGATTTTGTTGGTTCTGAGCCTGTTGTTGTTGTTGTTGTTGTTGTTGTTGTTGTTGTTGTTGTTGCTGCTGTTGCGGCTGCTGCTGCTGAGGTGGCAGCTGTTGTTGAGGTTGCTGCATGTGCGGTTGCATATTCATTTGGGCCATCATTTGCGGCGCCATGGACATTTGTGGGGCCATTTCACCTTGGTGGGAGCGACTGGGCTGCATCTGCATCCCCATGGCTTGTTGTTGCTGTTGCTGTTGTTGCTGTGCCTTCATGCGCGTTTGTTGATGTGCCAGGCTGATTTCGTTCAGTTTCGACTTGATGCCCACCATCCATTGTTCCTGCGCCAAGAGTCAACACGTGGGATGCGTAAGATATGACGAGAAGAGTAGACGTACCTCGGAGGCGCTGGTGCTGATGATCTGGCCTTCGAAGCGCATTGCCATCTGGACGGCACTGCCCAGGTCATTCGTGTTGTTCAGCAAACGTAGCGCTTTCACCCTGATCGCATATGTCAGTTACGTGGCCGTTGAGCATGCGGAAGGGTTGTAGAGCTAACAGATTAAGGATGCACATGGCACGAGTGCGAGGGTCGAATGCAGCCTGCCATCCAGAGTGTATGGGAGTCTTTGCCAACTCTTGTACGATCCTGGCCAGGAGTTCGTTGGGAAGTTGGTCGGTCTGAGGTTGTGGTCTTTGCTGCATTTGCACGCCACCTCCCACCATAAAGGCATTAGGATCCATGGTGGCGGTTGTACTGGATCAGGTCGAGTCGAGAGTGGCAGCGACGGCACGACGGCCGGGTTCGGGGACGGTATCGGTGATTTTGTCGAGCATACACCAGTAGAGCGGAAAGTCTTGAGTAGAAACAAACGTCGTCGAGGAGGGGCTTTCGTCGGTGGCCTTGAAGGGCGCGTGTCACGAGGGTGATCGAGTAGCACCAGGTCGAGCAGTAGGCAGATGACGCTAGGTGAGCAGCCAAATGGTCTTCTATTGGCCAGCAATATCCAAGATCAAGAACGGGCGACAGGTCGATGCGAAATGCTGTCCAGTCGAGTTGGGTCGAGTGGCCGTGGGGGGGTGCTGACTGTGCTGTCTCACTGGCGCAAGAGAAGGCCGCGACTTTGCGAGCCAGACGTCTGTCAAACAAGAAGGATGCACGATGGCTGCGTCCCGGAGGCTCGGAGTGTGGGTAGCCAGAAAAACACGAATGCACCCTGTCGATCGAGGCGCGGCTTTGTCTGTTACGAATAACGCTGGAGTCGACTTTCAGGTGTATGGAAAGGAGCGACGAGGACAAGGGCCGGTCTGACAAGGGCGAGACGATTGAGAGAGCTCAAGGACGCGCCCACCGCTCAGAGTCAGCTTCCACACGTCTCTGCTGGGTGTTCGTAGGATAACGTCTATATGTCCGTGCACCGCCCTATTTATTTAGTCCTCATGCCTGCAGGGGTCCTGCTGCAAGACAATTGCGACAACAAGAACAAAGAAACGCCTTCGAGCCGCCCTCTCTGCCCTGCTGTGCGAACTATGCTACCATTCAACCATTCTACTGCCATTTGTCCTACTCGTGCTCTCGTTTTTCAGAATTCTGTTGCGCCTTTCAGGACTCCAGTTAGAAACTAAAAACCTACTTGCACTTCCGCTTGGGCTTGAACTCTGGCGCGCCACTGGCCCTAGTCCCGACAGCTTGCTGTTCCTTCCCATATCGCATCCCCTCCATTTCGCTTCTCCAGTTGCCCTTCTGGACTCTGCAAATTCTCAATCCTTGTCTTGTCCTTGATAGATTTGCTGTTCAAATGCTCTTGCATCCCCCGTTGATCTCGTCTCGACACGACCTTCCGTTGGGTGGTCAAGGTTGCGGACGGATGGTGCATTGATGAACGCTGGATGCCAAAACATCCGACAGCTCTCGTCATCGCCTGCCACTTTTGTGGCTTCGACCCTGTCTAGCCTCCACCTCCTGCTTCTCGACTCAGGTCAACGTGCAACCACTTCGATGAAATGTCCGTCCCCTGTCTACATATCATCAATCATCAACCAAATACACAGAACAAATGCTTGTCCCCATACAATCATCGTATTGCAAGATGAACATCTCGAATCCACATTCGCGCCTGTTAGCGCACTCGAATTACCAATTCTCCGACGCACCCAACGGTGTTCGGCAGTTTGACTCGTTTTAGACAGCGCAAACCACCAGAGGAGGTTTTAGACATCCCCCGTGGCCAAAACTATAACGGCACCGTTGTCAGCCTATTCGCTCGATCATGTATACCATCGATCGATGCCCTGCCAGGTGCACGCCTGGCAAGGAAATTTTTTATCTATCTTTGGCGAGAGAGCTGCGATGTGAGGCTCTTGGTGAGCTTTGCTATCTTGCAGATGACACTTTGCAATCTTGTAGGGCCAGACTAGAGCAACGCTCTGCGCACGCGCTGGAAAGATCTGCCAAATCACAACGATTCACTTTATAGGCTTACCGTAGAACCCCTACGACCCTGAGACAAGATCTCCCATTTCGTCAGCAGATCGCTGCCTAACAGCTACACAAAGTCCGACCTTCTCGTTATGTACCAGAAGTACTGAGCTTACATTTTGCAGAACAACTACTCACATCTCCTGATATTGTACCGGATGTTCGGATTTGATGAATTCTGTTGATCAATGCTGGTCACGCGGCTGCTTTGTTTGCCTTGTTATGCATGCATGGTCGTTTCGAGTGCTGGGCATTTTTCGACTTATGTTCTTCTTGAGCATGACAGACACTCCTCTTCCCTTTCTCGTTTGCGTCTAGAATTGACAAAATCTGGATAAGCACGCGATCTCTTTGGGCAATCCACCCTCTGCAAGAGTTTTGTGCATTTTTATAGGTGTAATCGACCACATCGATCCCTGAGAAAGCATACGAGATACCATCTCGTCTATCGCAGCAAATAGTAAGTCAGCTATTAAAAGGCACAAAGTTGTCCAAAAAAAAAAAAGTGATGGGTCCAGAGAGAGGATCGGTTTGTTCATTTCTTCATATCCTATCATTCCTCGTTGCTCCTGAAAAGAAATACGTTCATCTCTTGCCCTTCTTCTTCTTCTTTTGTTCCTTTGACTTTCCCTTCTTGCTCTTCACTTGACTCGACTTGGTACCGTCGTTTCCTGTATCTTCATCCTCTTTCGTCTTCTTGGAAGCTTGGCCATCTTCAGGTGGCGCATCGTTCAAAGAAACCTGTGGCCATCCCTTTGCTGCCTCAGCATCGTCCTCCAACGACTGCAGCATACCCTTCGTCTCCTCCAACCTCTGCAAGTTAACGTCGTGCACGAATAACCCACCCCGCGCCAATGTATTCACACTCTCCTCAATCTCCCTGTGAAAATTCGCCTTCATAACGGATGTCCAGATACCCTTGCGAAGCTCCGTCATCATAGACATAATGTTGGCGCAAGCACCGGTATAACCGTGCTCGATCTGAGCCAAGTACATGTGGCAGTCGTCGCAATCGGCTGGCGAAGTCTTGGTGCGGGCGTGGGATGAGTAGCATCTCTGGAACTTGCGTGCTGTTGCGTCGCGAACCTTGCGGAAATGTTGGAGATGCTGATGGAGAGCGTTGAAGTTCTCTGTCAGGGTGTCGGGGTGGATGCCTCGTTCGGTCTGGATGTCCTCGAAAAAGTCATCCACAGCGGTTTTTATGAAGTCGATTGACTTCAGTCGCACTGGATTGATCGGTTCATTCTGCTCTGAATCTGATTGACGGTCAGTCATGTCACTGGAGTCAGGTTGTTGTGTTGTCAGGAGCACTGAGTATGCACTGGGGGGACGTGAGTTCGTCCTGGCACGGCGTCGAACAAGGGCTATCAAGAGACACAATACGCCCGGGGGACGTTGTTGATGCACAGGATTTATCACGTTCTCCCTGAGCACGACTTTGGATCTTGATCCCGTTGTGTTTTGCCCGCCTCGTAAGGCTCGGTACCAGTGTAGACTTCTTGCTCCTGTACGGTAAAGAGTTGACGTACCCTGCTTGGAAGAAGACGAACTTGCTGACGTTTCAGACTCGGGCTCTGATTGGCCATCGATGCCATCGTTGAGCTCCTCTGGCAAGTCTTCGCCATCTCTGGCTGGCTGCGATTCGCTGTTGATTTGGATCTGGGGTGGGGTCGCTCCGCTGGAAGGTTGGTTGCTGGTCTTGTCTGTGCCCAACTCAAGACTCAGGATCAAATCGTCAACAAGCATAGTGCTTGACTTCATGGAACGCACATCAGCAGCTTCGGACTTGCTGTGCTGAGTAGTGGCAGGAGCTTGGGGTTGTGTTGGCGTCTGCACTTGCACTGGTGATTGAGGTTGCGACGTTGTTCCGTTGTTATGATCAGAGCCGCGAGGACTCGTGTTCCTCAACCCCATGGCAGAGAACTGTTGTATGATCTGCGTTGGAAGACTGAATCCAGATGTGCAATCAGGAAAAGGTGCTGTCGAGTTTGACTCTGGTGAAGGTGATTCGGAGGAGTCGTCAAAGTTCTCGATGAACCTGCTATCTGAAACGAGAATAAGTGAAACGACTTCACATAGCGAATTGACTTCGTATGGATTGGTTGACACTCACTTCTAGGAGATGGCATCGTGGAGTCACTCGTGCCAAGTAATGGCTCTCGGTATTGTGATATTGTTTACAATCAGCTTGGTTAGTGATTCGTGTCACTGCGATCAACAACACCGCAAGTTCGTACATCGGCTCTTTATATGATCTTCTACAACACCATGAACGGAAGTAGAACCTTCTACTCTCACAGAGCTGAACTGGGTACTTCATGTGGAAAACATTTGCCAATGTTTGGTTTGGGCATGTAGAGATGTATCAATCAACAACTTTGGCTTGTCTTTCTTTGTGAGGGGTGTTTGCAGCTTGATACCATGAATCACCTGTGAGATAGATGTCTCACAAACTTACTCAAAAGCAGATGATCCTGACCGTACGCGATCCTACAGAAATGCATCCAAAATATTACAGAGATCTGCTGGATGTCCAGTAAGTGCTTCGCGGGGTTGAGTGGTGATTGACGTTCGTTGTTTACAGCCATAGCTAATAACATAGTACCAACACAGTCTTCCGGTGAGTTGGACTGCGCCGAGGTGCATCTTCTTAGACACATGTCTCCGAGGATGACCATGGATGATGAGTGCTGGCAGGTGAAGAGTGCGGCAGTGGAGGCTCGGTCTCGGTCTACCCCACACATTCGGCAAGACTTTGCTCTTTCCGTCCAAAGGCCAAAGGGACTGGCGGCTCGATCTTTCGAAAAAATAATCTCCATCAACAATCATCCATTTTCTCACAACATACAACACAACCATGGCAACCAAGCGTCCTCACAGCGAAGTCCACCCTTCGCGTCGCGAACAAGTGCCTGGCCAAGAGAAGAAACGCAAGGTCAACCCCAACCCGCACCGCAAACTCGAGCGCAAGGCCAACCCCGTCAACCCCATCAAATCGCGCATTCGCAGTCTGAACCGTCTGCTACAACACAAGGAGAACCTCCCCGCCGATGTTCGCCTCAACCATGAGCGAGAGCTAAAGTCTTGCGAGTACGACCTCGCTCAAGCCGAGAACCAGCAACGCAAGAAAGACCTGATTGGCAAATATCACATGGTGCGCTTCTTTGAGCGACGGAAAGCAGAGCGTCGCCTCAAGAAGCTGGAGAGAAGAGCTAAGGAAGGCGAGGCTGATCTTGACGAGCAAATACACGAGGCCAAGGTTGACTTGAATTACTCCATGTACCATCCTCTGGACATGGTCTACTCGGCACTGTGGCCGACCAAGGGAAAGAAGGATGCCGATGGTAATGAGATCGAAGTCGAGAAGCAGGGAGACCCGGACATGTGGCTGGTTGTCGAAAAGTGCATGGAAGAGGGTAAACTCGACGCTCTGAGGAACGGCAAGCTACTGAAGTCTGCTCCTGCCCGACTCGACAACGACGACAGCATTGGCCAAAAGGCGTCGAATGCCAGGGCAAAGAAGGAGAAGAAGGACAAAAAGGACAAGGACAGAAAGACAGCACAAAGGCCTGCGAAGAAGGCCGACGAGGATCAAGTCATGGGCGGGCAGGAAGAGGACGAGGACAGCGAAGGAGGCTTCTTCGAGTAGAGCGTTGCATTTCTCATGGCGATTGGAGTTTGTGGGTTTTGTTACCTTCGGCCATTCTACTGTATATACCCATCATTGCGACCATCAAATGCACACCGCAAGGCCTTGCCCATGGCTATGTGACCCGGGAATCTCACTTCATTTCTGTTTTATATATTTGTCTAGACGTGAATCATTGCATGTCTCTTGTTTGCCTGGTCGTGTCCAAACTTGGTGGAGACGCCGAACTTCGACACCTCACTTCCAAGCCCCAATCCGCAAACCTGGCACACTTGTATAACGGACTGAGTCTGACAATAAACCTTCACTCGCAGTGCATTGTATCCATTTACTTCAAACATTCCATCAGCTCAAGCGTCTACTTTACCGTCGCGCGAGCTTTCGACCAGGCGCAACTTCAACCACGCGCGCTGTCCCCATCATCTTCTTCCATCACCACATCATCGACCAAAACATCAGCAATGACTACCACCCAAGCAGAGCGCTTTGCCGCTTTGCTGGGCCATACACCCAATACTGCAGCCTCTACTAATGGCGCAGCACACAAACACACCTTCTGTGAGGTTGCTCCTTCGGGCATGAAATTTGTGCCTATCAACGCCGTCTCCAAGTTCCCTTACAAGTACATGAAGAGGTCGCAGAGCGAACCTGTTTCGTTACAGTTCTTTGCTGGCGGAAAGTTCTGGGATCGTGAATGGGATCTGTAAGTTTTATGATCTCCTTGCTTTTCTTATTTCACACGACCTATCCTCCCATACACTTTCTTCCCTCGAGCAGTGTATGCGCAGTTGTGAGTTGTATATAGCATCTACTGCGCGAACTCATTTTACTTGAAGCAGCTTCTGGATCTTTGGGTGATTCCCAGGCATGGCTACCACATTAGAAAAGCAAAATGCTCGAATCATGATCAAAAACTGATATTCGGTAGGTGGTATATCTGGTCATCTTACTACCACTCTGAGAGACCTATCGTCTTCGTCCCTCTTGCACAATTCGACCAACTGCTCAAGGAAATTGATAGAGCCTATCCAAGCTATGTGGTCCGCATGCCCACCGACCCTGAAGGCACTCTTGTCTTCCCCTTTGAATACAGCGAGCACAGACTGCTCAGGCCTCACTTCCTGGGCAAGTCATCAAGTAAGGACGACTTTGAGAGTCTCACCACCAAGGCTCCCCACTTTGGTTCTCTCAGACCCGAGGAGACTGAGCCTGATTACCTCGCATACTTCAGAAAGGACATGGATGCTGCCATCGATGCCGGAAAGAACAAGGGCAAGACCAAGGTCGCAAAGGAAGCAAAGCAGGAAGCACGCGTCATCCAGCAACATAACATGTACCGCCAGGTCGAACGCACTCAAGTCTCTCTCGGTCTCACTCCACCATCATCAGACACCCCCGACTCGGATGTCATCTACATTGCCGTCGATGTGGAGTCATACGAGCGTAACCACAACATCATCACCGAGATTGGCTTCGCCACCCTTGACACCCGTGACTTGAAAGGCGTTCCTCACGGCGTAGGCGGCAAAGACTGGCACAATCTAATCCGCGCACGCCACTTCCGCGTCAACGAGTACAAGCACTACGTCAACTCCGACTTCGTCCGCGGCTGCCCCGACCAATTCGAATTCGGCGAAAGCGACTTTGTCGATCTTAAAGATGTTCCTCGCATGATCGCTTCCTGCTTCAAATACCCCTACAGCGCAAAGAACACTGAAACCAGCACTGCAGGCGAAGAGGAAAAACGCAACATCATCTTCCTGGGCCACGATACCAAGCAAGACATCGCGTACCTCCGCAAACTCGGCTACGATCCTAGCAACCTGGCCAACATTGACTTCCTAGACACCGTCGCCATGTGGCGTGCTCTGACTGGAGAACAATCTGCTCGTGGTCTGTCTCATATCATGTATGAGCTTGAGCTCGAATCGTGGAACACTCATAACGCAGGTAATGATGCCGTCTACACCGTTCACGCCATGATTGGTACTTGCATCAAGGACTTGGAGGATAAAGCTGCAAAGGCTAACGGAGAGGATGAAGGTGGTGTGAGTTTGCTGCCTGAGAAGAAGGTCGATGTCGAGAAGGAGTTGAAGAAGGTCACCAAGAAGTTTGTCGAGTGGGAGATGTAGAAGACGAACATGCACGCTATGATGACAAGTACACATGCTCAAGGAGCCGTTAGCTCAATATGGTAGGTAGCCAAAGAAAGGCCTTTTGCTGAGCGCTATGCGCAGCTCTGTGTATTTTTGTTTTGTTCTTGTGTCCTTTGCGTTTGTAAGTTCTGTCTCGGGTTGCTTCGTAGTGACTCTCTCTTGACGTCTTTACTGGTAGACTTGATGGTATTGGAAGTATAGAAAACACTAAACGGAGCTTTGGGTGACATTTGTTCATGTAAGAAACGGCCTTGCTCCAGACAAAGTGGTTGATCCATGCATGCTACCTATGTCACATCACTTTGTTTTCTGAGCACTGCTTCTGATGTCTGTACCATTCTGCTTGCTAGCATGCAACGCATCATTCGTTCTTACAAGCATATGGACCGATGTGGTATACGATCACGTTGGAAGCGGCCAGAAAATGTAATGGGTATGGATTTGATATGATATCGTGAGAGTCATGAAGTTGTCGTTGGAGGGACAACAACGCAAAATCGAGGCCAGAGGGACATAGGGTGCCTGGAAAGGATGGTGTCGAAAAGCAAAGGGAAAAGCAGAATAGCAAGAATGTCCACCCGAGCAGCCCCCACAGGTTCCAACCGTCCCGTTCACAAAACAACAGCAAAGAGGAAGCCGTCATGACTGCCCTCTCCCACAGTCTGGATCACGGTAGCACTGACTCTTCCATCCTTGCCTGTATTCTCAATGACTTCTCTAGCACCCTCAACGTGCCCTGGCTTGTCAAGGGGCTTGTCTTGACTGGCGATCAAACCGCCCTGGACAACATTGTCCACGATAACGACAGCCCCTTTTCTGCATCCCTTGACTGCGGCATCAAAGTAGTTCCAATTGTTTGTTTTGTCTGCATCCACATATGCCATGTCGAATTTAGGCAGCTTTCCAGCATCAATGTCAGAGAGTATGGTGGGAAGTGTCTCCATGGCAGGTCCCTCGTGAACAGTGATTCGATCGCCAAGATCAGCATTGCTGATGTTCTCTTTCGCAACTTGCACATGATGAGAGTTATACTCCAAAGTGGTGATCTTGAGGTTGGGATTCTCAGTTGCGAGCCAGATACTGGCATAAGCGCCCAGAGTACCCACTTCGAGGCAGTGCTTTGCGTCGGTGGCCCTGGCCTGTAAGGCGAGGAACTTTGCGAAGGCGCGAGAGGAGTATATGGCAGGCAGATCCTGGTTCGAGGCGTTGGAGAGAGTACTTTTGAGGATGTCACTATTGTGTGCGGTTGAGGGGTCGAGATGGGAGAGTGTGTAGAGGTCGGTGGCTATCCATTTCGGACTAGGAGCTGGACGACGGACGCCTTTGGGAGGCACAGAGGCTTGCTGTTCCTGTTGGTCTGTCATGTTGTTTTGGTGTATAGATAGGTGATGTATCGATGTGATAGAGATGGGGTAAAGTAAATCGAAGCCTTGGACAGTTCACATAACCCAGTCTTGGTTCAACTGAAAGTGGAAGGAGCTGATGATTGTGATGGTCAATGGCACCTACCTTGGCTCATTCTATATCCAAACCATGCTCTATCACATGGAACAAGTACATCGCAGCATACCGGTTTGCCAGCGAATTAGATAAGATACTGGGATCGCGTCGTTGGTAGCTTCCAGTTGCTGCCTGCGAGTGCTGCCTGCGACCCTGTATTGAAGGAGTACATACGACTACTCGTGAGATTATGTTCTTCGAAGTCCGAACATCTCGGCCGACGAACTCCGTCGTGCTGGTTCATATCCTGTACTTGTGTGACGGAGTTGTTCAATGTCCAAGCCTTTCGGCCGAGGAGCTGCGAAGTGTTGGTATGCCATTTCTGGCCTTGCTTACACTGCAGACGGAAAGCGACTGGAGAATACACGATTGCGGGCAACTCGAGGCAGTCTCGACGTGATTGAATAATAAGCTGCTTGATTGGTAGAGCTTGGCTCGGTAGCCGTACAACTGAGCTGTAGCGATATTCGGTTTTCCGCAGTACACAAAAACTAAGGCAGGTCCACTGAAAGTCGCCAGGCTGTCCTTCCTCTCCATAGGCAAAGATATGTCATGCGGACGCTATAGAAACGCACAGTGTCTTTAGCAGATGGGAAGAATCCCTAGAGATTCGCGATGGTGTCGGCTCTCTGTGGACTCCGCTACCTCCTAGTGAGAACTGTGCATTTCTATAGCACCAATCGCGCTTTCGTGTTGACATGAAGTCGGACAGGAGTGACAAAATCTGGCAGAAGCCTGTGCATTTCGATGGCTATACTGCGACACCACGACAGCGACGACTCTGGACGCTTACGTCTCTCTTGCTGCAACCGAAGAGACAATAGAAGTTGGTCGGAGGTGGTGTCATGGTCGCCCTTTCCACCAGTTGTCAACAAGGTTCGGCCACAGCGAGAGATCCGCGTATAGCATGACGTAAAAATGTACAGGGTTGTTCCTGCTCTGCATTGCATAAACACGCGCTTGCGGGCACGTCTTTTGACCTCGGTCTTACCATCAACTAAACTCACCACCAACTATTCATATATTCTATAGTCGACATCACAATGCCTCCAAAACGCGGCAACACTCGACGTGAGACCCAGCAGCTTGCCGAACACGTCAAGGATGGAAAGAGAAACGACCAATTGATCGCCAATATGAAGAAGTATACAGACATGTCCGACGCCGACGTAGATGAACTCGCATATTTCATGGTAGCTGCAGACTACTTCAAGCAACCGGACCATCGTGGTGGCGTTGTCGAACAACTACCGAGCAGATGGCACCGAACATACTCTCGCAGATGTCCCTTTCAAGAATGTGCTCAGAGACTTAGAAAACCAGATCAAGGAGCAACCTGCAGACCGGCGCACCGAAATGTACAGAAACGTCGTGGCGGGCATACATGGAGCGAGGAAGAACTCTGACTGGGAAAGAGAGGCCGTCAATCCCAATGCAGAGCCTAAAACACCATATTCGGCATCCAAGGCTGTATGAGCATTCTCCTTACTGCGACCATTCCCAATTTGGACATATCTCTGACAGCAGCGTAGGACAACCCCAAGTCGAACCAACAGCTCATTGACGACCTAGCGTCAGCAATGGATGTGGACCAAAGAACAAAAGGCATGGTACAAGCACAGATCGTGTATCGGGATGTCTTGGGTGACGACAAACGTGTGGTAGGCATCATGTTTGGCGGAGATGAAGGAGGCACTGTACACGGCGGCCGTCTGGGACGAGACCACAAAATCACAGATGTTCCAAATCACTTCTTCCGCGACCAGATCATGGACTACATCAACCAAGCAGAGGTGGAAGAAAAGAAAAAGGAAAGCTTGCGCATTGCAGTTTTCTCAGATCTTACCACAGGAGAAACAGCTGCATACGCAGTCTCCATATCCACGGATATGGAAGAAGCGCGCCGCACAGTACAAGGAGAAGACGATCGCCTTGAGGAGATCATGAACCATTACAAGCCAAAACCAAAGTCAGTCGGCGAAGCCAAAAACATCATCGAGCAACATGACTTACTCAACGATGTCCCCGACGACGACGTCGACTTGACCAAACGTGGAAACTACGGAAATATCGATTTTGATTTCGACGGCCCATTCAAATCCGTGGTCAAACCCAGAAGCCACAAACTTGACTACGAAGCAGAGATAAGCCGTCCGAAAACCATAGACCTCGACTGCGATCAGATCCGTGCATGTATAGATCTGTTTACGCGAGACGGTATGTGGAACATCGATGATTTCAGATTGGCCTTGGGACAAATTTCCAGGCCTGAATTAACAAAGTTTCTGGACAAGAGGGGGCCATCAGAGGGCAAAACACTCAGAGTGAGTGGCTTGTGCTGGGAGTTCTTCAAGACGAGGGAGCTTTTGGGTCTCGATATGGTCAAAAGTTCTCTAGACGATATCGAGATGATTGAGAAAAGAGGCAAGAAACGTCCTGCGTCTGGCGATGATGATCAGCCTTCGGGCAAGAAAGCAAAGACAACTGAGCCAATCGATCTGACCGATGATTGAACTCTTGTACATTCTCCAATACTTTGTCTGTATCCAGTCCTCCATCTATACATTGCTTTTTCGGTATACCAGGATCGCCGAAGTAGCAGAACGCAGGCACGCGGGATTTCGGTCGTCGAGAGTCACTCTGAGAGCACTGCATCATCAGTGTTATCCTGACCAACACTTCCGTAGCCCCCAGAATCATTCTCGCGGCAGGTACCTACGAGCCAGTGCTTCCTTCCCATATCCTCGACGACTCTCAAGACGAGGAAAGGTGAGACACAAACTCCTCACACACATATGTCCGCTTCTTAGTTTTGCAAGAATGCACGGCGTCCTGGAGAAACAAATCAATGTCCACAGAGTCACTCGATCCAGGACAACATAGCGCGAGACAGCTACTCACCAGGTGAAAAAGTCAAGCGCAATTTACAGCAACGCAAAAGAGTGTGCCAGATTCACTTCCAGATTCTTCCGTCGTTCTGTCACTTGGAAAGCCAGTAGTCTCACATAGCAACAAGGGCTCTATTCCATATGTGTGAACATAGTGTTATATATAGCTATAAGAATGCAGGGTGGTATTCGAGATCAGAGGTGATCCAGAGAGAGCCCTTAATTGTACACTATTGCGTGGGTGTTCTCCGAGTGTACTCCTAATTCATATGGAACTGTGCGTTTGCAGTACATGTAATGTAGGCTACCAATCAGAGATGAAGCAGGGGACTATACAGTTCCTCCTGACAGTTTGAAACATGCAAGCTATCGTAATGCACAGTATCTCGAAAAGGGGGAACTGTTTTCGCTGAGAGATCTGGTTTCGGCGGCTCTCCGTGGGTGTCAAACCATTGTCAGACGCAACTGTGCATCTTGATAACTTGCATACCCCTCAATGTTGGGTTAGAAACAACAAAGCAAGGTTCACCAGAGATCACTCCCTTCCTAGTCCTCTCTGGCTGCACATCTGATCAGGAAACGACTGTGCATTTGTATAGCTCACAATGATATTCTATACTGCTCTGAGAGAAGAAGCAGACAAGACTGGCACACACTGCAAGCGAATTTCAGTGTTTTAATACAAATTTTGTATTCGAATCGGGATTTCGGTCGTGAGACCATCCTTTTATATAAAAAATCTACAAGAGAGACACCCAATCGTACCATTCGTGTTTTTGCGTGCAAGAGGATAGCCTCGACTCCTTTAAAATGCGGTGTGAAATGGCAAGCCAAACCAAGCAATGTGAACAAAGGAAAAGGGAAGAAGAGCAAGGACCAAGACTCTCATAAGAGACTCACGAAGACTTGATGCCAGCCAAAAGCAAGTGGGCTCGACTTTCCCCGTTCCCATCCGTCTAATTTTGTTTATGTTTTTGTTAGAACTCCATCGTTCTTCTATGCACCGACGCCTTGTGAAATAAGAAAGAAATGCGTAAGGAATGCGTGAACCAGGATGCAAAGACAGGCTGCTGTCCCGCTCCCGAACTTTTGTGCATGAAGTTGAGAAAATCGTCGATCGCGTTTGTTGCACCGAGATGGAAGGTTGTTTGACTGTTGTATCATCATACAAACTTCGTCGAGAAAAATAGAAGAATATATTCCAGGATCACTGGCTTTCAAAATCCAGATATGCTTGTGCCAAAGATGTGTCGTTGAGCTCATCGTATCGTATCCGTGCGAACGCCTGCTATAGGACTATCTGCCTCTCCCATGGGCTTGAATAGCAGTTTCATGTCGAGTGTAAGGTCCCCGACTCCATAAGTATCGTCAATGTCGCCGACAGAACCGGTATCCAGACCGCCCTGAGTGTTCTCATTGGAGACGAAACCTTTGATCTTTTTCAGCAGACCCATGATCTGCAGAAAGCGAAGATCTGGCGGTGCTGTCCACTCCGAAGCTTTCGTTGAGCGTAACAACGATTGACCAAGGTAGAAAAAGTGGATTCCGTCTCGAGAGAAACCGAAGCGGCGGTAACCGATGCCGTTTTGTGGGTATTGGATAGCGATGTCCATGTCCCAGATTGACTTCCACTTGCTCATGGCGAGTTGGATGGATTTGAGAACAGGCTGGATTTGCGCGTTTTGAATTTGTTGCATGTCATTGGGAGTGCCAGCTTTGCCATTGCCGTCTGAAGCGATCCAGTCGTTGTGTCCAAGTGGTGTACCAGGGCCGCTTGTTGTCGCACCATGTCCAAATTGGCCTGTGATGTTCTGCAAGAAACTTGAGCGCTGGTACTTGCAAATCTGAACAAGAAGCGCATGGATGAGAATAAACTTGGAGTAAATGTTCGTGGATCGCGACGAAAACGTGTAGTTGGGCTCCATCAGACCTCGCATAGCACTTCTCATGTCAGGTTGGCGGGGTCGCTGACTGCCACAAGCGTTATGGACCAGTTTCGATGGACCATTCAGACCTAGCGCATCACGACATTCTTGCTCAGTCTTAGCCTCCCAAGCAGCGTCGTCGCAAGGTAATGGCAGACGGAACTCGAGTGGATCGAACTTAGGCTCGTTGTTGAAGTACATGACAAGAGCGGCATCGAGCAAGAACAGAGTGAAGGCGACTCTGCTGCGTTTCTCTTGCGCAATCCAGGAAGACCAGCTCCAGGTAGAAAGTGCATCTTGTGATATGGGACCAGGCTGGTGGAGGACACTATAAGTGGCTTGCCCGGGCGCTGCAGGAGAGATGACCATTCGTCGGGCAATCTCAACAACGATGTTGAAGTTCTCCCTGGCATTTGCACGCTGGCTTGGTGTGCCGTGCCAACAGAACAATACCTTGAGCATGTACAAAGCTTGGAGCTCCTCAATATCGGATTCAAGTGAGCCTAAGGGTTGGTTGCCTTCTTGCATGACACCCGTGATGACGTTGTGGACTCTTGAGCCATTCTTGACAGCATCTTTGACAAGCTCCATCATTCTCCGGACTTGGTAGAGATCACGCTTTTCGGAGTAGACGGCGCCGATGCAGATAATGGTTAGTACGAGGCCATCGTTGGCTTTGAGGATTTCGAAAGTGGGCATGTGGATGATCGGCCAGTGACCCTGGAAGCTGGTGAATTTCTCGATGAAGTGCTTGATGTTGTCAACAGTCAAGCACTTTCTCATCTCGTCGCAAGCGTCATTGCTTGAGGATGTTCTGTTTGAAAGGACGTACGTCAGCAACGCACTGGCCTTGGCCTGCAACGGATCGCTCTGCACGAGATCCATGTTCCAGTTTGGGAAACCAGACAGGTGGTGCGCACCTGAATCTTCGCCGAAGCCCGACGGATGAGAGTAGAGACCCCCAAAGAACTGCTGCTCGTTGCTGTGCTCGTTCGACGTGTTGTAGCTGTGACCTTCCATGCCGCTCTCAGTCTTTACGGGCATCTGCGGCTGGCTTGGATGAGACTGTGGCATGAAGCCATCGTGAGCATGCTGAGGCGCAAACATGGACCAGTCAGGGACGCTGTTGGGTTGGCGGTTTTCGCTAATCGGAGGGGGCTGGTGGGTGTAGCCGCTTGGTGTCTGCTCTTCAGGCTTGACATTCGTAGGGTAAAACTGACCGCCATTGGCCATCTGAAAGCTATAGCTTGGCGGCATGGGGTTCGATGCTGAATGAGGACGCATGCCGCTGTATGGGACGCCGTTGGGATAGCCTGCAGAAGTGATTAAGGGTTGTTCGCGGTCGAGCCTACCACGTGTATACGTACCTGCGAGGCTGCTTCTGGCATCACTAGTCATAGCACCCGGGTGGATCAGACTGTTAGCACGAGACGAACGATTGGACATGGATGCCACGCTCGATGCGTATGAAGAGCTTTCTCCGTTGACAGTAGGACTGTTGGTAACGCCATTCAAGATGGACCCGTTAGCATAAGGAGCACCCACACCCGCAGCTTCTGCGAGACCGGCAAGAGCTACTGGTTCTGTGCTGCTGATGGACATGCGGTTGGACCCGTTGGTGTTTCTGCGCTGGTGAGCGAGATGGTTGGCGCCTGTAGGGTTACCACGACGGATTGAACACTTCTGGAAATGGCGTTTGAGAATGTCACTACGCGAGAAGGTATCTTTGCACAGATGGCACATGTAAGGTCGGTCTCCAGTGTCTGCCTATTGTTAGTTTTTTTGTCTGTTGATGATCAGAAGGTCGACGACTTACGGCGCAATAGATGTCTCTTCAAGTGTTTGGCGTGGAGATATGTCTTGTTGCAGTGCGGGCAGGGGAATTTTCCGTCTGCGTCTTTTGCTGGAATCATTGACTTGCTCGTGGCAGCAGCAGCAGTACCGGGAGTAGGAGCAGCTGCACGACCCGGGGCACTAGGCAAGATGCCACGTCGTCCCTGCGACCCCACTACGTGGGTAGGTTCCGACTCATGGTTCTGCATGTATGGCTGAGCGCCTACAAGTCCGGATGCGCCGAAGCTAGGCAGCGTCGACACAGAGTTGTATGAAGCCTGAGGCTGGAGTGGGCGCAAGTCTGGCAGGCGGGCCTGGGCCGGGGTCTGGGCGGCGCTCGTAGCAGTGGAAGCAGGAGGCAGAGTGGATTGCGAAGTCGAGTAAGGGAGATAAGTGGACGAGGGAGGAAGCATTGAACCAGTGGTCGCCGGCGACGATTGGTGTTGCTGCTGCTGCTGCTGCTGCTGCTGCTGCTGCGAAAAGGCGTGCAGGCTGTTTGCGCCCATGGACGAAGTGGTGGGGGTGTGGACCGAAGTGGGGGTCTGAGGATGGCTACCAGAGGCGTTGTACAACGAGGGCAGCTGACCGAAGTTGGCGGCTTGGGTGTGCAGAGGGGGCAGCGTCTGGTTGTGGCTGTGATTGTCGCGCGATGACTCTTGCTGCGGCGGGCCCTGCTGCTGTTGGTGCTGTTGCTGCTGAACTTGTTGCTGCTGAACTTGTTGTTGCTGGGCCTGCTGCTGGTGCTGAGGATGCTGCGGGTGTTGGTGCTGAGGCTGTTGCTGCTGGTGATGAGACGAGTAGCTCGAGAAGGGCGCAAAGTTGGTGGGCTGAGGCATGTAGGTGGTGGAGGGGTATTGGTTCTCCATGTTGAGCGTGTCAATGATGTCGTGGGTTGGAGGGGAAATAATTGGGGCCCTTAGGGCGAGAGCATTTGGCGGGCACAAGACGCGGATGTGGAGCAGATCAGTTGCGAAGTTGCCAGACAAAAGCGTGTAGAGTAGGCAGGAGCGACTAGTTGTCGAGACACAAAGCCAGGCCGAGCTCTAAGCGCGGAAAGGACAAGGCAATCAGAAGACGAGCAGAGGAGGTGGGCAGCTCGAGGGCAATGCGTTGCTCCAATGCAGCAGAGCGTCGAGGAACCAACGGCGGCCGGCCGAAATTTCTGTCAACGCCGAAAAGTCCGTTTTGTGCAAAAGTGCCAGACGATGGTTCGCTGCCAAGCGCGTGTCGCAAAGCTGAAAAGGCTTGCAATTGAGACAGGTACCGAAGCCTGCTGCAGCCGTCGAGCGTGTCCAAAGAAGACGACTTATCTCTATCTCTGTAAGAACGCGCCCTGACGCGATATATGCTCTGATGCTGCTTACAGTTGGCGATGATGCTGATTGATTGCTTGAGGAATCGGTGCACGGGCTGGCTGGCTGGCTGATGGATTAGATCCGTGTGGACCACGGTGGATCAAAAAAATGTCAAGCTCACGAGCGGTCTCGGGTGTGTATCAAGAGAGAAAGCGGGTCGCTTGTTGACTTCCAACTGCTCTAGAGGGAATGAAGGAGAAGGACAAAAGACCTTCAGCAAGCTGCTCCGTGATGACAAACAGTACAGACTCGCGAATTGCTGCACGCACTGCAACTGGGAATCTTTGACTGATCGAATGACGAGCTCGAGGGAGTCTCAACGCCTCGAAGCACGGCTTCGGAAGCGCACCATAACCACTTCTCTTTGACCACGTCATGCGAGCAAGCCCTCTCTTGCTCTACCGCACCTTTCCTAAACAGTCCTCGAGCCGTTGCATTTCTTGACTTTGACTTTGGTGGCTTGCCACTCTTCGCGGCCATCAGCTTTCAGTTCTGGTCCCTTCTCGAGCACGTTGTACCAGAGGTAGATCCCGTCTATCAACTCTCTTTCTGTCTTGCGAGCGAACCGTCTTGTATGCAGGTGCACACTGTCCGCCACGAAGCAGGGAGAGACTCTTCTACCATCAAGCTGCGCGGCTGCGTTTGCAGACAGATAAATCTCAGCCGCTCTTGGCTTCGGATAAACCGACCGCGCGATTTTCTTACGATAACGTCCGAGAGCAGTTCGGCTCGAGTAACTGCTCTATCCGACTGCTTCCGCTTACAAGTCGGCCTGGCCCGATGCTAAAATGCAGAAGTCGCTTGTTCGGGGTTCGTTATCAAACCCCGTCGTACTCCGTATCCGCATCTTTGTTTGCGAGTACAAAGAGTCCTTGTTGACCTGCTCGTGAGATCTTTTCCCCGAGTAGCTATATCGAACCTTGAGCAAAACCAAGAGATCAGGCCAACTCTCACGGTCAGGTCAAATCCTAAACGAATGACCTGCATTGGTGCTTAAGCAATAGGCAGGTGCGCCGAGCAACAACCATGAATCTTTGACTACAAGATGGTCCCTGCCATGTCGATATGCCTGACCAGACATTTTCGAATTCATGCCTACGCCATCAGGAGGATGAAAAGATCGAAGACCAATCAATATACATGTAAGGATATGCAGCTGGCTCCAGTCTCGATCGGCGCTGCAACAAGCCCTTGATACTCTTCCTTGACTTGCGAACGGCCCGCTGGTTTGCACAAATAATCAATATCGGCGGTGTCGCGCCGCCGGCCGTCGTCCTTGCGCCAGAACAAGCATAACCAGTTAGCCTGCTTCTTAAGTGCGCCATAACCGTGCTTCGAGATATTCCCGAGAGCTTTCCCTACTCTAGTAAGCCGTTTCTCCTAAGACTTCCCTACACGGCGACGAGAGCCAAGTAAATCGCTAAACCACACAGCAGGGAAACCGAATCCTTCCTCAGTGCACGACATGCCAATATCTCTCCGCTGTATGGCCGGCGCTTGGTGCCCAAGCTTACCGTCACGGGGTCGCAGTACGGGGTGAGCGCGCTGCCGACTTGACATCCCGAGAGATCTCTCTTTCCGACTCGCGTTTTAGCCGGGCAGTTGCCGCACGTGAACTTTGAAGGAGCAACATCACGGCCATCCTCTCGGTCTGAGCGCTATGAAACTGACTACCTGCTTGGTACCAAGATCAAGTGACATTCGTTCGCTGCGCGTACAAAACACGAGACATGGTGAGAGTCCCATGTATCATCATACTCAAATCCTATGCAGTTCAATACTGCAACGTTACATCTATTTGCTAATATCAGTCTTATGCCAGTAAACGTGGCATCCAATTGGCTTGTCGCTTCCTTGGTCTTGCTACTATCAACTGTAAGTCGGAGGGACTCGGAAATCGAATATACTTGCCCTAAAAATGTACCTACTTGGTTTAGACGCGATGGTACGTCGTCCAGCTAAACTCAAGGCTCAGGAGTTGCCGCCGCACTGTTTGGGCTTTGAGCATGGGCAGTGTCATTCCATGAGCATTGGAGCGGAAATCGGGGTGAGATGCTCAGTTGCGCTCTGAACGGCGGGTGCTCAACTTTCAGCGCTTCCTCTTATTCTTGCGCTGGATTGGCCTTGACGTTCAAGGCGGATCTGTAACCGATACCTGTTCGAGATACACGGTCGTTGGTCAAGCATTGATCACACTAACAAAGGGAAAAATCGCACTCGTTTCTCGAGACAACATACTCTGAGGTGGTTGGGTGGCTTCACTAGGTAAGAGCTTCCAGCCACCCTTTGACCGACAGGCGTGTTGCATCAATTGTTCATCTGGTTTCCATACTACTCTTGGCATTGGATATCCAGGTTGAACATTGTTGTTGAGCAGGTTCAACGGGCACACGGAGCAAAGCGGAAACCCCGAGACGGATACATATCCGGAGGTTTTTGGTGACCGGCCCGGTGTGCGTCCGTATCAGTGGTTTTTGAATTCCGGCGCGCGCTGTGCGTATGCCTGGGCACGACGGCTGGCTGAGATGCGAGCTGAAGTTGCTGAGCAGGCTCGAAAGCCACATGGCGTTGACAGCAGCGCTAGAAAATTACATGTCGAACTGAAGTGTTCAGGAGGCTCACCATATGCTTCGGTTTGCAGTCGGCCAAACTTATGCAGGAGAAGGTTTTGAACGGGCGTTCCTTCTCGACACTGTTTGCCAGTGTTGACAGTGTACGACGTCCGCTCGGTCTCCTTGCCCAGACTGAGAAATCGATTTTTGGTTGATTCCATTCACCATTTCGGTCAATGCACACGCACTCTTCGAGAGCCAAGCAGTGTGCATATCAGGACCGGCAGATATTGATTGCAGAGCAGCATGCATAATCAAGGACGTCAGACGCAGCTGGAATACAGGGACCAGATGTTTCTAGGTTCTGCATCAAAAGGAAAGCAGATCCGGCTTACCAGCCTCCCCTCGTCTACGATAGCGCTTCGAGATGTCGGATGTGCAAGGGAGAGTCTGTGATCCAACACGAACTACACGACACGACGCACATCATAGCCTAATGTGTACAATACAGTTCGCAAATATAATGGTAGGGAGGCAGGATGTTGCAGATGCTCAGGAAGCTCTGAATCGCAGATATAAGATGTTCGCAGAAAGATACCACAAGCAGAGATAATCGACAGTGCTAGCGAAAGTGTAAATTTTGGCTTGAGTAGTTCTTACCGCGCCATGTTCTGCGATCCTAAGCACCCTCAACATGAGCAGGTTGCAGAGAATTTGGAATCGGTCATCGAGAGACACGGTCGAGTGACGCGGCAGTCGAAAGTGCAAGCTTGATCACACGAAGGAAGACGAGGCAGCCAGGATACAGAATTACACAGCTACAGGTCTACACAGAGGAAATGAAGAGCAGCTCCCAGGTCGATTGGGCAGAAGAGATTGGGACGCGTATTCTTAACCAGGTGGATCAGATCTACGACGTCGTCAAAAGATGAGCGTGTCGAGCCACAAAGACGGGCAGGGTCGTCTAGTTTGCATCAGATGAGGGGTCAAATCAAGCATACAGCCGAGACACAAGGCACGTGGATTGGGAGTTCCCTCAGACATGCTCTACATGTTCTACATGTTCAAACAGTGCATGAACAGAAACGATGGGTTTTGCAGTTCTGGGACTTGTCTCGCAGCAGAGTGAGAAGGAAGTGGTTGTGATATGACCGATCAACAATTGCCAGAAAGAGGAGCGGGTAGATCCGCATCTCTGTGGACGGCGGAGGCAAGGTCAGCAAAGCTTCGCGACTGCAGTTAATTATGTTTTGATGTTTCTGCAACGAGCAATTCTTCTACCATCCCTCAGCCGAATCTCTCCAATCCACAAGACATCAGTCTCCCTATTCACACGTCGATACATGTCAGCAGCGAAACGAGTCAAGATGTCAGGCCCTCTTATCGGAACCCACAGCGGCCACTTCCACGCCGACGAGGCCCTCGCCGTCTACCTGTTGCGCCTGCTGCCCACCTACTCCAACAGCACTCTCGTCCGCACCCGCGACCCCGAACAGCTTGCTCCCTGCCACACCGTGGTCGACGTCGGTGGTGTCTACGATGATGCCACCAAGCGCTACGATCACCACCAGCGCGAGTTCACCACCACCTTCCCCAACCACTCCACCAAGCTCTCGTCTGCCGGTCTCGTCTACATGCACTACGCCAAGGACATCATCAGCACTTGCACCGGTCTCGCCAAGGACTCTGCCGACGCCGAGCTACTCTACCAGAAGCTTTACGACGACTTCATCGAGGCCTTCGATGCCAACGACAACGGTGTTTCCGCCTACGACCCCAACGCCCTGCGCAAGGCTGGCATCGACAAGAAGTTCTCCGACCGTGGCTTCAGCATTGCCTCCGTTGTCAACCGCCTCAACTACTCGCACCCCTCCCCTGTCGCCGTAGCCAAGCACTCGCTCAGCACAGAGGGCGTCAGCACCGAAGGCGGCATCTCCGTCCCTCTGACCTCCGAGGGCGCCACAAAGTCTCCCGCCGAAGCACAAGCCGAGGAGGACGAGCGTTTCCTCAAGGCATCGCAGTTCTGTGGTGACCAATTCATCTCTGAGCTCATGGACAAGTTCCACTCGTGGTTGCCTGCCCGCGCTGTCGTCAAGGAGGCCTTTGGCGACCGCTTCAAGTACGACGACAAGGGTCGCATCATGGTTGTTCCTCACCGTCCTGAGGGCTGCCCCTGGGCTGACCACCTCTACGCTCTTGAGAAGGAGACTGGCACCGAGGGCTCTGTTCTTTATGTCCTGTTCGCCGAGAACGGCGAGCCCGACAGCAAGTGGCGCATTCGCTCCGTCAGCCGCGAGTCCGGCAGCTTCGAGAACCGCAAGGACATGCCCGATGCCTGGAAGGGTGTCAGAGACGAGGAGCTCAGCAAGGTCTCTGGTGTCCCCGGCTGTGTCTTTGTCCACGCTTCTGGTTTCATCGGTGGCAACAAGACTTTCGAGGGTGTTCTTGACATGGCAAAGAAGTCTGCTGATGCTTGAAGCAATGATGATTGAATGACGAAAAAGCGATTAACATCACGGGAAAAGGCGTTTGTTTTATTTTTGGCTCTGGTCAAATGATATCAGAAGATATCTAAAGGGGTAAAAGCCTCTTTTTCTTTGCATATTCCGGTACTCGGGATTTATTGTATATACTGTACAATCCATGTGGCACATCGTCACATCTTTTTTCATTCTGCTTTTGATGCCTTTCCACTCGCTCTATCCGATCCTGCTCTTGGGTCTTCAAAAGTTTTTTATCTTCTGATGCTCCAGGTGGATTGTCTGGTGTTTCCTCACTCGCTCTTTCCGTTGTACGTTTGCTCCCAGTCGAGTTTCTTTTGTGTGCTACAAGACTTTTGCGAGCTTTGCATATCTCACCCTTCGTTCACCGGTGGCATGTGCATAAGCTTGAGGATTGCACGATCGCTCTCTTGAGCAAGAGTGTAGCGCTATAGTAACTGGTGACAAGCGTTCCTTGTGGATCATGTCGTTTTATTTGCATATTCTTGTTTTCCCACGGGGGCTCTCTAATCGGAACTCCAGTTCTTGTCGCAAGACGAGAATGGAAACACTTGAACAAAAGCCTCAGTTTACCGTCAGCTGTTGCTTGTCGTCTTTGTAGGGTCAAAGTTTGATTTGAATAGAGTAACAGAACTTGACATGAGATATCAAGGAGAATCTGTGCTTTGTGTCAAACAGCCCCTTGCCTCTGCTTTGTGATCTTTAGATGGCTGTGGAGTCAGTATATCGATTGATGGACGTCATGTCATGTGTGCGTTTATGCGTTGTTCTGTAGGTTCCTCGCTGGCTGGCTCTTGACTATGGTTGCAGGGACCGTAGCTCCGGTGAAGGGCGCATTGAGAAATTCATATTGCTTCCCTCGTACGCTCTCCCCGTTCTCCGATAGCTCAGCTAGGTCATGGTGGATAGGTCAATTGATATGGAGGCAGTGAGTGGCACTTGAAAACGGCGAAAAAAGAAGCAACGAAATCGAATCTCGTTCTCATACGAAAAAAAGGAAGTAATCATACTACACTATGGGGTATCTCAATTATCGTAAACCTCATGCACTCGAACCAGTAAACCCTCGTATCCCCTGACCTCCGAGCAATCAATATACCTTCCGACGTCCTAGCAATGAACCACACCTTCCAGCATCCCTGATCCTTCTCCTTCTCATGCTTCTTGAACATCATCATCCTCTACCTCTAGTACGTCTAGTAGTAGCCCTGGGCTTGACAACTTCCTCCTCACTCTCCTCTTCCTCTTCCTCTTCTTGCTCTTCCATCTCTTCACCATCACCATCATCTTCAGTATGCGAAAAGTAAGGACTCTTGATTTCTTTCTTGATACCGTTTTTCTTGCGAGGAGAAATGACGACACGGGGTGAAGAGTAGCGTCCCTTGATCTTGGCTGGAGGTGCATCGTCTTCTGATGCATCTGTGAGATCCGAGAGGGAGGACTCTGCATCTTCGGCCGAGACTGAGGCTTCGTCTTCTTCAGATGAGGCGACGGTTACTTTGCTCTTTCTTGCTGGACGTTTGGGGGGAGCTTTCTGAGCTGGTTTTGCTTTTGCCTTTGCAGCAGCTTTGGGCTTTGCTTTTGGTTTGGCAGAAGCACGAGAATTGCGGCGTTGAGGTGGCGGTTCGTCGTCTTCGAGTTCTTCTTCGCTGTCTTCCTCCTCTTTGACTGGTTCAGCATCGGAAGACAGGGCTTGGCGGTGCGCAGCAGATGCCAGGGACATGGGTGCAAAGTGTGAGCTAGTAACTGGCTTCTTCTCGTCTTCGGCATCTTCGTCGTCGTCGAGTAGGAAGCCACCGCCCAATTCGACATCGGCGTCTTCTGTTTTGGTGTTGTCTTCATCTTCGTCTTCAGGCATGAAACCGCCACCGAGACTGAGTTCTGTGTCTTCGTCTTTTGTCTCGGCGGGTTTGTTGTCTTCCTCGTCTTCGTCGACTACGAAGCCACCACCCTCGGTCATCTCGTCTCGAGGTGCCTTTTTCTTCTTCTGCTTATCGCGGTTGACAAACGGATTGACCTCCTCGACTTCGTTAGGACGACCAGCATAATCTGATCTGATGCGTTCGACGATGCGCAAACCCATGAGGAATTTGCGCCATAGATGCAGGTTAGTAGCCTGTCTCTTGACGTCTTCTTTGCGTTTGCGTTCAGCTTCCTCAATCTCCCAAGCATCGATGACAGCATCTTCATTCTCGGCGGCAACAACCACACCAGTGATGACGGGAACAGCACGCTGTTTGCCAAACTCAAAGCCTGTGCATGCTTCGGCATAGTCAATATTGAGCTTTCTGCAGATCCTGGCAGTACTGCGAAGAGGAATGTGCACCGCACCCTTGGGTACCATCGATGGCACATACACGTCAATGTTGTTGTATGCGTTCTTGGGGATGACGCCGTTCTCAATGGGAGGAGGGATGATCCATTCGGTCTGATCGATACCGTACAGACCTTGCTTGAGCTTCTCACCGGTCTCGCGTTCAGCTTCTTCCATCTCACGCTTGCGCATGAGGGTGACGGCTCGTACAGGGACCATTTTCAGAGGCTGTTCGCCAACCTTAATCTGTCGGCCTTCTTTGTGCCATGATTCGACAGTCTTGCAGTTAACGACATCAGCTCGTCTGTAGACAGGCTCTGACTTCTCCTTGTCGCCCTTGCCAGATGTGAATGTCCTGACTTGTTTTGCTTCGGGAAGAATGGCTTCTTCACGACGAAGATGACGTTCAAGCACAAATTCAGCGCTTTGTTTGTACCATTGCAATGATTCGGTGGCAACTTTGGCCTTTTCGGTTGCTGGCTTGAAAGGCTTGAGATCGGTAGATTCTTCGACGTCGTCTGCTGCAGTGCGCTTGTTTTGAGGGCGAACAAAAGGTGACATGATACGTTTGAAGAAATCGTAGTCCTCGGTCTTGATCACCTTACCACGCTTGTTGAGAACAGGAATCTTCTCGACCGGCATACGGAAGCCTTTCGTACGACCAGGTAATTGATGCTTCTTCAAGTAGCGAACGGTGACATCTTTGCAAGTGGCGTCCTGATTGTGAGCGATGACATAGCAGATGACCTGTCTGACCTGATCGGCACGCTTGCCTCGAGGCTCGAATGTAGATAGCAACTCTTGGGTACTTGCGACAGTAGATAGTACAATGGAGTCGACAGGGATCCAAGTGTTTGATACAGGAGAAAGTACCTCTGTCCAGTAATGAGGATATGCCAGATCACGATCGTACTTCTTGCTGTTCTTTGGTGGAGGTGCAGGAGTGATGTCGATTACTGAAGCGTCATCATCGTCGGCGTCTGATGGCACACTCGAGAGCTCACTAGACTCTTCTTCGACCGCAGCACTTTTGGACTTTCGAGTCGATTTGCGAGCCGGCTTCTTGGCTTTCGATTTTGATTTGGGCTTTGGAGATTCGACGAGACTTTCGTCATCAGAGATCTCGACAGGATTCGTCGACGTAGTTTGAGGCTGCTTCTTGATCTCACCTTCATCGAATTTGGTCCAACCAAAGCCCGCAGGTTGCAGACTGGCAATCATTCTAGACTCGATGCCAATCGCTCTGATCAATGCGGTAAACAGCTGAGCACCAACATCTCGCGAGCCTCGACATTCTTTGGCACACTTGCGAAACTCTTGGATGTTCTCGATGCGTTCACCGTGACGTTCGAAGTTGGATTTGTTCTTAGCCCAGGCCTTGATCTCGTAGGTGATGAGTCGCTGAGGCAGATGACCTTGCTTGCGTATGCCAGGAGCAGTGATATGGAAGCGTTTTCTCCAGTATGCAGTCAAGACTTTGAGTAGCCTGAGCAGCGGGTCTCCAGCACTGAGATTGGGCACGCCGGGCTCGAGTCTGTCCGCGTCTTGTCCCCAATCTCGGGCTTTGCTATTTCCCTTGCTCTTTCCCTTTTGCTTCTTCTTTGGCGGTGGCTGCTTCATGCCCATGTTGATTTTCCAGCGATCGATCTCGTCTTTGACGCCTTGACTCAAGCTGTCTAGAAGAATCTTGTGCAATTCATTGTCATTGAGCCATGCGTTGCGGACGGCGTTGTGGAAGAGTAGAGTCTGGACGTGGATGCAATGTGCTCGGATACGAGCCTGGCGCTCTCGTTTTGATGGGCCTTTCTTAGCCTTTGCTTGTTGCTCAGCAGCAGCGACAGCGGCGACACTGCCGTCTTCGTTGATGGATATGTTGATGTCTTGGATAGCACTGTCGTCGTCGTCGTCGGCGACTTTGGTCTCGGCCGCCGGAATAGCATCCTCCCAGTCCATGTCTTCGCCATCATCCTGCTCTTTCGGTGCTTCCTTCATTGGCACATCTTCAAAGTCATGGTCGTCGTCTTCAGAGGAGGTAGCATCGTCGTCATCTTCGTCGTCGCTGTCGCCTTTGCCAACGCTTGCAAAGAAGTTCTTAGCCTCTTCAGCGGTGGCCTTGGTGGTCAGAGTATCGATTGCATCAAAGACGCTGCTCTTGGGCTTTGTAGGGTTTGTGGGTTTCTGGTCGACTGCAGCTTTCTTGCCACGAGCAGTCTCTCTTCGTTTGGCGGGTGGAGCTTCGGGCGATGGTGAGCGCCTTTTGCGCGGAACGAACGGAGGCATCTATCGCATCAATTGTGTGTGACAGGAACAGTGGCGAGAGGTCTGGGATAGAGAGAAGGTGCAGAGACAGAACAATAATGTTTCCACTTTGGTGCTGGGACCTGCAGCTCATTGACGTCACCCGACACGTTCGCAACACGACAGACGCGATCTCGAAATTTGAGCAGAAGAAGAAACAATCATTCCTTCACCTTGACGACATTATTGACATGGCTGGGCATGATTTCGCCCATGCAGACGCCATAGCAGACTGTGTTCTCACTGCCTTTGACGCTCTGCCTGCACATCGGAAACCCAGACTGCCCTCTTCAGGCCTCAAGCCGGGTCGTAGAGAATGGGTCCCACTAGCAGGCATTGTTCTCGAAAACAGTCAGGGCACTTTGACATGCGCTGCTCTAGCTACTGGCATGAAATGCCTGCCTCGTGACAAGATACAAGCTCTAGGCGGCAATGTCGTGCACGACAGTCATGCTGAGATTCTGGCTCTGCGGGCCTTCAATCGCTTCCTTCTAGATCAGTCTGCTTTGCTATGTGCTGACCCTTCTGCTGACAATCTCCTCCAATCATCCTCTGCACATCACTCCTTCACAATCAATCCACAGACCACAATCCACATGTATTGTAGCGAGGCTCCTTGCGGTGATGCCAGCATGGAACTCACCATGGCTCAACAGGACGATCAATCTCCTTGGACAAGCACATCTGTAGCCGAGCCCGACGACTTGTTCGGAAGAGGCTACTTCGGAACCTTGGGTGTAGTGCGTCGCAAACCTGCTCGTCCAGATGCTCCTCCCACCTGGTCAAAGTCATGCTCCGACAAACTCGCCCTCAAGCAATACACATCTGTGCTGTCCGCCGTCAGCTCCTTGTTGATACATCCAGAAAACGCATATATCCACACTCTTGTCATGCCTCGGAGCCAAGTGGTCCCCGAAGCCTGCGATAGAGCTTTCGGTCTCAATGGACGTCTGTCAGCATTGCAACATATATCCTCTGGTCGATTTGCTTTTCGTCCTTTCACCATTCGCCCAACGACCCGCGAGTTTGCATTCAGCCGCCGAATTGCAGATCCATCCACTACCTCAATCGTACCATCAAACATCTCTTCCCTGACATACGGTCCTAAGCAAGAGACGCTCATCAACGGCTCGCTCCAGGGAAGGAAGCAAGGTGATCCGAGAGGAGCTTCTGCCGTCTCCAGGCGCTCAATGTGGGCTCTGGCGCTGCGGACCGCTGCCTTACTGGCGCAGCCTGCTCTCATTGCTGCGCTAGACGTAAAGTCCTACGCGGACGTCAAGCGCAGCAAACTGCTAGCTGACCGGGAAGCGGCAAAGCACACAGCCAGAGACACATCACTACGAGGCTGGAAGAGGAACGTTGGCGATGACGAGTGGTCCTTGTCAGAACCGAAGTCTTCTCAATGATGAGGGATATACATCTCGGCATCAGACAACCGTCTTGAAGCCAGATGCGAGGTCGTTTCTTCTCGGCTTCCAGGAGACATTGAAATCTGTTTCGGCTACCGGTACAGTAGACCAACCGGTGAACATCTTGGGGATTCGGCTCCGGCACATGATTCCTTCCCTGCCGAAAGAACCGGTCAACACATACCTGTAGATACACAATGATGCCTTTTGCATCAATGTTTTGCATTCCACGAGCGGTCGGAACAACACGGCTCTCATGCACCCATTTCAAGATTATCATCTCAAAAGTCTAGCACGCTTGCACATTCCACATTGCTCCTGCTCAATCTGATGTTACGAGAGACTGCATCAACAAACAGTTACGCATTACAATAAATCGATCGCATACTACCTGATATTCATGAGGCTCAAGAGTCGTGACCCGGGCCTTCTCTAGCTTCATTAGTACTGCCCATCTAGAGTAAAGGTGCCCGTCTTGGTGACCAAGTACTCGTTGACGGCCACATCCTTGCCAGACTCCTTTCCATAGCCACTCTCTTTGATGCCTCCAAATGGCGACTCGGCAGCAGAAGAATTACCTACAAGCATCAAAGTCAGCTCACCAAAAGCTCTTCCCAGCGCAAACCCAAGAGAACTTACCAGTGTTGATACCAATCATACCCGCCTCCAAATTCTCAAACAACCTCCACGTCCTATCCACATCCTTGGTGAAGAAATAACTAGCCAACCCCATACTGGTATCATTGGCGGCTTTCACCACCTCCTCCTCAGTCTCAAACGCAAACAACGCAAGCACAGGTGCAAAAGTCTCTTCACTCGCAATCAACATTTTCCCATTCGCGTTTCCAATAATCGCTGGCTCGAAAAAGAAGCCCTCGGTGTCTTTTGCGCGGGCCCCACTTCCCAGCAACAATTTTCCACCATGAGATAGAGCGTCGTTGACTTGGGACTCGGCCTTGTCGAGGCCGCGAGGAGTGGTTACGGGACCTAGGGTTGTGGAGGGGGAGCTGCCGTGGCCCATGGTGAGGGATTTGGTTTTTGAGATGAGGATGTCGCTGAATTTTGCATAGATGGATTTCTGGATGTAGACGCGATTGGCGGTTATGCAGGCTTGGCCTGCGTGGCGCCACTTCAAGGCCATCAGTGCTAGATTTGCTTAGTGAACGATACTCTTTGGGGATTGGAGGAAGTATACCGTTAGCCGCGTGCTCTAGATCTGCGTCTTCGAAGACTAAAAACGGGCAGAGGCCTCCTAGCTCAAGTGTAACTTTCTTCAATCCATCGCTGCAGATCTTGGCTACGAGTTTGCCTACGCGGGTGCTGCCTGTAAAGGTGACTTTCTTGACGAGCTCATGTCGGCACAAGGCTTCAGACAGCGAAGGCGTGTTGTCGAGACTGGTCGTCAAGACGTTGAATACACCGGGTGGGAAGCCTGCTTGCAGAGCGAGGTATCCCAATGTCAAGACAGAGAACGGGGTCTCAGGAGATGGCTTGACGATCATGGTACAGCCTGCGGCCAGGGCTGCTCCCGCCTTACGGAGGATCATTGCCTGAGAGCGAGGAGTACAGTCAGCAGAGTTCTGTGGGAGCACGGGTGTGATACTCATGCAACGAGCCAGCTCACAGATCGACCATGACATCGACAAGATGGCCCTCTGTCCGCCATCTCATCGTGCTCAATCGAATTTGCAAGACTAGCTCGCCCAATACGTTCAGACTCACGATAGGGAAGTTCCATGGCGTAAGTGCTACAGCAACACCAATGGGTTGTTTGATGGTGAAGACACGGCGCCCAGGTGCTGCGGGTGTAGAAACTGTGCCTTGAATTCTCTCGGCTTCTCCTGCAAACCACCTTGTGTAGAGTCAGCTACCGACAGACACATATGATTCCGGCATGCTATCAGCGGACTCACCAGGTGAAGCCCAGAGCGTAGTCAAGTTCTCCCTGACTCTCAGCGATCGGTTTGCCAGTCTCGTAAGTCACGATCTTGGCGATATCATCTCTGTGCTCTCGAATAAGTGCATCCCATTTCAACAGCCATTGAGCTCTGGTCCTTGGGTTAACCTTGCGATAAGATTCGAAAGCTGTGTGAGCTGCCTGGACAGTCTTGTCTACATCATCAGGTCCATTGTCAGGGGCAGTAGCCCAAGTCTTGCCAGTGCCAGGATCTGTACTCGAATGTTAGCCATTGATAGCATCACTCAAAGCAATGGACAAACATACCGACAACATCAAAGCGCTTTTTGGACTGGGCTTCCTGCCACTCGCCATTGACGAGAGAATTATCACGCCATATGTCCTTGTTGTTTAACTGGTTGACAGTCGATTAGCTATATGTACGTCAGCAATCGGGAGGTCTGCCTGCAATCGTACCTCGAAAGGTAGCTCCGACGCCATGGCTGCTATATCAAGCTTTCTAGCTCAGTTCCTGCAACAACAATTGCTTTTTTTTTCTGTCAGATAAGACCAAAACCTCACGATAAGAGAGACGAGGGGATTTTGCAGAAGAAAGCAAGAAAACAAAAATAGATGAAATTGAATAATGCGTATATTGCTCAATGACATTGATGGCATTTGTGAGGGGTCGTTGTTACCGCGGATGAGCACCATGCGGGGTTCAGCCTTGGAGGGGTGCCGCCGCCAGGGGAGCTTCGAGCTGTCAAAAAACACATCACTTTCCTTCTATGCAGACGCCTCTGTCGTACGTGGCTGACAATGAGCTGCATCCTCAGATAACATCGCAGGATCATCGCAAAACGGTGAGAAAATAAAGTGCTGTTGGTGTGTGTGTGGATGATCGGCATCATCGAAGGGTAAGATGCATGTTTCCATATGAGCCGTCCTTCCACCCGGATGCTTGGTTTCTGAAGCATGTCTACGTGTGTCAGTTGCGAGTTTTGGTAAACATGAGTGTGACTGTAATGTCAAAGTAGGTGTAAAAAGGTACGTATCTTGTTGTTCTTTGACAACAAATAATGTCGATCTTGGTACGCCGTAGAATAGAAAGCATTGGTTCTGCTGAATTTTATAAGTATCGCCTTTTCTCACTTCAGTAACAATCATCGATTCTAATGTTGTAGAGGTCATCGGTTTGCGAGATTTGCTTTGTGTTGTTGTGGGAGTCGTCGCGTGTGCTTGAAGCACCAAAAGTGTCTTGGTAGAGCAGTGCTGGACGTCCAGAGACCACCTTGTCAATGTCGTTAGCTGACCTGGTCTGGACCTTTCGTTGCTTGGTCGCTTGTCATCACAAGTTCTATGGCAGAGATATAAAGTTTCTTGTGCTGTTCCAAGATTGACTCTGTCGACATCCTCAACTCCCTCAAATGGTGAAGAGGTAAGAGTCGTGTCAATGTCTTGAACCGCGATAGATTTGTCAAAGGTAAGACGCTGGGGTGGCGAGAAAGAAGCTCATCCTACAATAATTTTACCAGTTGCAGCGTCTGGCGAAGTCATGTCCTCCACACGGTATGACTCTTCGAGGAATCGGTGCATAATCGGAGAGGTCGTCTGCAGCCAAGACCTCCTTCTTCAACTCTTGCAATACCTAGCTTCCGTATAGCTTTTCCTCTTTCATGCAGCAATGTCTCGAAGAGCATTCGGTAGAGCTCTAGTACAGCACATTCGGACCCTTGGAATGACCGGTTCGTGGTGCAGTATGCAATATCAGGGAACTTGATTACCAATATACAGTCCATCCAGTGTAAGTCTCGAGACGTGCAGAGATGGAGAGAGGATGTCCTCGGTTATTCCTTGATTGTTGGACCATCAGAATACAGGAACATTCTGGAGTTTCTGGTGTATGAAGTTGGAAAGTCCACGATAAGCCACACCAAGTTTCGTAAATTTTTCAGAGCTGATGGTTATCAGGTCTGTAATCAGAGGCATGCAGCTGAGCAATGCAAAGACTGCATCCTTCGAGCAGATGCTCATTGCCTTTCTGGAAGTAAATAGATAGTGAGACTCTGTTCTTGAGTTCCTGCCACAGCTGAACCACTCCAAGTTGATGATAAGGCCGAACATGTTGTGCATTATCGCAGCTAGACATCTGGATATCTTCAAGATGAATGTTCGAAGTTGATGGGGAACGGGAAACACTAGGATCGAATGTTTGAACATTTGAGTCCACCAAACAAGGCACTTACATCTTTAGCAGCAATTTCAGCGGCTGTCGTCAGCAGACGTTGATGCCGCAATCATGGTAAACATAACAACAGCGACCACAAGCAAATGAACACTCGGAATACGCATGTCAATCTCAACAGGATATGGAAACAACGTTCAGACTGGACAGCATTTCCAGGAATGGAGTTACGAGTCGCTCACCGGATATCTGAAGCCTGATAAGCCGGGTGATTTCTCGGTGAGTTTCGGCAGCACGAAATAAAGCGAGACGTGGAGGGCAGCCGGCCGAATTTCGAGGTTTGAAAGGGCGAAAGGTGAAAGGAAGAAGAGGCCCGAAAGGATGCTTCGGTATGAGCAATTGTAATCATCGACGGTGTCAAGTCAGTGTGTTTTTGTCTCATGTCCACGGTATGGCCGAAGGTTCGGACTCATCGGTTGTTGTACCCCTCTGAATTTTGTCGCGTGTCTGTCTCACCACAAAAGCACAAAAAACAGACACAACTCAAAGAAACACACGCCCATTCGTCCTCCGGTGTTGGACCGGCGGATCCATCGCTTGAACGCGGCTGATCAGTTCCAATAGTCTGTTTTCTGTTGCAAGAATAGTCAAGTTTTCGTTAAAGTGAATATAAAAGTGGGTGAGCGATGGAAGCCAAGCGAAAGCAGAAGTTTGGGTTGTTCTGTTGATTCCAATTTGGTGGCTGGCGATTGCGATGCGCAACCCGTCGATCACATTGGCGGAAGGAGAGGGCTCAGAAAACAATCCAAAGAGACACATCGCATCTTTTCTGATCGATTGCTTGCATTCGGACAAGAACGGACAAATTCGCCGATTTGATGACCAGACTTGGTGCGAACGCACTATCGATTTGAAGACGGGGAAGACTCCAGCCCTCCAGATTTATAGCCGGCCCTTTTCTTCGACAGATTGATAGTGTTCTGCTTTAAGACTCCAGTATGACGCAGTTTCAGCCAGCTCTTCGCTTCGTGTCGACATTGCTTGCGTGCGATCTTTGCGTGGCTAGAAGCGCCAGCGGGAAGAGCGATAGATGAGTGTTGAGCGTCTTATGCAGGTACAGCAAGTCATCAATCAATAGTCATATACTAAACACGAAAGCGCTTAGTAGTGTCATGCATGTGTGATATATATGGCAGTGGCAGGTCGGAAACAACGGTGGAGCACAAGGTTGGTCAGGTACCAGAGTCAATCTCGTAGTGCTCGTCAGGGTCATGAGTGCAACACATAGTATCAAGTCAAGATGGTGCAATTGGCACCGTCTGGGTGGGATTATGAGTGAACTCTGCGGAGAGAATGGTCGACATGGAGAAGAGATTGTGATTGCGGCATTCGGCATGCGGAGGTGGATTGCATGCCCCCAGTGCATCAGTAGATTGAAAGTGCCGTGGTTCGTGACAGGTGCACGTTTGAGCATAAGCATAACCATAATGAACTTGACAATGCGTCAAGAGATCACCATGGGGCGCGGGGTACAGAGTATAATTTGATGCAAGATATGTATCAAGGAAGCGGAGGGCTATGTGGTTGTGACACTTTGAGAGTGACGAAGGTCTCTTTATAGGTGTCCTGCCTGAAGTGGTTCTGGAAGGTTAGAAGGAGGTTCACCTGCACATCAAACTTCCATACCCATGGGGATGAAAACGTGCTCACATTGTTGTGTTTTGAAGCTCATGAGTAAACAACAAACACAGTTGTCCTGGTTGCTCTGTCTCGCGTGTCCATGAGGAAATAGTGCACCGTACGGAGTAGGCGTCTCCCCTTGGCGAGTGTTAATCTTATTTCAACCAAAGACGGTGAGCGAGTCCTGGTCATCGACCCCAGAGACAAGAGCATGGAGAGAACGAGAACGATTCAGGAGGACACGGTTCAGGAAGACGTCATGGTAATGAGCATCCCAGAGATGCGGTAAACAAACACGAAACTACTGAGCAACTCGAGTCCGTTGCGATGCGATTCAGGCCTTCGATGATCGTCTTCTCGCTAGACGAATCATTTAACGAAAGCTCCACCTAGAAACCCCAGAGGAGTGTTCGCCTGTCAATCCAGACCTCTTACAGGAGAAGCATCCAGGGGCAAAGGTCATGAGTCTGCAAACGTCGGGCTATACCATCGTGATACTGGAGGCCATATCTTATCATCATCTCTCCTAACAAACGGGCGTGGAGTAGAGAGTTCCATATCCATCTGATTGTTTTGGATACCCGTCACGTATTGCAATAGGACTAAGCTGGACGTTGGTGATACGTAGGTGCCATGCGAATAGTCTGTGCAGACGTTTGAAATTGCGACTCTGCTGCTTCAATTGACTCTCTATCGAACGATCGTGTCTTTGGTGGTTCTACGAGACGGTGAGCTGTCCGATGATACGGTGTCACAGGTCAAGCCATTGGGAGAATAGAGGTTGTAACGTCTGACTCGACAGCAGTAGCAACATCAAGCTTCGATGAGGTTCTGGAGGAGGTGAGGTCGAGATTTCCTACCCTACGTACGTGATTGGCTGCCGAGTGCATTCGGCCCGTTGAGCAAGCTCAGAGAGAACCCGAACGAGGCTTTGGTGGGAGAAGGACCCATCCCGACCGACTTGCAGGCGAACTTGGCACGAAAGCCGGCATCTGTGTCGTTCCTCGACCATGCCGAAAGCCGACAGAGGTGGCAGGAAGATGGATACGCCCATGTGCGACATTTTTTGCTAGTCTGTCAAGACACGAACGGAGTATATCCGCGGCCAAGAGTACCTATGCTACAGTTACAAACAAGGCTTTGGCCGGGCATAGACGGACGGCGCTGGATAGAGCGAACTGAGTTGGGGAATAAACTGTCTTGGACGTATCGGAAGGACCGTCGGAAGTGTCTAGCAACGGTCAACGCAGAATGAGGCGAACGTAGAATGTTGTGAATTTTGGGCGGTCTTGGAAGAACATCAGACTCGGCTGGAACGTCAGCTCCCAGCGCATGGCTGGCATGGCATGGATGAGAGAGTTTGAAGCTGTCCGCTGTCGAGAGATCTGTTTCAAACAAGTGCTAGCGCCAGAAATATGTTGGGGAGCCCAGTCTCGTCGGCCCACGCAGAGGCTGGAGAGAGAAGAGGACTTTGCGGGCACTTGCAGGACGAGCCGGTTGCCATGACAGCCCTTCGTCCAGTCCGGGTTTGGTTGCGAAAGCTAATTTCCGCCTGCGGGAGCAGCCGGTGATAGGGCCCCGACACCTCGAACACGATACTGATGTATGGAAGATGTTCTAGCTTACCAAGTGCGAC